GTTTGGAGGAAAGAAAAAAAAAAACAAAACATTCACGGTGTTTGTCTTGTACAGGAGCAAGGAGAAAACGATGCCAATGCCGAATCGTCAGCAGAAATTTTAGTTCCCGTCTCTCTGAAGCCAGATGAGGGCCTGGAAGTGTGGCGCCTTTGGGTCAAGAGGAAAAATGCCGAGCTAAGCAAACAGGACCAGATAAAGCTCGCACCCATTGGACGTACGTCATCTAAGAGACTCCCAGCAAGTGATTCGGTGGACCTTGAAAAGAAATCCTGTAACGACAAAAGCCGATGTCTTTTGTGCGCAGGTCGCCAACCGCTACGTTTTCAAGAGGACTTGATCTCCAGCGCGGTAGCCGAGCTCAATCTTGGTCTTGCCCTCATGACGCAGGAGGCCCGAGGATCAGAGGAGGAAGAATTTGCTCCAGATGTTCTGTATTATGTCTTCTTATGTATACAAAAGGTTCGTGATTCTTTTGCTTCAACCTGGTAACTCAATGCTCGATGAGGTTGTCTGAATCATTCTTTATCTGTTGTTTTTTTTTATTTTTTAATATAGTATCTCTTTGAAAATGGACGTGTGGATGATATTTTCTCTGATCCATACTACATTCGATTCTGTGAGAGTTTACATAAAACCCTCACTGGTTGGAAGCCCAGTGTTCATCCTTTAGGTAAAAAAAAAAAAAAAAAAAACTCCGCCTTACTCAACATTGTCATTATTTGTATATTTAGGACTTGGGGAATTCATTTTTTTATTTTTTTTTTGTCTGTCTTCTTGCAAGGTTACATCATTCCGAGTCATGTGACAGAGGAGATGCTATGGGAATGTAAACAGCTTGGTGCACATTCACCTTGGACTTTGTTAACAACTCTGATGTACTTTAACACAAAGTGAGTCCCCCCACCACCACATTTTCTCATATAGTGGCCTTCCACTCTACGACACTGCATGTGTGTCATCTACACCTGCTTTTTTGTGTGTGTGCAGTAGCACTATGTGGATTTGACAACCTATATTATGTCTTTTCCCATCATGACTGCTAGCTGACTGATACCGATTATTTTGAAGCCGAATAATATTCTGCAGTGTAAAATTCAGAGAACCGATTAATCGGACAATTAATTTGAAAAATAAGTAATGATTAAAATACCTTCTTTTTTTAGTCTCTTAATATAATTTACAGGCAGAATATTTGACTTTTTTTTTCTTTATACAGAAATAAAACCATCCCCCAAATAAATGCCTTAACCCTAATAGATGGCATTTACTCTGTGCAAATGCAGCTGTTCCAATGCATTACATGCTTTATTATTTTTTTTTGTGAGTGGGGCAGACCCTGTTATTCCCTGAAAAAAAAAAAATCACAAATTTGCCAGACAAAGCCCCTGTATAATATATAAGTCTTGCTTTGGTGCCAAGGAAGACATGAGGGGAGGAGGTTTATTTGGTCAGTCCATTGACCTGTCTAATAGGAAAGCACCACTTAGCTGCCATCTTGTGGCATCAATATAGAGGAATCAATTATTCGCAGGTGGTCGCTATTCACGGCAGGGCTCAGGTCTGAAGGGCGTTGACTCGTAACGGTCTCATATGCTTTTGCCCGCAGGTGTTTTCGTCTGCTGACACTTGAGCAGCATCTGAAGGTGGCCTTCTCTAAGGTCTTAAGACACACCAGGAAGAACCCCACTAACACGAAGGACAAAGCAACTACTATCCGCCTTCTGAAAGGGCAAAGTTCACATAAAGGTACCTTGTTTGCCACTTAATGGAAAAACAAATAAACAAAAAAAGCAAAATTTGTGTTTTTACCTGTTTGTGTGACTTCATTTACAGGACCGGATGACTTATATGACGAACAGATCGAGGATCCAGAGAATCCACTTCGTTGCCCAATCAAACTTTACGACTTTTATCTCTTTAAATGGTGAGTTGCACTCAAAACAAATATGCTGCGGAGAATATTTCTCCTTTTACAGTTTCTGCCTTCTCTCCCAACCCCATTCCAGCCCCCAAAGTGTCAAAGGTCGTAACGACGCTTACTACATGACCCCGGAGCACGTCGTGGCGCCAAACAGTCCCATGTGGTACTCGTCCCAGCCCCTCACGAGTAAGCAGGTGGAGCAAACGCTGGCGCGCATCCTGGTGGTCCGAGAGATCCAGGAGATCATTGGCGCCGCTTCCGAGAGTTAAAAGGAGGCGTGTGATGTAGAGCCAGAGGAAGATTGTACAATTCCGTCACTGATTGTTGACTCTGCTGCCCACCACTTGGCTCAATAAAACTCAGCAATCACATGGAGAACCCAATGAAAGAGTTGTTGAAGCTCGCTATGAGAGAAATTGTCCTTTAATGTTTTCAGACGAATCCATGGTCGATTTCAGGAATGTAAAACTGGACTGGGAGGGAAACGGAAACTGTTCCAGTTTCAAGTATTTTCAAGATGAGGGTATTTAACCGTTTACTCTCCTTTAACCTCATCCTTTTTGTTACCATGCCAATCTCCTTGCAGGGACCACTGCGCGCGTTTTTTTTTTTTTTTTTTTTTGCTATTGTGTTCATATGTACAAAGATGACCCTGTGCCTGTTTTCAAAGTGTGATCTAACTTGTCTCAAGGTAAAGTGCTACATTGTAGTATTTCGGGAGACTAGAAACTTTCTCAGGTCAAAGATTGTCATTGATTGAGAGACTCATAAAGACATTTTCAACATCATTGCATACTGATGATTAAATACAAGAGGACAAGTCCTTGCATCGGAAGTCATGTTGATCACTCTTCTATTGGTGGTTGCAGTATGTCATTCATATTTGGATGCCTCACACAAGTTTACACACATTTATTAAAATTACAATACACTGTACAGTATGTAATTTGAATGGTCGCGCTCAAAGTCACAAAGTAGCCGTTTCATCTTTTTCCTTTGGGAAAGTTAAATTCAGCCTACTAAGTGTTTGCGTGAAGAACTTAGGCATTGGGCAGACCACGCTGATGATGCCATCGCCGTCTTTGGGGAGTGTCAGTTGACGAGCGTGCAAGTGAAGCGGAAGATGTCGGCTCTTGCTTTGTTCAAGGCCAAGCTTTTTCAGCACGCGCTCTGGTAATTTCTGCGGGTCAAAATGTCAGCAGTTTACAAGTCAGTGCACAATTCAGAATACCTGTTGCATTTATGAGCTTGAAAAGCTATCTGGCATATTTTGTTGATGTTTTGTAGAGCACTCAAAAATCAAAAAATGTTTTATCAAGTCCATATTTAAAGCACGCTACCTGTGGTGCCAGTTTGCTCCAGTGTGAATATTTATGGTCGCCCAAAATGACGCATGTCAATGCAAATGCCATATGGACCCTCATCTGGTGCTTCACTCCTGTGGAAACAAGACACCAACTCAAAGTTTATCCCCCTGGACGTTTAATTTGATCCAGTCCTCACCAGTTAGAGGTTGCAGTTCCACAAGGCTACATCCTGCATGACTGTCCAGGACTTTGTACTTTGTGACGGCAGGAATGGATTGCCGATTGGCTCGAACTTTAGTTAGTCCGCTGCCGGTGTCGTTCATTCTGTAAACGGGGCTTAAAGCCATCTGCAATTTCAAATGGATGTAAGGAGGAGCTACAGCCAATCACGGAATAGGAAGCTAAGAAGTTTACCTTGTAGTGTGGCTGAGAACCGGTGATTTCTCTCTCGATGATTGGAATGTCAATCATGCCTTCAGATGGCACCGGCACGCCCACTGTGACAAGCCTAAGGACACAATTTTGTTTTCTTGTGCGCTTCTTTCACTATTGCATAGAGTAAAACTTCTTCCTGTTTACATTCTAGTGACTAATAAGAGAAGAGAGCAACTAAATGGAACAAATCAAGAGTTCAATTAACAATTGAGGTACTGGTGTCAAAGCATGCTTAGTGAGGACAACTTACCAGTACTTTCTCTGTACTTGATTACTTCTGTTGAGTTCCAGTACGTGCTCGGCCGCTTCTTCACTCCTGGCCAACAGGAGAGCACCTGTAATCTCCTTCTCCAGGCCCAGACAGGGCAGCAGCTGAGAATTGGATTTGACCCTCATACCATCCATCATTTTGGAAAGGACAGGAAGCACGGAGGAGATGGTCGTCTCCCCAGAGGAATCTTACAAGACAAACGGCACATTTTTAAACGTCCAAGCATAATTCCTCCCGTTGTTTGTGAATCTACGTTGTCACTTTTACTGCAGCTGTTGGAGGGATCATTCGTAAGTCAAGGCAAAAAAAAAATCGGCTTGTATCTACAAGCATTCGTTAAATTTGTTTTACCTCTGACAGGAACACCATACGGTTTGTTCAAAACGACTACATGCTGATCCTGGTACAGCACGCCTCGCTTCAGGTGCTTGGCCAGCACGTTGGGATGAATATTTTGAAGCTGAAGACTGAACCGTTTTAAGTCTGTCACCCTCTTCTGTTGGGGTGAAACATCGGGCTCCGCTGTCTGAGTATTGGCCCTCTCCTGCCGGAGCTTGCGAGCCAAATCAATGGCTCGAAGTGTAGGTTTCTCTCCTTTCCCATCATCTGGAGCTTGCCTTGCAGCCGTGGTCTGACCCCGGGTATGGTAAATAAGAGCCGTTCCCGAAGACTGGTGGCACTTTGTCCGTGTTTTTCTTAGAGACCGGAGAAGGAAGTTCCAGTCACCAGTGAATACATTTCTTGTACAATGGTTCATAGTGGCACTGGGAGTTAAAAAGATAAATCCTAAGCGTAGTCAACAAAACATGGCGTACATAAGAGTGTCGCATCTAAATACTTCCGGGTATGGTTGTTTCCGCCTAGTATTTCCAGAAAGAAAAAAAAACATCTCAAATCTATCGTTGAATTAATTAGTGTGTGGTGTTAAACGCACAGAAGTAGTTTATCCGAACACGATTGTACCATTTGAATAAAATAATTTCAAGAAAGGTAGAATTTCTGACCTATATACTGCAAAAGCTTATAACTTCCGTGTTTGTGATGTATTTTTCCGTCAATGTTGGTGCGTTCGTTTTAGAACATTTCAGTAGCCGTCTTTTTCGCGGTCATTGAAATCCTGGTGTTACCGAAGGACATTGCCTTGCCCCGAAGTCGTTTTACAAGAAAATAAACTTACCATTGCTTGAACATTTTAGCGCTAGTCTATCGTTGCCATTTTAAAATAAGTTATTTTCAACTGCTGCATAATTTGCAGTGCGCATTGACCGGATGCAATGAAATTGATCGAATTACATGCATGGAATTTAGTTTTGATGTACATTTTATAGTTAGGTTCGTGTAGCAAGGGTGCAAACATGAAAATCACGGACAGCGTGTTGAGGAGTTTCAGGGTTGCGAGAAAATATAAAGAAAATTCAGATAAAATCAATTGTGTAGTCTACAGTCCCAATGGCGAGAGCGCAATTTCAAGCAGCAACGACGACAGCATTGTTTTGTATGATATCACGGAAGGAACGTAAGTATGCAATAAATTTTGTGTCAATTTATATGTAATTTGAGTTTTGAGTGTGTTATAAATGTTAAGTCAAATACAGTATTACTCGAGTGTTACTTGTTGTTATGGTTGCGATGCAAAATAAAAGAAACAATCATTGTTAAATCGAGACCTCTTAGCATGCACTACAACAGGTAAAACATTTTATTACGCATTAGATTTTGCAGGTAGACGAACAAACTATCAGAATTGCGCATTTGCATTTTGGTCGTGTTTAAATTTGTTATGATCTCCCCTCAGGCCCGCTCAGACGGTGTACAGCAAGAAGTATGGAGCAGACTTGATCTGTTACACGAATGGGGATTCCCAAAACGTCATCTACAGTTCCAATAAGAAGGATGGTAAATAAATCTACACTGCGAAAGAAAAAAATGCTGTGGAACCCAATACACTTGTGTCTTGAGTTACGAATTCAACCGCACTCATTTTGTGACTTAAATCACTCATGTTTCAAATCAACTGTCTCCACTGAAATGAATAGAAAAGCCAAATTTTCCATTCCATTGCACTCCAAACACTGACGTATATTGTTCTTTTGATTTGTAGATACAATACGTTATCTGTCACTGACTGACCGCAAGTACATCAGATACTTCTCTGGTCACACTGCAAGGTGAGTAAAGGCACCACATATTTATTATAATAGAAGCATTACACTGGATTAAGAACGCATCTGTCCCAAGCATTTTAATTCCACTATGTACTTTTGTTTGGGCCCTGCCTTGCTTTCACATTCCATAATTGCTTTACAGAGTTACGGCTCTCTCCATGTCACCTGTAGCGAACACGTTCATCTCTGGTTCACTTGATAAAACGATCCGGATCTGGGATCTACGCACTGAAAACGTTCAGGTGAGTCACATGAAAGCAGACTCAAATTTAAGATAGGCCTGAACCAGGATGGACAAGATTGAAAGAAAATGTGGAACTGTTCTAAAGTGATTGTTACCACTGTCTGCCTCCAAGCCTTCTTGATGACCCGCCTGGATCTAAGTAGGTAGGAAAGCAAGTAGCCCAGAGATGTAAATGTGATTGTGAATGTTTTTTTCTCTGTTTGTGCATTGTGATTGGCTGGCGACCAGTCCTGGGTATACCCTGCCTCTCACCCAAAGTCGGCTGGAATGGGCTGCAGGTCACTTGTGACCCGAATGAGGACAAATGCGACAGAAAATTATTATAAGGCATCATCAAGGAGACTAAACAATGGTGTCAACTTTCGAACCTTGTGTTATGACACTTTTTTTTTTTTTTTGTGTGTGTGTGTGTGTTCCAGGGTCTAACCGAGCCCCTTGACAGACCCATTTGTTCTTATGACCCAGAAGGGCTCATTTTTGCTGTAGGGGTGGATTCGCAGTCCATTAAACTGTACGATGTCCGCGCTTTTGCCAAGGTACATTAGACATCCGTTCAGTGTGTTAGCTTGTTGTAACTTCTGTTGTGAATCGTTCTCTGTTAAATCGTTATTTTTAATTATATGTTTATTTGATTGATTTAGCATGGCTTAGATTGTATTTTGGCTCATATGTAGTATGCATGGGCCGACATTAGATTCTGACCATATGATAACTGTGAGCAAAAATATGCCAGTATTAAAATTAAAGCTCTAAAATTTTTTGAAATATTTGTGTGCATAAAAATATGATTTTCTTCCATTGAACATAATCTGTTTTAGTTGCAGACAAAATATAGAATATTTGATACATTAAGAAACGTGTAACATCTTAACAATAAATAAATGATAACATTCTTCTTCTGTTTAAATTCTTCTTAGTAAGTCACAGGGTCCCGTTATTGGTGAACTATTTTTAGAACAGATTCATGGGCTCATGTTGTACTTGGGGCTAACTAGTACCTACTGGCACCATTAACTTTAAAGAAGCGGCTCATAAAGCATCAAACGGGTAATCGGCCCATGCCTATACGCAGTCGTTTGTAGACAATGTAGACGTTACAAGGTAGGCGGCAGATGTTTGCATTAATGTGACTACATTTCCCATGATTCTTTGGATTGGAAACAGGAAGTGACTGTCGTTCCAGTGTGACACTAACATAAACTCCTGCTAGCCATCAGAGGCAAATGCCAGCGTAAAAACGAATGGGAAGGAATTTGGCGCTTTCATTGAATAAGTGTGGATTTACTACATACGGTAATTCATGATGCGAACGTCAAAAATATACAGCTGTGTGATTTTTATTTTTTGGAAAAGGGCCCTTTTAATTCATTTGAAATGAAGCTGAATCGCACCTGTGACTGGACTGGCCTGAAGTTCAGCAATGACGGCAAACAGATTCTCATCTCAACCAACGGGGGGATGATCTGCATCCTCAACGCCTTCACCGGAGACGTGATGCACAAGTTTACTGTAAGAGCCTTCCACGCCTGCGACGAAAACATGCAATCACCGTCAATCATCGTATTCTATTCGAACATGTGTATCGTTGCTCATTGCAAGGGCTACAACAACAGCAGAGGCTTAAACCTGGAGGCATGTTTCACCCCCGACTCCCAGTTTGTCATGATCGGTAAACCCTTTTTTGCTTTATTGTTCCGACCATCCATCCATCCGAGACTTTAACACAACTCTCTGTCTCCTCCGCATGATAGGCTCAGAGGACGGGAGAGTCCATGTTTGGAGCACAGAGAATGCGATGAAAGTCGCCGTGCTGGATGGGAAGCATCCGGGACCCATCAGCGCTGTGCAGTTTAACCCCAGATACATGACTTTTGCCACTGCCTGCACTAACATGGTGAGATAATACACAGCACATTATTTGACCTCGCGTACGCATGCGAATTTGACACGGGTGCCATATGCAAACACCGACGTTGGTACAGTGAGGTTTAACGGTGAAGCGTGAAGTTCCAGTGGTTGGCACATCGACCTCACAGTCCTGAAGTTTGGAATTTTAGTTATGAATTTCTTTCTTTATTAATTTTTTTTGTTTTGCCTGTGCTTTTCTTCGATTTGAGGATATTAGCTATTTTGTCAGTGATCATGCTAACGGTCTCATTTTTCGTAAAATATTTTCTCACGCTTGAGGCGCCGCTGTTGCTTTGCTGTGCGAAGCCGCCACCTTTTGCCGTCAGTGGGGGGGAGGGGTCCATGTTGTTGATGCCATAATACGTGATTGGCAATTCGCCGTCCTGCGCGGTGGTAAAGCCGATGCGTCGACTAGTTTGTTCAACCTCTAGTATCCGTAGTAATGTTCCATTTTTGTTCTAGCTGCAGACTTGTGAAAGCACGCTATACAGTAAATAAAGTTGAGTTGATTCGAATGCTCTCTAACACTGTCCCTTTTTTTTTTTTCTTGCCCTCTCTGCAGACATTTTGGCTCCCAAGTTTTGATGACGTGTAAAGATTAGAATTTGATATCAACTATTAATTTGTAATTTGTAACCTATTTACTTTGTAATACATGTGCGGAGTGTGCCAACATGAGACATTTGAATGCTTCTTTTGAAATATTTTTAAGCTCCTCAGACTCATGTTGGCTACATTTGTGGATACTGTATTTCTGTTTGATGCAAAAAGTATATTTTTTTAATGGAAATGTCAGCACCTGTTTTTTTTTTGTTTTTTTTTTAATTCTCAACAGAGTTTGTGATTTCACTTTGACCAGTGTTTCTGCATTTAAATGTTAACATTTTTATTGTCAAAAAAATAAATGTTTTACTTTTTTACTTTGTTATAATCCTGGTCTATTGTTATTGAAAAACTGCAAATCATACATATTATTGTGACTAATTTCCCCCCAGACTTTAGAGAAACTTTTTTGTTCAATTCAAATAGGTTAAAAAAAAAAATGCTGATAAAATAGACAATACTTTATGTAAAAAAAAAAAAAAAAAAAAAAAATCAAATTGTTGGTTCTAGCAGTTTGGACAAAAAAATTCTTAATTATTTCTACTTGTCCACCAACACATGGGCCACATTTTATGAAGTCTGGTAGTTTACAAGCGCTGAATCAATTTTTAACTTTTTTTTAATTTTTTTATGATTGTTTTAGTGCAGGAGTCACCACGGAATTATTTTGCATATCTGATGAGCTCTAATCTTTTTAGTGTAAGTGTCATGTGTGTGCGTGTGTGTGTATGAGTAGGGATGGGAGGCTGTATATATAAAAAATGTATGAATGCTTGGGTTATGTACTCACCCCTGAATGAATAATACACGATCCTGTCACAGGTAACCTCACGACGACACGCTTGTGTATCTGCCCTTGAATGCAACCAACCACATTGTGTTTATCCATAATTTCATTTTCTTGGATAGAGATGCTACTTTGCAAGGCGTTTAATTCCAAACTTCTTGGGCTGCGCTACCTACCCTTTGCCTTGGCGCGTGCATATCAGTTGGAATGATGTACCGTACATGTGTTTGTACAGTATATGTTGATTCGGCAATGTACATTATTTTTTAACAACCTATTTCTTGTAGAATTTGAACATCAACTTTTTTGGGGGTGGGGTGGGGGGGGTGTCTTTGAAATCACAGAGATGGCAACATACACACACTGTCCTTGGTCCAGGGAGCAATGTTGAATTGGTCAGATTCTCGCCGGGTGTCACATTTCTGTGAGCTGCAATTTGAGATGACACAGCTGATGTGAGCTCATGAACGAGCAATAAAATATCCCCGAAGATCAGCTACACAAGAACAACACCTGGGCACACCTGTGGCTCTCCAAGCCTGGTCGGCAGACTCTTGGAGCTGTGTTCAGTGATCCACACAGCAGGGGGTGTGAGGGGGTTTAGATCAGTAGTCAGGCTTCCATATCCACTGACAGGCGCAATCTTACTCATCCGCCGCCCAGTTCCGCAGATTGCATTTCAGGTGTGAAGAATCTCCAGCGTCCCCCTCGAGAGTCGGTGTCACTCGGTGTGCGCAGGTCCGTCTGTGTGCCATCAGCGGCTTCCTTCAGAGCCAGACGAGCGAGGACAGAGACAGAGAGGTGGAGCTGCTCCTTCCATGAAACTGACTGCTGACTGCCAAAATATGTCACACCAAACTGGGATCAATGGTATGCGTGTTTTTTTTTTCCACATTTCTTTCCGATTTAGTTCCATATTGTATATTCAGCTATTTCCGATATATCATTGCAAGGAATAAAACTTCACATTTACAGGCCTTTCTTATATTTAAAAATAATTTAGTAGAACTGTTAAGCTCACCTAGAAGTACCATTTTTCTACCTGTTGTGAATAAAATAGCTTAATGCCAGTGCGGACGAGAGGAATTTAAATGTCAGAATATTTATATTAATCATTTTAAGGATTTTTGTATATATACAGAATAAATGCTATGCATGGGATTTGGTAACAGGAGCATAGAGGGACGGTTGACCTGAGGTACACCTCACTCACCTGATCATGCATTAATCATGAGAGTGCTGTGTTTGGTAACCATGGTGACACATAACACATCACCAGATCTACTTTTCAGCACCAAAATTACGGGTTTGGATTTTAGGGATTGAAGAGGAGGTTTTTTTTTGTGTAATTATTATTTTGACATACTGTATTTCTAGGAAGAATATCATATGCCAGGCACAGCCACTAAGCCTTTTGAATGACAAAGTTGGGGTTTGATGTGACCAAAAAAATTACATCCCTCATCCCTTGGTTTCTCATCATTACAAGATAAAAATTTTTTTTTTTGTTTGAACAAATCACATTTGCAACTGCTTCACTTCTCTGAATTAAGTATAAAACATATTTTGTAGATTTAGATTTCGTGGTTTCCTTGACTTACTTACTTAATTGGTTCTAACGCAAATCACATGTATTCCAAATCAGCTTTAACGCAACACAAAAAAAAAAACTGTAATGTGAAGAAAAAGTAAAAATGTGACATAAAAGTCTGGCGCGCGCGCGCGCACACACACACACACACACACACACACACACACACACACTGTGCTACAATGTGCTGTGCCTTTACATAGCGTGAACTCAAGAGTGCCTTGTAGCTCGCTCGCTCTCTCTCTTTCTCTCTCTCCCTCTGATTCTTTCACTCTTTCTCTTTCTTTCTCTGCCTCTCTCTGGCTCTGTATATCTCTCCGTCTTGCTCTGTTTGCCTGTCTGTCTCTGACTGTCTGACGTCTGCCTCTCTCTCTCTCTCTGTCTCTCTGGATGTTTATTCTGTGTGAAAGGAAGCACAAGTGTGTTCCATGCTGAAGTCAGGAAGCCGGTTTCTACATTGCAGTTCCTCTAAGACAGGGGTGTCAAACTCATTTTTTGTCGCGGGCCACTTCGGAGTTACAGCTTTACTAGGAGGGCCGATGTAAAATCGCAACGTTATTTATTACCCATGACAATTTGACATTTCGGGACAGATTTCAGCAAGGATCATGAAGGTTGACACACATGGTTTGCTCCCGCGGGTCACATAAAATGATGTGGCGGGCAGGATCTGGTCCCCGGGCCTTGACTTTGACACCTATGCTCTGAGCGATCCAACTTTTTTTTTTTTTCTAACTTCAGTGGACTCAAAACAAGAAAAAAAAATCATCCGTACTTCGGTGTACTATTAAATAGAGCATCATCTTTTCCATTTTGTCTGCTACGCTTTTTATCATTTCAGCATCAACGGAGCTTAAAGACTTCTTGGCCCAAGCAAGGGGAGGTGCCATGAGGATAATGAAGATTGTCATCCAAAATGGTAAGCACACCATGTTTAGAGGTTACATCGATGGCATTCAGAGACATATTTTCGTTCCCGGCGCAAGTGTAACGCAAAGCGCAGTTTAATTGTGTGCATGGTTGGAGTCTTTCTTTCTTTTGCTATTTTGCTAAACTTTGTACAGGTAGAATTGGGCGTAACGGGGCGTTTGGGCAACTTTGTGTGCCGATGTGGGATGAAAACACGCAAAAATGAAGTTCCACTTGTTTTTATGCTGAGATTCTGTCAACCAAAATGGGGCCCAACATTTGATTTTTACCCGCAGAGAAGTTGGTGCTCGAGTCGTGCGGACAGCCCGCACAAAGCTGGGACAAGGACTACGACCACTTCCTGTTACCTCTGCTTATGCCACAGCAGCCGTGCTACATCCTCTACCGGCTTGATTCCCAGAATGCACTGGGATACGAGTGGATCTTCATCGCCTGGTCGCCCGATCAGTCACCAGTACGTCTCGAAAATGCATTGTGAACACCGTAAATGTGAATCACCCAGAAAAGGTGTTCACCAGTCGGGCAATCGCTCACTATGATGATGTTTGCCTTGGATATTTTCGAAGGATTGTTAAAAAGCGACAAAAGCAAACGTCCTTGGATCAGTTCTCAACAAAAGGTCAGGCAAAAACCACTTCTGAGAGAGAACATGAACTAAAAGAAGACAAAAACGACGAGGATTCAGTTAAAAATTTAATGACTATCATTTTTATTCTTTAGTCTTTCTTTTTTTACATGATGCACAACTCTCATTTATTGTGCAATAATCTCATTGTAACATTTATTTATTACATATTTTGATGCATGTTTATGCTTTAGAAAATATTTATGTCTGAATTTTGGGGCAGCTTGGAAGGGATTAGGACATTTACATGGAAAACGCGTCGCTGCTTACAAAGAAGAAAAAAAGGCTGATTTCTATAGAGAAGGAAGATCATTTCGTGAGGTTAAAAAGAATTGGAAGAACCGCTGCCACAATGGCCCACCGCCAATTTTTAAAAGTGTCCAGTGTACAGTGTAAAATGACAACAGTGAATTTAATACTGTATGTGTCGAGCAGGTCAGACAGAAAATGGTGTACGCTGCCACTCGTGCCACATTGAAGAAAGAATTTGGAGGCGGTCACATCAAAGATGAGCTTTTTGGCACAGTTGAGGTCAGTTAAAAAAAAAAAAGATAGCAGGTGGACCCCTGGAGGTATGTTTCTTCTCCTATTGTTTGTCTTGGCAGGATGATGTGTGCTTCCAGGGGTACTTACGTCACATGACCTCAAGCTGTTCTCCGGCGCCTCTCACATCAGCCGAACAGGAACTACAACAAATTCGAGTCACAGAGGTGAAATTGGAAAGGGGAAGAGAGTGACTTGGAATTTCAAGTGGGAATGTGAAAACAACTGAGTGTTTATCTTTTCTTCACAGGATAAAGTTGTATGGGTAAGCTCACATTTTCTGTTTGTGTGTCTGCTTGTGTGCGAGTTTGTGTGTCTGGGTGTGAGTGAATATGCGTGTGAATTTGTTTGTGTATCCTATGTTGGTGTTAGTGGGTGCGTGTGTGTGTGTGTGTGTGTGTGTATGTGTGTGTTTGTGTGTGTGTGTGTGTGTGTGTGTGTGTGTGTGTGTGTGCGTGTGTGTGTGTGTGTGTTATGAATTTTTGAGCTACACAACCTTTATTTTTTGTTCACAGGACGAGCGTAGACGAATTGGGATTCCTCGTGCACGAGTATGTAACATTATATACAAATACTTTTATGCATAGCATATGTTATATTTCTTGAAACAAAAATAAACCTCAGCAGTTTGACAAAATAAGTAAAAAAAAAAAAAGAGAATAAAAAACATACATAAAATGATTTAATAATAATTAGAACCGAAGGTAGTTTTACAGTTCAAATATTCAAATATCTCTTGCTTAAACGTTTATAACACTGCGACTATTAATTGTATTAATTAGCCTGGCTATGGCGTATAGCAGTGTGTTAGCATTAAGCTCGTGGCGAATCCTAAGGCGAATCCTAACGCAAAGTTGCGATATTTTATAGATATACACACACACACACACACACACACACACACACACACACACACAAGCACCTTGAAAAATTCCCAAGACTAGTCGTATCTCTTGGTACTACTGAATAACAATTTGAGTCATGTAAGTAAAAATGCATCTAGCGTTGGTGTGTAGTATGCAAATGATGACTTTTGATTCACTAATACTGCCTCTCGATCTCAGTTTATTGTCATTATTTCTTTATTTTTCTTGCCTGTACACCGTCTATAAACAGTCTGACATGAGCGGTTGTGTGGTGGCTTGTGGGTTAGGTTCCAGTGGAGTTCGGGATAGACAAAAGAGTCTCTCAGGGTCTCGCGTTCCCTTTACAAGAAGAGGCTAAGCGAGCACTGCAGCAGCTGAAGCAGAAACGGATCAACTACATCCAGCTGGTCAGATCTGATGCAACCGCTCATCCAAAATACAGAGAAAAAAAATGGTGTTTGCGTGACTTTGGCACGCTGAGCAAAGTCCGCTTTGTGTCGTGTTGCAGAGGTTGGATGTGGAGAAAGAGACCATCGAGCTGGTTCACACCAAACCAACAGAAACCCGGGAGCTCCCGTACAGGATCCCCACGGATTCCCCCAGATATCACTTCTTCATTTTCAAACATTCCCACCAGGGCCGCTCTCAAGAGGCACTGGGTCAGTGCGCAGGCCTCACGGGGCACTTGACTGTTTTTTGTTTGTTGTTGTTGTTTTTTTTAACACAAGAAATACCAAAAAAAGGTCACAATTATTACTTTGAAGTGTAATAAGAATCCATATGGAGCAGAGTTGAGTAGATTGTACTTTGGGTGTACAGTGTCGTTTATGGCAGCCATCTTCGGATGTCTTTGGGTCAAAAAGCCTCATTCTTTGTGTGCTGGGCTTACACCTAACAATTTTCACAGTCGTCTCAAATGAAGCAATGAAAGTCATTGTGATAGTATTTCACACACTGCATAGCACAAAGGAAAAAAAATAGAAAAAGTAGCAAGAGAGGATGACTGCAAAGAAAGATTGTTGTCAACATATTATACATGCTGTGAATTGATGTCGCTTCCAGTGTTCATATATTCCATGCCTGGGTACACCTGCAGCATAAAGGAGCGGATGTTGTACTCCAGCTGCAAGAACAGACTCCTGGAGGAGGTGGAGAAAGATTATCAGTTGGAAGTGACCAAAAAGGTACTTTTTTTTTTTTTTAACATTCTCACTTGTCACACCATACATCCATTCAGTTCAACGTGTACTCCGCCTACTGCCCAAAGACAACTGGGATAGGCTCCAGTACGCCCGCGACCCTCTTGAGGGTAAGCGGATTAGAAAATGGATGGAAAAAGGCAAAACGAGCAAAAGTTTATCCTTTTATGCTAAAATGTAACATCCGTGTTGTTAATTAAGGTCCTGCGGGGTATACTGTTCACTGACATATCGCGTGATGCCGCTAATGAACATCTTTTTCCCGGACTTTTGTCTCAAATTCTAGATCTCAACACTTGAGGCGCGGGGGGTATTTGACTGTTGAAGTTTCACTTGACTTCATCAAAATGAATCAATGATGCCCATCTGAAATTGCCAGTGTCCTAATGTGTGTGTCCAGATGGAGATAGATAGTGGCGATGGCCTGACAGAAGACTTCCTGTACGAGGAGGTGCACCCGATGGAGCACACCTTAAAGCAAGCGTTCACAAAGCCCCGTGGACCTGGCGGCAAGAGGGGCAACAAACGCCTTATCAAGGGCACAGGAGAGAACGGCGAAGAAATTTAAAAAAGATGCACACGCGCGCATGCACACACACATGCACGCACACACTACGCAACCGCACAAATGTGATATATATCACTTGAGTGACACTATTTCAATTGTACTTACTTAATTTTTGACCCCAAATAAAATATGGATACAAAGCCGGAGCAAAGCATCAGAAGATACTGAACCATTTAATTCACTTGTGCAGGGAAATGATGAGTCTAAGGGAGTTTTAATGTTAACTTATAAGACAGGACTGGACTGGATTTTAAAGGGGATATATTATGAATTAGACTTTTTAAAGGTGTCTCAGTAACATGTTTGGGTCAAAACACTCCAAAGGTTAACAATTATTGGACACTTGTAACCTTAGTTCATATCTCACTGAAATGAACAATTCAGGTATTTGCTTATCTCGTGCAAAGGAGTCATTGTATATCCCGCCCCATTTACTGTTGAGTCAGACTACATGTGGAGCAACGTTATGTAACAGTGTGGCGGAAGTGCAGAGCGGCTGGCTCACAGACACATTCTTAGAAACAGGCAAATAAAAGAGTGGTGCCTTGAAATGAGAATGACTTGACATGCAAGTTTGTCGAGATCCTAGCCTTTGTTCAGCCGATTTTTTTTTTTTTTTTTTTTTTTTTTTGCTTGCAAGCGCAGACTTGAGATCCAAGCCCTGCATGGTCACAGTGAACTCAACTCACATCAACATAAGAATCACTTTGGCAAATAATGAACGGTTATTCAAAAAAAGAGGCTTTAAACTGTTTATTGATACTCCGGGTTGAAGCTAACTGTCAAAAAGCAGAAAATAAAGTCAATTACATCTTATGTATTCTTTATCGTCTGCGAAGAACGACCAGTATTTGTGCTGTACCGGTGATCTTATTGGAGTTGAGATGAGCAGTATATCTCTCTGTCTGTCTTATATGCCCCTGCGTAGTCACTGTGGGTGCACCTGGAAGACCAACACAACGGCCATTCAGTTGATACAGTGTGACCAAAAAAAACTAGATAATTACTGTACGTTTTCATAAAGTACAATATTATGGAGTGCTATTTTATAGAGTAGCACAACATTTTTTGTTGTTTTTTTTTTTTTTTTTTGGAGGGATGGCTAAAACGGATTATTGGTTCCGCTATACTTTAATTACACAGAAACCCAACTGTTCGTATAAAATTAAAAAGGAAGGTTTGAATACATTGCTTTGTTTTCTTCATCAATGATTCATATTTTGGTGATGGCAGGAATGGCTTTGAAGTGTTGTATGACTAATGGTTGTCCTGTTTGAACTTGTAGTCAGGTCTCCATGACTGAACACAGTTAGTGGACGTTCTTGTTTCAGTCACACTGCAGTTTTGCAAGGATGCTCTTTACAATAAAATGTTTGTTATCCTTCTCCGCATCGGTGTATTTCTGGGGATAAAAATCTCCATTATGTCGAGTCTCTGAATAACTTATTTCAAAGTTGTTCTGTCTCGCTCTGTGTGAGTGTCCGCGCGATCGTGTGTGTATGTGTGTACAGTATATTCTAAGAAGGCTCTCTACCCAGAAACTATAATGGCACCACGGTTGGAAACTGCCTGACCCATTCACTGGATCATATGACAACAAACCAATTTCTGACCTGCTCAAGATAATACGCAGAAAACATAAACACGGATTTTTCTGGGAATATTGAATCGTTTCATCACATTAAGAAAATATTTTGATTTACAATATGTTTATATATATTTTTTAAAATAGGTTGTGGCTCATGTGACATTATTGGTGTGGGTCATACTTGATATGTGAATGAAATCCCAATAATTAATATTAAAAAGTGCATTATATACAATATTATCAAGTTAAAACTCACAAACATCGGTACTGTTATGTCATCCTTTCAAAATAAAGCCGTAACCTGACAGGAAAACAGTTGAGGTTTTCCAATTGAAGATCCTCAAGATGTTGCGTTTGAAGCAAGCCCAAGTCCTAATTTCGTGTAAATAAATGCCTTGTCTTGCGCTCTTGCAAAATTGTACATAGGTGTCAAAGGTTGTGTGCCGCGCTCCTGTGACCCTAATGATGAAAAGATGAAGTTGAAATACTGTATGTTGACAGTCAGACAAATATACTGTATTTGGAACTGAATTTTAATGCATGCTTACGGTTTTTCAGATCTTGGCATGGAAGATATTTTCCTGGACCAGACTGCTTTCATTTTTAACTGAGTTTAGTTATTAAACTATGTTGACAGCTCCGATAATTTGTCACGCGATAAAAAAAAATAAAACACTAAAAGGTGCGTCCCATTTATTGCGGGGCGAAAAAAACAACAACACGGTATCAATGTTTTATTTTGAAGTGCGCTGGAAGTGTAGGTAGAGCAGCGTTGCATCAAATCGATTGTAAACGCACTGAAACGCAAACCTTTTCTGGCAAACAGAATTCCTCGAACGTCTGCCAGCTTGACGCGAACACACTTGCTTTCTGGGTCCGACCTTGAGTGCATTAGGATCCAGAGGAGCGATTTCTCGGGATTGTCTCTTCAAACTTTATGATTAATCGTGGTGAAAGGTGAGACTTTAAACAAATTTTAAAGATGTTTCTTATACGTATTCAACCATACACTCGTGTTTTATTGACGGGATTGTGAAACGCGGACCTTTGTTATTATATTCTGTGGTGGGTTTCTTGTTTATCTGTGTAGTTTCTGTTCTTGATTGCGTTTGTGGTGCTAACGCGGGTCCTTTAAATCATTGAACACTTTCACGACTCACGTGAGGTTGGTGTCACAGTTTGCGAACTTTTATTGAACCGAGACACATATTTTACGTGATTAAAAACCTCACGGCACACCGTCAAACAAAAATGTCACAAAAAGTCGATGCACATGTGAATTGTAGGATAGCAGAAGAGCATTTAATTGCTCTGTCTGTCACTATACGTCGCTGGAATAGATGTACAAATATACATAACTTGCAGTAAAGTGAAATTGAATAATTTTCCTCCAGCAAACCAAATAATCTCTGATAACACGTACGGGTGTCCTGTCAGACATGGTTGCCCCGGCTGTGACCACGAGCCATCATGTGGACCCGGATCCATTCTGCCCACATCCACCCCAGACCCCCTCCGATAGAGATGAGGATCTGTCCTGCATCGCCGCCACCTTCCAGTATTTACAAACCTCAGGTACTTCTGGCATTAGCTCTAACTCTATTTGTATCATAAATTAATCATTTAGAGTGCACGCAGCATTTTAAGTAATATAACCTGCAGTTGGAACACTAAAAGGAGTACTGTTAAGAGTAAACGTACATGTACAATTAAATCCGCTATGAACCTACATGCAAGTTTTTGAAATGTGGGACGAAGCTCGAGCACCTGGAGAACACACAAACCTCACATAGAGATTTAAACTTTGGACCTCTCGACTGTTAGGAAGACAAGATAACCACTATTTTACCATCCTACCCCCTTTGTTAACATATCGTTCGGCCCAGTCAAAGTAATCAAATACAATAATTCAATATTAGTTTTAGAAGGTGTGTTTTAGCTGCTCCAAAAAAAAAACGAAAAAAGCAATTAAAGCCCGGAGGTGCTTCGGTAGACCTTTCCCACAGACTGGTGCCATAAAATTATGATGATGAATGTGTGTCTTGACTTTAGAGCTGGAGGACTGCAGGGCCAATGAGGGTTCATAGTTTCAAAGCAGCCCTGAAAGAGAAGAAGGTCCCACCCCCAGACCATCAAGACACTTAAAAAACAGTTAAAGAGCCTCATAGTGAGAGTCAAAATGTCTTGTAAATTTGACGCATCACAGATGCGTCAAAAACAGTAAACACAAGCCTGCTAAATTTGAATGAATTGAAAGAAATAGCATCCGTGCACGTGTATGTGTCTCGTGTAGGTGCGCGCCTGCGCCAACAAATGTTCGAAACCTCGCAACCCTATACTTAGGTTTGTTCAACCTTGTATTATGAATGTGTTGAGCAAGGCTATGAATGTGTGTATTGTATTTCATGAAACCTTGACTGTGGATGGTATGATAAACGACTTCTCAGCCATGTTGTTTGCCTGATATGGTGTGAAATCAATATCTAATTCGCTACAAGTATCAAATATTCTACTCTAAGGACACATTCTTATAAAAAAAATGCATATTCAGACATGACTCCAGACTACTGCTGGCTACCATGTAGCTCTGCCATCAATATTGACTGGTTAGCTTTGCTGTTTGTATTGTAAATGGTGTAATGGTGGGATGGTCTCTTGAGGTAAAATGGAGGAGAAAAAGAAAAAAGACACTTGCCCACCGGCCATCTGCCTTCTATGACAGATGGCCAGTGCATCCCTGACTGCTTTATTTGATTCTTTTAAAATGCGTCACTTCTCCATATGTAAGTGTACGGTAATTAATATTAAAGAGTGTTATTTTTTTCCAGACAGAAAAACATGACTTTTTGCTTAATTTTTGGGGAGGCTGAAACCGATGAATGGCATTTTCAGTCCTTTCAAAGGAGAATTTGAAATATGAGGATTTTCCTTTACCTGCATGATCACAGAATAAATCAAACTCGTGCATACAATTTGCACATGTTTTCAGCAGTTATCTTGAAATCTCTGAAGTCACTTTATAGGGTCTTTAAGAGTGATCCTGAATTACAGGGGCAGCCACATTCTGATCAGATTTTGGCGAGACCAGAAAGCATGGCATTACGATTACCAATCCGACTGGCGATTAAAGGTTTGCTTTTAAATGCAACCTTGTCATTCATTGCAGGCTGGTACTGGGGTTCCATCTCGGCGAGTCAGGCTCGGGACAAACTCCTGGCAAAGTCTGAAGGCACGTTCCTGGTGCGGGACAGCAGTCACCCTCAGTACATGGTGGCGCTGTCGGTGATGACCCACTGCGGACCGACCAGCGTCCGAATACAGTACAAGAGGGGTTCTTTCTGGCTGGACTCCCTCAGTCCTGAACTGCCTCACTTGCAGTCCTTCCCTGACGTCATCAGTCTCATCCAGCGCTACATTGGCTCGGCACACACGCCACATGGCCCGGCGACGTCGACCGAGGATGGTCGACTCTCCAAAATAAAACCCAATCATGTCCACTCCCCGCCCCTCGCCAAGGACAGCGGTGTGATTCTGAAGCTGTTACGTCCCCTTCACAGGCCGGAGACTTTCCCTCGCTTACAGCACCTGGCGCGCCTCGCCATCAACAGAAATGCAAACTGCCTTGACCAACTGCCCCTCCCAAAGCCTCTCTTGGACTACTTGCACGATTACCCTTTTCACATATGAGGGTCACAGGAGGCTGCGATAGGGATATGGGCGGGGTCACAACTCGCAGGTGTTGAGAGATCGTTGTAATAATCTGCTCATGAAAAAGTATGTCCAACTACTGTTGTCCTCCACAATAGTCTTCTTTCATGATGATACACAAGACTTCTATTTTCATCATCGCCAGGCTTATGTTTGTCCAAAAAAAATGTTCCGACTATCAATGGCCTAAAGATTACGCGACTTGAAACACGGTAAAACACTTTGATCTGCATGTGGAATTCTGTTTTGGGGACTGGGAATAGTCCAAAATGATACAACATACTGTACAGTTTTTGTCCTTTGCCTTTTTGACAAGGAAATAAAGGAGATATTGTATTCATACATGTAAGCGATTTCCTGAGGAAAATGGAAATCTCACCTTTTCTTAAGAAAATAAAAGACCGTTCACAAAGAAAGATTACCTCACTCAATTTTTTTTTTTTTTTTACATTTTAAAAATGAGTTAGAATTCAGTCCTTAATCATAACTAAGAGTCTAATAACTGAAACTAGCAGCGGACATGAAACAAACACAAACCCGAAGTCATCATGTGGACATCACTGTGATTTCCTAGTAGTCGGGATCTGTGACACACGTTTTTCTTTTTCACGCCTGCTGCTGAACTGCAGCTAAGTGTGAGGAAACTACTGATGTATTTGTGTTCGCTTTCCAAGTGCAAAACCAAGCAGTTCTGAGAAAGCCTCTTATCGGGATTAGTGAGCGGTAGTTATAAGCAAATTGCTTCACCAGCTGTGAACAAGCCATGACCTGAGTCAGCCCAAACAAAAAACAAGTGCCTAAACTAAATACAGGAGGTTTTTCCCTTTAAGGCCAGTTTTGCAAGCAATTCCCATAGGTTGAAAAAAATATATATACAATATCGAATCGTTTTTATAGAGGGAACACATTTCACAGTATTCAACTATCTTTTTTAGTGGTCAATTTGCCATCGCAAAACAAAAAAATGTATGTGCCAGGAGCAAATTGGCCAGGAGAGAGCTGAAGCCATTCTCGAATCACAAAAAAAGATCTGCAAATATATTTGAATGTAACCAAACACCACTAGATGGCAGACATATTTTAGTTGGACTTAGACTGGGTCTTATACTGCGCTACACCAATGTAAGTAGGCTTAATTTATTTTTTTTTTTTTTTTTTTTGCGGATTTTGAATGATATACAGGACCAACATGTACCTCAGTAATATTACAAATTTGCGTGAAATGATTTTTTTGTGAACAAAAATGTACGAAATGAGCTCTTTAACTTTAATTTTGGCTTGTTGTTTTTTGCCATCCTTGAATGGTAATTTTAATGCGAGACCCCTTTGCAATAAAAAAAATGACAAGATGTTGTTATTCTATTATGTGTCCTGTTGTGTTATTGTTATTTAATGTTAAATGTTCGGGAAAGCGCTTTGTTAGGCTGCAGCGGTTGTGAAAGCATTATAGAAATAAAGACGTATTTTGTCGTTTGCTTCAAACCTTTGTAGTTGGGTTAGGATCGTAGATGGATGTAAAAAAATATTCTCAAAAAATGGAACTATATTAAGAGCACATATTTTGTACGGATGCACACATTTTGATCATATTTTAAAAAAAGCATTTTTGTCATACATCTGGTTAGGAAGTGCGTGGCCCCCCAATAGCACTGATAAAAAAATAGTGTCACCCTCCAGCATTTAAATTGCCCATCCCTGCACCAGCGGTACTTGTGCCGCACTTTGAGAGTCACTGGTTTAAACCACAGCTATTCACAAATGTATATGGGTGTTATTTCGTTTGCCGAATAGAGCGCATAGTTCTCTAAATCATTTTTAAACGTTTTAAGAAAACAAGAAAACACAACAAATTCAGCTAACAGGAAAAGCCCAGTTGACTCATTCAACAACCTTTGCAGATTATCACGAGCCGGATGACTGCGAATCTACACAGTAATAAAGGAAAACCGTTTTGAACTGATATTGTGACAGCAAGTGAAAAATTCTGTAAAGCCGAAGCGATTTGTGTGGGCAGACCATCGTGTGGTGTGCTTTCCCCTCCCCACCGCCTCACCGCACTTCCCTTCCCTTCATCCTCCAGCTGCGCACTCAGCGACGGAGGCCAACAAAGCACAACTTGAAAATCTTTTGGAAATATTGGCAAACAATCACTGGGTAAGCACGGTCCAACTCGAAATCAATCGCTGCTAGTTTTTTTTCAGATTGATGTCATGTTACGGGTCCGCTTCGACGATGTTGCGTCAAGTTGCATTTTCTGCCCGTTACTCGGCTAATGTTAGCCGAGTAACGGACCCATTAAGTCGCATTGACTTCCGTTATGCTAAGCTAAGACCAGCGAACTGCTCTTGCACTGAGAAATGTGATTTTTTTTAAATTTGTTTTTTGCGGGAACATTATTTCAAGGATGTTGTTCCTTTCATTACACAGATTAAAAAAGAAATGTAAGCTTGTTTGTCTTCTCTCCGGCTAACTCTGATGGCGCTGGCGTCGATCCTTTAGTAAACATAACAACAACTTCCTCCTTTGGTCAAATAGGGCCCACCGTCATCCCAAAAGGCAATTGAACGCCAACGATATTCATTGACTCATACCTTTAACTTACACCAGTAGTGCTTCTAAATGTGATTTGGGGTCTAATGAACGTCAAATGAAGTGTCCCAAGATAGCTGTGGGCAAGGTGAATAAGAGGAAACGATGATGGAAGATGGCTTGAATTACATCTAAAGCCAACAGAGCATGACTGTTAACAACCCTACGACTTTTAAACGTCTCGCTACCATGTTGTGAACACTTGTGGTGTTGATGTTTACCAAAAGAAAGCTAATCATTCAAAGCCAGCCGTTTTCAGTGATCCCCCCCCCCACACACACACACACACAAGACCTACAGAAAATCCTACTCTATATTGATATTTACAAATCTACCAAATAAAAAAAATAAACATCTTTCACCTGAAAAAAAAGGTTTGATTCGACAATTTTTCATTCTCTAGTAATCAGTCGTAGAACATTGTTAAGTTTTAAGAAATGCAGCCACTTTGCCCAAAACCTGGAGAAAAATAGCTTTTTGTGTAAACAAAAATATCAAGCAAAACAGAGACTTGGATGCTAATGCTTTTGCTTTAGTGACACCTCCACAACCTGTTCCCCTGCCTCTCACCTGCAGCTATGGCGGCAATCAGAAAAAAGCTGGTCATAGTGGGAGATGGCGCGTGCGGCAAGACATGCCTGCTGATTGTGTTCAGCAAGGACCAGTTTCCTGAGGTCTACGTGCCCACCGTTTTTGAGAACTATGTGGCGGATATCGAAGTGGACAGCAAACAGGTATGGAGCCTTTCACTCTTTTCTTCTTGAGACCCTTTTGTTGAGGCATTTAAAAATGCCACAGACACAACAAACAAGAATTTTGATGAATTAGACTGCATACACAAATACAGTATTTTTTCCAGTATGGTGTCTTCAAAACAAATACACTACACAAGGTGGGTTCCATTTAAAATACACGTAATGTCCTTTCATAGCTGAATAACATAGCCAATTCTCGCTCAGGAGATCGAAACATTTAACAGGATGTATAGAAACAAGTATAAAGGAGACGTTAGCAGACACATCAGTCTCAGTTGCATGTTTGTGACTTATGTTCGCATGTTGAACATTTGTGAAGCTTTGTGAAATGAGGTATAAAATCTGTATACGTTTGAATATTTTGTTGGAATTTTGATTAAAATATACTTTTTTGTTAGGGCAGATAGGTAGTCCGATATTCAAATGTCAAATGATGTAATAAAAATTCATGCTGTGATTAAAATGTGTCCATATTTCCCAATAATAAATTTGAAGTAGCTTTAAAACTTTTTTAAAAAACTTAAATTTGGCTTCTTTATAAGCAATGACTCTGACTTTTTTACACCAGCAAGGAAAGATTTTAAGACCTTTATTTTTCTGATTAAAAAAAAAAAACTACCTATTGTTCAGTACCCCAACATTAACTACAATGGCACTCATTAGAGGGCAGACATTCTCCAAGTCTGTGCTTCATCAAGGAAAATGTATAATAAAGAGAGGAAATGTTTACATAGTTTCATGGAAGTTGCTTAAGAACATTCTGTGTAATCCAGAGAATTTGACTACATTTCCTTGGCTGGCAATGGGGGAGGGGGGATGAATGGAGGACTCCCTCTGATTGTTTTTAACTCCCGTTTGGATGCCGGTGCAAAATTGAGTAGAATAATGCTGCCCAGAGGCTTTGAGCCACAGCTAGGATAAATCTTAATTTAACATAGTTGATGTCAAATTCTCTTTGAGACCACTAAATTGTGTACATTGTTTTTTTTTTCAAGACACGATTAATCAACAACCAATAACACACAGATTTCTGAATGGTCTTTTTTTAAATGCCTATGCCTTGTACACAGTTTTCGTACTAAAACATCAAAAGGGATTTTTGTCAAAAGTTCCCACGTCGATAATTTGGGATTGCGTTGGCAGGTGGAGTTAGCGCTGTGGGACACAGCAGGTCAAGAAGACTACGACCGCCTGCGCCCACTCTCATATCCAGACACCGATGTCATTCTTATGTGCTTCTCCATCGACAGTCCTGACAGTCTCGGTGAGCTGCTCATGGTGCAAACGCTCTCAGGTTTATTAGTTCACACAGTCATATACTGGATCACGTGTTGTGTCGTTTTCAGAGAACATCCCGGAGAAGTGGACTCCAGAGGTGAAACACTTTTGCCCCAACGTCCCCATTATCCTGGTGGGAAACAAAAAGGACCTGCGCAACGATGAGCACACCCGCAGGGAGCTTGCCAAAATGAAGCAGGTAAACGTTGCGTGAAAGTGGAGCGGCAACTATGTAGAGTGCAGATTTCCACCAAGGTCAAATGATTATGCCACGTCGTGGAAGATTCCTTTTTCCTTGGCAACGATATTTTGACAGAGCTCGTGGAAAAAAAAAAAAGATTTATTACCAGCTTTATTCTTTAAACTGTGTAGATGTTTCATAACCCATGCGTCTTTTTTTTTTTTTTTTCCTCCCTCCTAGGAACCCGTGAAGCAGGAGGATGCACGGGACATGGCCAACAGGATCTGTGCCTTTGGATACATGGAGTGCTCAGCCAAAACAAAGGATGGCGTGAGGGAAGTATTTGAAATGGCCACCAGGGCGGCATTACAGGCCCGGCGGGGAAAGAAGAGCAATAGATGCACCGTCCTGTGAAAACGGGTGGCATGGGACTGCTTCCTGTTTGGGGGAAAAAAAGAAGCAGAGGGTCAAATCCCACCCCCTTGCCCCCAAAAAATACACCCACGCAAAAGACTGTTCTCACCAGTTTTTACAAAAGGTGCAACGCTTTTACTTGTTTTATGTATTAAGCTGAAATAGGTTCTGTCAGTATTGGAAGTCCTTTTTTTTTCTACTAAAGCATCAGTCAATCAGCCATAATAAAACCTCCTCTATCAGCATGTAGTGTCATGAGAAGTCAGCAAACCTGCCAACTACAGTCCAGTGCTGAAGCCCTGCCTGCTGACCCGACGAATGTTTCCACAGTCAACTAGGGTAAAAGTACCTGATCACTGTGACTTCGACAAACTAACGCACACGCCGAGTCAACGTTTGTTTTGGTGTGCTCCATTGACGAATCCTCGTGTGCATCGTGACAACGTGCACGATATGAGACTGGAAACTCAATTTTTGTTAACACGCAAAATGGAAACTTAGTGTTTTGTGTAATAAATTACTTTGTAAGAATCTTGCTTCTAGCCACTGATGTCATGTGCTGCTTTGATCCCAAAAAATTGATGAGGATTTTTGAAAGATAAGCATACACTTTGTTGCACGTTGAACACAAATAAGTTGCACAAGAGATATTCTGCTGTGAGCCTTGTTGTTGTTTTTTTAATCTTCAAGTACCGGTAGAACCCAACACATAACAGATCTGTTGTACGTACGATGGTCTGGGTATTTTTTTGGGGGGCGAGGGGGCACTGGTAACTCAACAGTTTCAGAGATTAGGCATCAGTGGCGTATGAAAAAATATAAAGGACAAAACGATGCATGAAAAATAAAACATGCCTCTACAACAGCTGATGTCCAACTGCAGGACTACATTAGCAACAAGTCAGTGCAATACATCAATTTTACTTGTCTTAAAATACTGCAAATGAGGATGTTTGTGTAAATTGCAGATTTTATCCTGCTGTGGAGAGTCACTCTGAGGCACCCAGAACTGCCTCGCCGCTCCGGTGAGCTTCACATCCAGTTTCTTAAGTCACAGATGCTTTTTGGCTGGGAGTCGCGCGCGTGCGAGAAGCACGGGAAGAAGAGCTAAAGCCCCCAAAGCAATCGCCATCAGGGGTCGATTAAAGAACCACCCCGCTGCGATGGTGAGGAGAGAGAGTGAGGCGGACACGCACAAGGCGAAGATCTTCAGCCCCACAGAAACGAGGTCCCTCAGGAGAGGAACCCAGCCCACTGTGGGCGCACAAGTAGAGAAATACATCAGTGCTATATTTTAAATCCAACTTGGAAAAAAAAAACAGACAATAAATTTTTAAAAAGTTACGGTGCAGGGTTCAATTGTGGAGTTTGACGAGAAATGTCCACGCTCACACTCACACCTAGGGACAATTTAGAGTTTAATCAGCCTGCCATGCATGTTTTTTGGAATGTGGGAGGAACCCAGAGTACCCGGAGAAAACCCACGCAGGCCCAGTGAGAACAATCAAACTCCACACAGGGAGGCCTGAGCTGAATTTGAACCCAGAACCTCTGCACTGTGAGGTTGACACACTCACCATTGGACCACCGGGCTGCAAGGATGTTTTTATGATCATGATTTGGGGGGGGGGGGGGGGGGGGGGGGGGAAGGGATCTAAACCATGACTAAATTTAGAGGATTGCCAAACCCAAAAATATTGTGTGAGCGGGTGTTTACCCAGTGTGTAGATGATGCGCATGGTCAGCTGAATGGCGAGAAACATGAGGGCCCATCCCGCAGCTCGGAGTCCCCACGTCTTCATGCTGTTATGCTGCTGCTCTCTCGCAAACACTTCCTGCACGTCACAAGCAGAACACGTCACAAGTTATTTTGACATGCAAAAAAAGTAAAATAAAATGTCCGCCAAACCTCTGCTGAGAGCTCCTCCAGATACAAGATCTCAAGAACGTCTCCTGACTTGGTTTTGAAGGGCAAAAGCTGCTCTCCACTCTGCTTGGCAACAATGCTAACCTGAAGGGAAAAAAAATTTCAATGATGGCAAGGTCAATTTATTGAGGTTGGCCAGGCCACATGGCCATATTTGTTGGAATATTCAAATAAAAATATCCTTCTCATTCAAACCAATAAAAAATGGGAACTCAAATAAAATTACTTTTCATTTTGACTAGTTCACATGTTCAGAACTCACAGTTTCACCACTGAGTCCGGCGAAGGAAAATCTCACGCGGACATCTCCAACCTTCCAAAGGGTACAAACAAAAAAATAGACATAAAGGAAATAGTACGCAAACAGCATTTGCCAGATGCTGTCATCAAGGCACTCGCTCACCTCTGGCCTCTGTGGCTGCTGAGTATGATAGAAATAATCGTCACGGATGGTAAGGAAAGGGTCCGAGTCGGAGGCCGTCAAATCCTTCAGGCTCAGTGTCCGGAAGTTATTAATCTGTTCCACCAGTCCTGGGGAGGAGCAAACGTCTATGAGTCATCATCATGTGACACATGTGGTGCAATAATCCTAGTTGTATTTCAGCGCTGTGTTGATGCCACCTGGTTCTTACGGATTACCATTCGACAGAGTGAAAGGTCCCACTTGCACCTGAGGAGCCACAACTGTCACGCTCTCCACCGCCATGGCACTGAAAAGAAAATATTTGGTTACATTTCTCTTGTGATATGAAATATTTGCGACGTAAGACTGAAGCACCTTGGGTTCTGGTGACCAATTTCTCGATCAAAATTGCGACTGTTGATCAGCTCTGCTTTCCACTCCGTGTCTATGGAAAAGAAATGGCTTAGGTCCAAAAGTATATGGACAATGTTTCCTTCATGCAGCACCACAGTGGGTTTCCAGGATGAACTGTGCATAAATGCAATATTTTTGTGAAACCTTACACTTATAATCATATTCTAATTGTTTTACATCAACTCCACTGTGGTGGTGTATAAAAGCTACATCATAAAAACGAATTATTATCATCCAAATATTTCTGCACATAACTGTATTTCCGGCTACTTACTGTAGGTGTATGTGGTCTCGGTTTTGGTACTGCCATTCTCTTCGTAGTCTCTGAAATGAATCATACAAGGAAGAATTTGGATTACTCATCTAGATTGAAGATTATTATTATTATTTTTTTTTTATGTTGAGGCCTCACCCTGCCAAACGTGTTAACAACACTCACTTGCTCTCCTGGTACTCCACCCACTGATACATCTCCACCTGCCTCTTTAACTTGACAGCCTCCACAGCTACTCTGTAGTTGGGATCATGTAAAGGCTGCGCATGAAAATACACACACACGCACACACAATAAATTACATAATAAAAACACACGCACCATTTATGTTGCCACTTTACCACTACACAAGCTAATGACAACACCATTGATGGATTTGCCTTTACAGAGGAAATAATGCTTTTTTTTTTTTTTTTTTAAAGTGATCGAGAGGTATTCATTTTAGAGTGCATTTAATATACTCGACTTGTACCTCATTGTAAGAATGACTGGCCTAACTGATGTTGGGAGTTTTAATAGTAATAATAATGAAGAGTGATGGAGTCAGGTCTACCTTTGAGGGACGCAAAGGTGCAGACAAATGAACCAAGCTGTTGTCGTTCTGCGGGTCGAGGCTGGCAAAAGTGTCCAGCGACACGACTTGAGCGAGCCCTTCATTCAGGGAGGACGCAGTCTGCACAGCCCGTCCCTGAAAGGAGGAAGAAACAGTGTTTACCATAATAATGCAAAGCACATCTATCCATTTCCTCGAGCTTGTACTCATTAGGATAGCAGGTTAGGCAAGAGGTGGGGTACACCGGGAGACTGGTCATTCAACTCCAGGCTGCTTGGTAAACGTACAAACCACAAATACGCTGAGATACACCCAAAGCAAATCTGGTATTCTCAACCATGTGTGATTCTCACCTCATTGGTGAAGAGAATATATATGGAAAGGAAAAACAGTCCAACGCCAACAAACGTTCCTCCTGCCGTGTCACTTAATCGTTGCAAAAATCCTGGGTTGGTCTTTGTCCTTACATGCTTGTGTGAGTCTTTACCTGAAAACTGAAACACACTATGTCAACGCCACTCTAAATGAAGAACTACGATGAGTCAAAAAGATGACTCCAGATTAAACGGACTAAAATTGTAGATTAAAGACAGTTTGCACTCTATAAAATTCATTTCGCACGTTATGCATTGAAAAAGAAGACAGCTTGGATTCTTAGTGAACCTTTGCCAAAACCATGTTTGCTCCATATGTTTTTCATGCAACAAAAAACAATTTCTCTCGATTTGTGTCAGGGCAAGTGTATAGGCTACATTACTATTACGTATCCAGAAAAATCCTGAATCTCGAGACAAACTAAAGCACAAAGCGCCAGAAAGAAGAAATATGTACAGCTAAAATATTGACCCTTAAGCTCCCTCGCAAGTGACATGAAACAAAATGTGTGTTTATCGGGGGCATATTTACGGCAATGCAGTTTCTTAATTACACTTGCTTGCGTCATACATTGATACGTCTTCTATTAGGCATGCAAGCAGCAAGCTCGTATGTTGACAAAAAGCAAATACAACATGGTAAACTCAACTGTCGTTTTTCGATAAATAAAGTGAATCACAGTTTGTATTTGAACAACTTACTGTCGTCGCCGAAGACATTTTAGTAACAGTCTAGAAAAAAAAGATAGGGATGATCACGAAACAACCAGAGGAAACAAACTTCAACTATCAATGACATCATTTCACTGCTGCTTCTTCTTGCTTTATTTTAAGCACGTTTGGAAACCAGCAAACGGATTAGCGCCATCCAGCGGACTGGGTTCGTAGAACGCTTCAACCAGACCCCAAGAGTCGGTGATGTTCTGCAGTGCAAGTCACGGCCATTCGATCAGCTTTGAAATTTCCAGGGGTCACAAAAATAACTCTTTCCTCCAAGTAGGACCCGCACCATTTTAGACTGTTCAATTTAAGTTTCTGGTCTGTTCAGCAGTTCTCATGATGAACTGGATCAAAAGCTGCACTGAGATCGGATAAGACAAGCACCAACAGCACCTTCCTTGCATCGTTCAATCATTTCTCATTTTAATTAGAGCTGTTTCTGCACTGTGATGAGGTCCGAAACTTGATTTTAATTTATCAAAGAGTTAAATTAAATTTAGAAAACGGTTATTATTAATAATAATAATAATAATAATAATAATAATAATAATAATGCATTTCATTTATAAGCGCCTTTCAAAACACCCAGACACATACACACAGACACACACACACACACACATGCACACACATTCATACATGGATGTGCCACATGTAAGCAGATTACTCCAAAGCAATTACCGCCACTGAGCATCCTGATATCATTCAGTCAGAACGAGTGAGACTGTTAAGATGCAGGAGTATGACATTATAGTGCTTGGAACTGGGCTGAAGGTAGGAGAATTTTCTGTTTGATTATGTAAATACATGGGGTCAGTTTGTAAGTTTCAACATGGATTATTTTATGTTTCAACTTGAGCTGTAAGAGGAGGTAAAGTCCTGGAGTTTTGTGAACTGGAGATGTTAAATATGCATCAGACCGTGACAATGGAAATACATACAGTACCTCAATGTGCAATAATCCAAGTTTTAACCATGAGTGCATCATTTGACTTATTTTGTCCGCGGCCTGCCTCTCGCAGGAATGTGTCCTTTCAGGTTTATTGTCACTAAATGGCAAAAAAGTCCTTCATATTGACAAGAATGCTTACTGCGGAGGAGAGAGTGCGTCAATCTCTCCCCTTGAAGAGGTGTGCCCACCCAAACAGAAGCACATGCATTTTTACATGATTTCTCTTACTTATCTGTCAAATTGACTTTACAGCTGTACAGGAGGTTCAAACTTCCGTGTCCTGTCACGTCTTCTGTTCGGGGTAAAGAGTGGAACGTTGATCTTATCCCCAAGTTTTTCCTTGCCAATGGTAATGGCCTGTTGTGACAGAGAAGAGGCTTTTGGGCTTTTTTTAATTTTAAATCATGTCATCATTTCATGCTGTGTGCGTGGCTGCATTAGGTGACCTGGTGAAAATGTTGGTACTGACTGACGTGACTCGCTATCTGGACTTCAGAGTGGTGGAAGGGAATTACGTGTACAAAGCAGGGAAACTGCACAAGGTCCCCGCTACTGAGGAAGAAACGCATACTTCAGGTCAGTTGATGCGCTCCTTACTGGCATTAGTAACAGACGATGTGCCAAAGGCTAATAAACATAAAACACTAGTAACAAGTCAGCATAAAAGCAATCAAAGTTCAAACAAATAACTTAACAAGAAAGAAGTTGCATAAAAAGGGATACCAGCAAAATGTGAGAACTTAAAGCTAGAAAAAAAAAACTAGGGGCAATACCCATCATGGGAGCAAGGCAGAATGTGGCACAACAAACTGTAAAGACAATCTAGCGCCTTCCATGTGTGGCCGCACAGCCCAAGACTGGGAGTTGATTACAATAGCTTTTCATAACTGTACAGTATTGGCATTAAATGTCTTAAACATATTTTTCAGATCTGATGGGCATGTTTGACAAGAGGAGGTACAGGAAGTTGTTGCTTTTCGTCCAGAACTTTGACGTGAGAAAACCTCGCACACATCAGGACATCGACCCAGACCAAACCACAACCCGAGATCTCTTCTGTCACTTCGATCTCGGACTGGACGTTGTGGAGTTCATAGGTCATGCCATAGCCTTGCACAGCAGCGAGAGGTTGGTCACACATGGCGGGACCAAATTCTTTTTTTTTTTTTTTTTTTTTTTTAAAAAAATCTTAAAATCAAATCAAATCTATCCTTGTGCATTTGGTAGTTATCTGGACCAACCCTGTGTGGAGACCATTAAGCGGATCAGATTGTATGCCGAGTCTCTGGCTCGCCACAACACCAGCCCCTACCTCTACCCTGTGTTTGGATTGGCAGAACTACCGCAAGGATTTGCAAGGTAACACTTTGATGGAATGTTTCGTGGTATGGACAAAACTATTGCGAGACCTGAACCACAACAAACATCTTTGGGTTGAACTAGAAAGCAGATTGTGAGTCAACGTCAACTGTTCTACTGGAATGGAGAAACTAAATTCCCACTGACACAAACTACAAATTCCTTCCTATGTAACTGTAAAGAAAAGAAAATAGTTGGGTGAACTCAAAATTTAAAGAACACAAATGTTGATAACATTTTAAGAATGGCAGTTCATCGAAATATTTTATGTTTTTGTGAAACATAGCTTTCGTACGGAGCCCCTAAGGGGACATGGAAGGAAAAAAAAAAACTTTGCGAGATCTTTCGAGCATTTCACAACAAAGAAATAATAGTTGGGACAACCGCTGCCCTTTGTTTTTTACGGAGCACCGAAGGGGACATGGAAGAAAAAAAAAATCATTTTTTGCAATCCCTCACAAAAATTTGCATTCCCTCGCAAAGATTGCAGTCCCCCACAAAGAATGCGAGATACAGTATAACATTCTTTTTTTTTTTAGGGGGGTGGGGAACGCTCTTTTTAAAATGCGCGATTTTGTACTTCCCGGTCAGCTTGGCTAATGTCCCCCTTCACTCTCCAGCAAGGCTGATTGAGAGACGACACTACTTCGGAAAGGAGGAGAATCATGGAGGAGAATAAGAACAGATTTAATGTCTTTGTATTTCAAGCCGATTATCAACATTATGGTCAATAAAACTCGCCAACGGGTGAAAAGACGCCATGTTTGTTGTTTTCAGTTACCCAGACGATGACCCGGAAGTACATCAACGCCATTAAAAAAAGATTGCGAGATTGCGAAGGAACGCAATCTTTGCATTCCCTCGCAAAACTTTGCATTACCTGCAAAATATTGCGTTCCCTCGCAAAGTTTTGCATTGTCCTAATACTTGTGCCCCTACATGGCCTCTAGGTGTCACAAATGTATTGATAAATCTGCCCTTCAGATTGAGCGCGGAGTACGGAGGAACTTTCCTGCCTCACCAAACGGTGGATGAGATTGTGTTGGACAACGGCAAAGTGACAGCCGTCAAATCTGAAGGGAAGGCAAGTGTGCCCCAGATTGGGAATCGCCCAGTGGCCCATAACGATTTTTTTATTTAGTTCTTCTCCTTTTTGTTGTTCTCCAGTTGTTCCAATGCAAACAACTTATCTGCGACCCCAGCTACGTCCCTCACCGAGTGAGGAAAGTGGGGCGAGTCATCAGGGTCATCTGTTTATTAAATCATCCTGTGAAAAGCACACAGGAGGCCAAATCATGCCGGATCGTCATCCCTCAAACACAACTCAGCAGAAAGTCTGGTGTGTTGTCTTCCAAAAATTGCATTCACTTCATTGAAAAAAAAAATCATATCTCATGACCGCAATAATCCCCGCGACCCGACGCAGACATCTTCATATCTGTCGTGTCCTACGCGCACAACGTGGCCTCGGATGGGTTTTATATTGCTACAGTGAGCACAGCTGTTGAAACCACCCAACCAGAGAAAGAAGTGCAGCCAGGCCTGGACCTTCTGGAGCCCATCATGCAAAAGTGGGTCAGAATTCAAGTGACTGTGTAAGAGATATTCAAACTGTCTATCGGGTGATTGTGTGGGTTGACAGAGGCGTCGCTGATCGCATTGAATTCATAGAGAATTGTCAGCCAAATGGAATTTCACTGTAGACGTCATGGATCATAAAAATAATAATAATAATTGAGTTGAGCACTTGAATTGGACAATTTTCAATATGATTTAGCTCCATGTGTAAATTAGCTGTCTTCTCGTGATGTGATTTCCTGTTGTTTTTTTTTAACTCAAGATTTGTTTCAGTCAAGAAACTGCTTGTGCCCAATGATGATGGAAACAGGAGTCAGGTACAGTAAGACGCCTCTTAGTTCCAAGGGGGTCGCGGGGAGAAAGTGTGTTGACAACAACTTTTTTTTTTTCAGATTTTTGTGTCTCGCTCATATGATGAAACCAACCACTTTGAGAGCGAGTGCGAGGACATTAAGGACATGTACCGTCGTATCACTGGCACCGACTTCTGCTTCAACTCACAAAGGCATCCGTCACGCAGCTCAGATGAAGACTGACCTTTTCATCAATAAGGTTGTTATTTATTATGATTATTATTATATTATTATTTCCAATTTTATGGAATGCAGAATAAAAAAAAGCATGATCAACAGAAAATCTTTGTAACAAGATATTATCTTGAAATACTGTAAATATGGCAATCCTTGTGCAACAGTCGAGGTGTGTCCACAAGATCACAAATCCGCAGTCGCCAGAACAACATTTGAGAGGCGATTTTTTTTTCCTATTGTTAGGCATTACAGCATATAAAGCTCCTTTACTGCAAAAATCAAATGAACTCAAACATGCTTTTCAGGTAGACAGCAGAGGGGGGAAATTGTTTCAGTGGATGTCACCATCTCTGCAGCCAAGGGGACACAAAAGGGATTGAAAAGGCCTCCCTGCCGATTTGGGCCCGGCGCACAAAGCCTGGCGTCTGGCGATGAGATGAATGCGGAGGATTAATAGATTCTGTCGCAGCTTATGTGTGACAAGGACAAAGCCGTTGAATGGTGTCATGTGCTTCACACACACAGTGGTGCCGCAGGGCAAGCGTAAGAGGCTTAGGCAAGTCAAGGACAGTCGACACGATCGACTGAAGTAGCGACCGAGGTAGAAAGGTGGACCGCACCTTTGATGAAGCATCAGTGGGTTTCGTCTTCGTTGTCCTTTTTCACGGGATTCTTATTTCTGTCTCTTCTCCTGAGACCTTTTTAAATAGACATGTTGTATCTTCTTTTCAATCAAGTTACCCTCATGAATGGCCTATAAATCGTTCAAAAATACATTCCTTTTTATGTGAGGAATTCTTTTGTATTGTTGGCTCACTATTTGGCAACACGCGGCCATCGCATTTTATACTGCTCTACTGTGATAGTTTGGAACAAATGGCTCACTATTTGGCAAGCAGGGATGACCCTCACTGTTCTTTCCTAATGATTTGTAGCCATTTAGTATAATGGTATCAAGCTAAATAACAAAATGAATCAACTTTTACTAAGAATATCAACACTGTGAAGTGGTACAGCATACATTTATGGAGTTATCCATTATGTGTGAGGTCAATTTGATCCACAAATACAACTAATGTGATATCTTGGAAAATACTGACAAAGGCGGGTGTAGAATCCAAATGCATTATATGGGACCACAAAGTTGGAATTTAGTTTTAATAACTGCGACAAGTCCAGCAACAAACAGAGGAGCGGCAATGCGGCTAACTTCAAAAATCAGTCTTTGAAGATTGGGAAGGGGTCACGACCTCGGTCTTGTAATGCTCTGTAATCCACTGACAGGAAAACTCACTTTGCTGTGGTTTGTAGCACAACACCAAATAGCCAAAGGGGCAGCCAAATGGGTTAAGGCGGAACTCCTAGTCGGGGGCAGGACGAGGACGATTTGTGGGAGGACGAGGTAGTGAGGTCAGAGTCAGAAACAAAAGCTCAAGGAAAAGTGCTCAAGTCTTGTATGGGCGTGTTGCGAACAGTTTCGCCATGAGTCATTCGGGCAGCCTTGTGATTGCCTGGCATAGTGGAGGGGTAAGTGGAAATACACTGAGAGCACATAAGTGACCAGTGCTGCCGAATGGTGACATGGCAACAAGCACAATACAGTACACACACTGTAAATTATTCTCACGCATACAACATGTTTTAAGTGTATAATTTAGACATGTAACACATGGTTTATTTACAAGCAGAAAGTCAAGTCCCAGTCTTGCAAATGTTCAACGGATTTCAAGTGAGTTTTTCAAGCAGCCACATTTCAGTTCATTGAGTTTCATCGCCGATAACGGCTGATTGGCGAATCTCACTTTGAGAAGCTTGGTGAGTAAATGACACAGGCCCAAAAGGATTGATGAACCTTGATCATTTGGTAACAGTTCTCAAGTGCACTTCACACAAGGTCACCTACTCCTGCTTCATCTCCGGTGCTGTGCGGGTGGACGGAGGGATCAGACCGGCAGCTGCTATCCTGTTTTCGTTTATCAGGAAGTTGAAGGTTGCACATGCGTTTGGCTGAAAAACAAAACAGTCGAGATGGAAAATTTGACTGTGAATGTTCCTAAACCTTGTTGACACTAACACTGTTGTGGTGGGTGAACTTTACCGTGTCTTGCACCTCCACTGCGATGCCTTTGCTCTGAAGAAGAGCCAGAACCGAGGGATGAATGCGTTCGATTCGTGCGCCCGTACCCAGGACCAGAATCTCTACAAAAGTAAAATACCACACATGACGCATAGTATCTTCGGAGTTCTTGTGAACTGATAAACTTGAATTTTTACCTATTTGGGGTATGATCATATGGAAAAGTGACACACTTTCTTCTGTGATATCTTTAGCATTCCCAACCTGCAAAGTAGGAAATATTTTTCAGATTGATAATATAATATATTACATCGAGTACAATGTGGATTTTAGTGCACCTTCCACTGCAGGATGGAAGGAGGGAGCACTGCGCAGGGCCCAAACACTTTGTTGCCATCAATGTTGAATCCTTGGGAGCTGTAGCTGAGGATCATGATACCGCTTCCTGGCTCCTTTTTCATAACTGACACTGTGGTACGCTGATACATCTCGTCATCACTCGGACCCAAACGGTGTCCCCGCGACAGAAATGGACTGCAAGAAACATGGTGACTTACATACATAAGAACATGGTTGTAATATTATTTATTCCCTTAGTCACCACTTTGTGTCGTTTGCAGACAAACGTACTATGGATTGAATGCACTCATCATTTTTACTGGCATGATACAAATCAGGCTACTTTTCTGAGTACTGTACACCTGAACCTTGGATCAAGTGGGCGGAAAACGTCGTTACTTTTGTTTCCACTAGGTGGAGCCAGACACAAAGCAGGTGTCGAAGTCCAGTACAGTATATACTGTAATTAATGACTGTGACTGTGATCTGTTATAGCATACATTCAAACGCGTATGGATGATTACACATTTACTAAATTAAATAACTACTTAATATCTACTTAAATACAGCGGGACTGCAAGGTCTACAAAAAAGATACAGCGCACAATATGTGTCAAAGAGCAGAATTGAACGTAGTTAAGCCATAATAACAATTGTTTTTCATTCATACAAAGTTGAATTGAGGTAATATTTAGGATATGTGTTAGAAATGTAGGTTTAGTCATTTTAACGATTCGCATTGATCCAACACAGCAAAATATGTGAATATAGGTTATGGCATGCCAATGGCATGAGAAAGTGTCCTAATGCACCCAATAGTCTATTTAATATATGATAATTATTTAAATATTTGACAACATTTTCTTATATTTTAAATCGCCAATAATGGAAAAAAAAGATATATGTATTATGAAGTCAACCACTGAGTTTTATAACGAGACGAGTTCCCACAGAGGAAGGACAAAATGACACCACGGAGTTTAATTCTTCTTCCGTGCGACTTAAAATCGCAACAAAATCGTTTAAATAAATTGAGTCGTACCTGAGGAAAGTTGGTGTTGTTCTGGAAGAGAAGATTAACCTTGGTAATGATCTCTGAAGGAGGATTTTGGCACAAACCACACCAGTCATGTTGACAGCAGCGGGGGACGATAATCAGTGTGACACCACAAATCTCTCCCGGTACTGGGTAAGGCATACAAATCGATCAATTCACGTTTATTTTTGTGTTTTTTGTGTTTATTTTTCGGTATAAAGTATCTTCGCAAAATGCGTATTTGAATACTTTGATTTATAATACTTGGAAGATACAAATCTATAGATTTATACTGTACAACTAATCAGGTCCACAAACAAAACTATTAAAAAGACGAGTGGCTCTGCTTTTGATTAATAAGACTAAGGGCGTTTCTTATCTCAAGAGCGCTCCTAGCGACGTTGAACGGTAACAGCCTCAGGTCAGGTGATCAGATCTTAAACCGCATTGTAAATAGACAGGAGGGATCTATGGGGGCCATGCTTCCTTCGTAGTCTCTTCAAGAACACTCCGAAAAGGTCACTCATTCCCTCTCAGGGGCTTTTTATCACCCCACTAAGGTTTCCATACAGTTCGGCTTCGTTTCGTGGCGTCCAAGTGCAGACCAACAAAATGTACCGGTCCCTGTACGCCTTCCGATCGGCGGAGCCCAACTCTCTGCACTTCGCGGCCGGAGAGAGCTTCCTAATCCTGGAAAGGAGCAATAAACACTGGTGGCTTGGCTCACGCTGCAGCTCGGGGGAGACCGGCTACATCCCCTCCTCGTACATCGAAAAAATTCAGGTAGACACCACGTCCCACCCTCGGATGAATCTGGTGAATGAAGGACAGATCCCCGTGGATCGTTTACGGGAGGGGTTGGGATTCATCAGGACTAGTTTCTAGGCGGTTATCGTCATAAATGCGCAGTAAAGTCACAATTGTTAGACATCTGCCTATCGACTAAACTCCACCCCAAGACGACGACAATTGTGTCTGAAATAATGTCTAGAAAGAGAGTCGTGCAATATTGTTTACAGACTGGTGGATAAGAGGTTTTATTGGAAAATATTGTTCATATGAGGTAAATGTCAGGAAATATATGAACAGTGTTTTCTTTTTGCTGTGATTCTTTCCATTGTTATTGATGTTCACATTGGATACTTGTTAAAGAATCAAAGTCCGATAAAAAAAATAAGGCATTCAAGAGAGAATTACAATAAGAGCACAATTAGAGAAGAAGAGAGAATAAGAAGCTATACAGATTTTTTTTTTAACACATTAGAGCATACACTGCCCTTCACCCCAAGTGAAGTGGGATCGGCTCCAGCACACCCGCGACTCTAATGAGGACAAGAACTATAAAAAATGAATGGCTGGAATAATTTTTAAACTATTTCATCTGTAGATCCCAGCCAAGTCGCATTCTTCTCCTAAATAGTATGTTTTCCATACAGTCAGTCCTTCCCATATGTGCGTTCTTCCAGGGATGCATTCATCAATGAACTAGCCCCAGCATGTGACCTGCGCCACTCAGGAATGAATGCTTTCTCCGCATTGGCTGTGGAGCTTCAATGAGCTCCAATTTGGAATCTTGCTGAGCATGTGTGACACTCGCTGCTTTTTTGTTAGATAACTGACCCAGTTTCTCTTGCCCCCCCCCCCCACACACACACAAACACACACACAGCCGAAGGCAAGAATTTTGCTCTGTTGTGTTTAAAGTTTTATGCAAACATGAGTCAATATTTAATTCCTACAGCTCCTCATTTTCGATTTCTTTTATTTTTTTCCTTCTGGTCGCCAGGCTCCAGAGCAAGATGAAGTGTTGCAGTCCATTGACAGAGCCATGGAAGGCATCCACAATATTGCCTTAAAAAATGGAGGAAAATACAATCTAGAGCAGCGAGATGTCCTCCAGTGAGTAGAAATGTTCTACAGTACAGGCACAGTTTAACATGTTTACCTGTTAAACAAGCAAAAGTGGCCATAAAAAGTGTACACACCCCTGTTGAAGTGCCAGGTTTTTGTGATGTAAAAAAAAAAGAGAGACCCACGATAAACACATTTTCCTCTGTTAATGTGACCTACAACCTGAACAATTCAGTTGACAGCAAAATTAAATTATTTAGAGAGGGGATGTAATCAGAAGTGATCAGAATTAACTAGTCACATTCAAAGTCATTTTAAATGTGAGTCAGCACACACTTTGCACCATTTGAAGTGCTTCTGATGAACCCCATACAAAGTTAATGCTGAAGTTTGAATTCATTGAGGAATTGCAATGCTACTACACCAATTTCAAGGATTGCACAATAGTGCCAATAACATTTCCACGTCGCCCGACACGTTGAATTGGAATTCCAAAGAAGTTTGTCCTTCTGTTCTAGAAAGTTGATCCATCACAGAAAGGAGACGCTTGCACGGCGGAGCATTGCAGGACACTCGCAAGGCCTCCCGGCATCCAACAGTGAAATATCTCTCAGCCAAACTCCTCCCCTGCACAACGGCCTTCACCGAGACTATGTAAGACAGGGAGGCATTCCCTTATCAGGAAGCGTCGACAACATCCAAGGAGAGCCGGGCTTTTATCAGGTGACATTAATTGAATTAATTGTCTGTTTGCCTTCTATTATGGTGGCTCTGTCGTCAAAGCACATGTTCGTGGACCCCTGTTTAGAACAAATCTGGCTCACTGTTTTTCAAAATGAAACTGATGGGACTTCGTGTTTATTCACTCTTGCCTGCATCCGTCCCTGCAGGTGCCCCCGCAGCCTCGCCGCGCCGCTCCGATCACGCCACCGCCACCTGAGAAACAGCGCAACACCCGGCGTCCAGGTCAGTGGGCGTCGGCATAATACGTTTCTCACCGACGATTAGAATAATCGGGCTCTGCTGTAAAACACTCTGTTCTCGGCAGGTTCACAATACATTTTTCCCCATCGAGTTTTTCTTTTGTTTTGACTTTTGTTTTTTGAATGTAGTTAGTTTTAATACATTTGTAGAGTAGGTTTGCTTGTTTTCATTTGTTTTAATTTTTTTTTCAAAATATTTTTATTAGTTTTAGTATTAGTTTTATTAGTTTTTATTTATTTGTGCTATTTTTGTCATTATTTTATATATATATATATATATATATTTTTTTTTTTTGGGTGGGGGGGGGATATTTTTCATTGACTACTTTGTATAATATCCTTCATTGTTGTCTAAGTGGTGCTTGCTCTCTCCTCTTCTGCAGAACTGGACATCCCTTCCAGATTGTCTTCTCTCCCTCCATCCCCGGTCCCCTCCCTCACAATCAGCAGCACCTCTTTAGAGTCTACGGTGTCATCCGACGTCAGCCTGCCAAGCGTTTCCAGCACCCCACCTCCCCCGATACCATCCCGCGTCAAGCCTGCCGCGCCTTCAGAGTCTCCCGCTCAGTCAGCCCCAGCCAAGAAGAGCCCGGCCCCACAGCCTCCTCAGCCCCCCGCCGCCGAGGAGGAGCATCCGGAGAACGAGTGGCCGGTCGCCCCACCGTCAGTTGCCGAAAGCCACCCCGACAGCTCCAGTTCCTCTGAGCCGGTTCCACCAAGCATCGGGGCCGAACTGATCGAGCTGGTCCGGAAGAACACGGGCTTAAGTTACGAGCTGTCGCGAGTCGCCGTCGGGGTGGTGGTGGGCCACCTCCAGACCACCCTGCCTCATTCCTCCTCCACCCTGGAGCGAGTTCTCTTGTCGCTGGTGGAGAGCAAGGTTAGACTTGTTTTCTTTGCGTCACGTGCGCTCGGTGTCGCGGCCCCCTCGTACGCTCAAAAGAGAACACGGCAGCCGTTTAGGATTTCAGCTGAAGCTGCTTTTAGCTGTGAGAACTTTGTGGGGTGTTTATCATGTCAGCCACTCATTTCCCCTGCTCTGCTGTGTCAAAGTTGACACATGAGACATTTGACCCACACCAAGGCTTAAATATTTGTCAACTGCCGTTCCAAAGGAACAAGATGTAACAAGATCGTACATAAACACAACACATTACAACTGGATCTAATGCCATTTGACAGAGCATCTAAACAAATTAAGATGATATTTACCGAGAAAGCGATACTGTATGACTGACAGACAGAAATGCACTGGAAACCTTTAAGGCGGAACTAAATCCATCCATGCTGTTTTCCCTGTTTTGAGGGATTTTGCGAACGAAAATTCCACAGAAAATAAGATAAGTTTAAACGTATGCATCGCCCTTCAGCTTTAATGACTCTTAAAAAAACATTGTGAGGAAAAAAGGGCTGCAAAATGTGGACAAGGCCTCATCATGTGACTCCCTCTCATATCCGTTGCAGGACCTGGGGGCTGCGTTGCCACGAGGTCAGCTGTGTCACGACGAGCAACGCCTAGAAGTCATCTTCGGCGACCTGGCCCGCCACCGGGACGACTCCCAGCAGCGCAGCTGGGCGCTCCACGAAGACCACGCCCTCATTGCGTGTTACCTCGAGGAGCTTCTCAAAATACTGGTAAGGTGCATGAACACCAGTGTGTGATTGTCACTTACTCTTAGACGGCTAAATGACTGTATGGCAGTACAGTAATTAATTCAGTATTCACAAATTCAACTTAGCACTTTTTTTCTGAAACAGCTAAAGATGCCAGCAATTGGGCGCTAAAGCACCGTTTAAGTAGAAAAGTGTCTTGATGTTTAATTTGCACCATGACCAAAGCATGATGCGGCCACCAACAAGCTCCGTTGTGGGTCTGGTGAAGTGCAGTGTTGAAGTTTCAAATGAAGCAAAGCTACTCCACAACCTCTTATTCCCTCGTACGGTCTAATGAAAGCGTTTCAGTCAGATGAACGTATAATCCACACACAGGACACACATCCTGCTGGAAATACCAGACATGACTGATGGGATCAGACAGGCCAGTTTACAGATCCGACTATGTTATTAAAGGCTGACTCAGTCAACTTTGACAGCCTGCCAAATCTTTTGCGTTGGCATTTTCCTGCCGACTAAAACCCACAATCAAGCTGGGATGCTCAGACGAGCATTTTAATGCATCCAAAGATCTTCGGGCATGCTCTGGGACTTCAACCAATGAACAGATTACAGCGGGAAGGGAAGGAAGTGCTGTGTATTATTGCTTGTACAAATAAAATCTTTTTTTTTTTTTTTTTTTTAAGACTGATGCAGACCCCGAGGTGTGTAAGAGGATGTGCAAGTCCAGCGACTATGAGAATGTGCACTCCCTGGTTTCCTATTATCAGATGGTAAGAATAACATCTTCAGTAATCACCCGTGAAAACTCGCTCGTCATGGCAACGGTATATATACGCCCTTGGTTGACGATTGATTTTCCCATCACCGTTTAGGAGCTTCGCGTGTCTTTGCGGCTGCTGCTGCTGAAAGTGTTTGGCGCCATGTGCAGCCTTGACGCTTCTCTCATCTCCACCCTCCTCAACTCCATCCTCCCGATGGAGCTCGCCAGGGACTTACAGACCAACGCGCAAGGTGGGTGTGGGCGATTATTCCTTTTGTGTTCCAGCGTATACAACATATTCAATTACTAATATGTGTTGTCCGTATCACATTGCTCAGAGCACCAGAAGATGTGTTACACAGCCTTGGTACTTACTATGATTTTCTCAATGGGGGAACAGGTGCCATATCATCACTATGGTAAGAGTCTTGTTAATGAGAAGTATGATAAGAATGTACGTGAGGGCTTTACACTGACAGTAGAGTTGTTTTTGGGCATATACACTGTTAAACCTGTCTAGCATGCATTAAAAAAAACAAGGGCACTATGTGTGCCAAGGTACTTAAAATTGTCTCAGTTGCATTTGGCCGCTGCTGATGCGTGACAGTGTTGCAATATGCAGTATGCGTGCTGTCGTTTTGACGTGGTCATCTCACTCCACGCGTTCAGAGCACTTGAATGGCGACTTTGTTCAGTTCCTGCTGGATGTGGTGGAGGACGGACATCCCTCTGACCCCACGGAGCAGTTGCCTGACCTCTTCCTCAACCTGCTGCTGGCCTTCAACCTCCACCATACAGGTGACCACCGACAGCGTACACATTTTGTCCGCATCAACATTTACAATTGGGGGTCTGCGTTTCATTGGCTGATCATTAGAGTGGAACCAAATTCAGATACCCCTCGAGGTCGTACAGCTCGGAATTCAGTTTTCACTCTGTGAAGCTCTCTCTCTGCCTACATCTCTCCGACTCATTTCCTGGCATGTGTTTGTCATGCAGCGCCGAGCAACAATGCCATCATGCAGCAGCTGAAAAAAAAGAATGTCAAAGTTCTGACCGAAAAAGTGCTGCTGCTCCTCAACCGAGGAGGTACCTGATTGTTTTACCGGCGTCCGTCCACCTGTCTTACACACCACCAACATCATTATATATTCACTCCTCTGCAGACGACCCCGTGTGTATGTTCAAGCACATGCCGCCCGCGCCTCACGCCGTGCTTAAGTTCCTGCAGGATGTCTTCGCCAGTCAAGAGACGGCCGACATCTTTTACCGCACCGACATGATGGTGATGATTGACATAGCGGTGCGGCAGATCTCTGACCTTTCACCCGGAGACAAGGTGAGCTGGGGAGACACTAAAAAGTGCATAAAATCACTATGATAATTCCCGGGCCCTGTGTCTTAAAATCGACTCAGAAATGTTATGCTATTTGAAAAAGATAACAAGTTTTTGTCTCATGCCAAGCTAGTGACTTATTAGTCAGTCTCAAGCTTCAAAGTCATTATTTAAAAACGGTCAAAATCGATCCTGCACACCTCATAATAATAATAATCATCATCATAATAATCATAAAAATAATGATAATATATAATCACTGACGGCTCACTGTGACCATTACCAGGATAGTCAGAATAGAAAATGAATAGATGGAAAAGCAGTGAAACCGAATCAGCAAAGAGAGATATTCAGAATCAAATATAATAAAATGTGACACACTTATGGAATTTTTATGGATATTAATAAATAAACAATAAAGACTGCTAAAGTTTTTTTTTTTTTAGGTTAGAATTCACAGATTTTCTTTTTAGCAAAAATATGTTTAAATTATGGTCTCATACTTGCATTGGAAAAACCCTGTCAAATGTGTTCATATTTTTCTGTGCAAATTGCCATATAAACAGTTTCCTCCACTTTTCTTCTTTCTCACTCTCTCTATCCAAAGCTCCGGATGGAGTACCTCTCCCTCATGCACTCCATCGTGCGCTCAACAGATTACCTGGAGCACCAGCACCGGCTCTCTGACCTGCAGGGGGCGCTGCAGAGGATACTCAAGGAGGAGGAAGACCCTGGAGAGGATGAAGGGAGCGCTACGGCCAAACAGATGGATAAGCTCATTGTGCAACAGATCTACAAGGAGTTCCCGCAGATCAGCACGGGTCAATACTAACTCATCTTAGCAGGATTGCAAGGGTTGCTGCTAGGGGGAAAAAAAATATCACTTTGGGCCCTGTCGCTTAAATGCCGCAAATGGAAAATACTACTTTCTATGGCCCCGTTTGGTTTTACTCATATCACACAGTGTAGTCCACTGCAAGGAGGTGCGGTAGGGATAAGTGATACCCTGATGAATGGTGGAAGGCGTAATCACTTATGCAGGTATATGCCGGTGTTTCCTTGGACTTGATGTCCACTGCTGCAGCATGCATGGGATGTGGTAGAATTTGTTACTATTATTTGGGAATGGTGTGTTTCTATGATTGAATGAGGGAAAAGCATGACGAATGCACAAAAACAGCGAGTTCAAAGTTTGAGATACCGAAATATAGGCCAAAATAACATACCGGTAGTTTGACTCGTAAGCAATAATGAGCCTCAGTAAAATGCATCCAGTTTTCTTCTATTAAGTAATAGAAACCATGTGTTGAACATATTTCTAACCAAAATGCACTCAACCATTTGCAATCGTGCCATGTAACGACGGTGTCGGCGCTCAGAGCAGTATTTTCCTTACAAAAATAATAATAGAGTATATTCTCTTGAAACTGACTTTACGTGCTTTACCCCACCCAACCCCAAGGTGCTTCATCACTTCATCAAACACCATTGGGGAATAAAGTAGAACAAGATAAACAGGTTGAGTGTTCCTGACAAATAAGCTTCTTGACAAGTACCTTGTCTTGTGCGCTCACTTACTCAAAGCACCACAAGCATCAGGATAGTTAACTGTATATCTTAACAAAATGGAGCATTTTAGTCCACAGTGCTGCATTTCACATGCAATAGAGCTTTGTAGCTTGGTTCTGCAGTCATGGTCTTCAACAAACTGCTGCGTTTCCTTTTACTGAAATTCATATCGAATAATTTAACACAAATGTCCTTGATTTATTTACATTGTGTTGTCATTGGTGGTGTCCTGTCATATTACAACTTAATATATGTCTGTGGTTTTTTTTGTCTGGAAACATCTCTTGAATGGTAAACGTAATCCTGAAATGATACCCAATAATTTTTTTTTTGTATTGCGTTCAAACATCCATTCATCAGTTATGTTTGTTTACAGCCAGCGTTAGTGAGATGAACATCTCCCCTTCCTTAACTAAAGTGACATGCTGTAAGAGACTAATAAAGATATTTTTAAAAGTGGAAGTTGTTGAGATGGTCATGTTTATTGAATACTGACACACACACACACACACACACACACATATGTAAAATGAAATATTTCACTCTTGTGAATACTATATAATGTATGAGTTTCACTTTTTGCCTTGAACCGCTTAAGTAATTTGTTATATATATGTGTGTGTGTGTGTGTGTGTGTGTGTGTGTGCGCGCGCGAGCGTGTACTGTATAGGTCTGGGGGCCAGCTCTGGCCCGCCACATCCTTTTATGTGGCCCGTGAAAGCAAATCAAACATGGCAACTTCCATGATGATTGCTAAAATATGTACCAAAATTTCAAATTCTCACATGTAACAAATAAGAGAGATAAATTGGAAGCATTTTGCTGTTGCCAATACCTCATGACAGTAACTGAAACAACAGTTGAATAAACTGCTCTTCTTGACTTCTTTATATGATTTCAGTCATAATGGCCCTCCAAGGGAAATGGTAACTAAAATGTGGCCTGCGACGAAAATGGATTTGACACCCCTGGTATAGATATAGATTTTTTAAAATACCGGATGCTCAAATTGGTGGTCAAGTTAAAAGCCGGACAACAAACGCTGACGCACCAGACGTGCTGTGTTGCAGCCAAATCTGTTCGGGTTAACATATGGGTGAAAGGTCCAGCGGTTCGACAGCTACTCACTTGCAAAAATTCCTCTTGTAGCTGCAGCCGACCAGGTAAGCTATTTTCCCTCTTTTTTCCCCCCTGCATGTATACCCACTCTCCCTTTCTAATTGTCTTTGTTTTCTCCAAAGCGGAAAGTCAAAATGTCAAAACAGCCACAGCCGATCAGCCCAGTGAAGAACTTCTTCGCTGGCGGTTTCGGTGGAGTCTGCCTCGTCTTTGCGGGTCACCCCCTCGACACTATTAAAGTAAATCATGTGTGCATCATGCGATGAAACATTCGCTTCATGGTTGACACTAGAGACAGCTGCAGGATCCGGGACAACGCCTCTCTGGCTAAAAATGTCCATGTTGCTAAGAAATTGTCCTGAGTAATATGCAATATAGTACTTTGACCCACATTCATGTGCATTCCTCGCTGCGTGTCTCGTCCCAGCACACTGCAGACTCACTCACCATCCTCTAACACATTCAATTTTTGTTTAGTTATGATGATTCTATAATTGTCACATGATATTGGTGAATCAAGTCGGATAGTTTCACTTGAAGGCCCCACGCACCAAATTCACAGTCTGACACCGAATTCCACATCCTCTGTCAATCAAATGCAAGCCTATTTCTCTTTGTAAAGGCACTGACTTTGAGATTTTTCTGTTTTGGTGCAAAATTGTTCCCCCAGGTGCGTCTACAGACTCAACCAAAACCCAAACCGGGAGAGAGCCTCTTGTATGCGGGGACCATTGATTGCTTCAAAAAGACCTTAGCTAAAGAGGTAAGCAGTTATGCAACTTTATCTTGAGGTTGAATACCATATTTGCTTGAACAGTGGTCAAGAGCATAAATTATCAGGTATATAAAAGGCTTTACGGCGATCACAACTCTTCATGCTCTTTGCAGGGAGTGAAGGGGCTGTACAAAGGTATGGCAGCCCCCATCATCGGAGTCACCCCCATGTTTGCCGTCTGTTTCTTTGGCTTCGGTTTGGGCAAGAAACTGCAGCAGAAAAGTCCCGATGATATCCTCACGTAGGTCACGGCTTTGCTCCGGTGGTAATTTGGTCATTACCAGCACTGAGGGTGATGATTTTTGCCTCCTTCCTCCAGGTATCCACAGCTGTTTGCTGCGGGCATGTTGTCCGGCGTCTTCACCACAGCCATCATGACTCCTGGCGAGCGAATCAAATGTCTACTGCAGGTTGGCTATCCTCTTATTCCTCCTTTTGTTTTACAGTGAAGCCCTGTTGATCGTGGGCAATATGTTCCAGACCCACAAAAAAAAGGTGAAATTTTATACTCAGACAATGTAAAAAACAAACAAAAATAAAAACCCTTAAACAGGATCATAAAGCATAACCACCAAGCTCCTCAATAGCTAGCGAGCACAAACTGATGTGGCATTGCACATGGGCTCAGGAATTTGCGCACTAGCACAGATTCACATAAATGCAATTTTTCTTACACGGGCGATTCAAAAACTCCATCAGGATAGAAGCAGAAACATACTTTCAACTTCTCCCTTTGATGGTGCTCTCGGTGCACTCAAGGACCACCGATAACACCATCTCGAACGCAGATGAAAAACGCGAACAATCAACGAAACCTGACAACACCGTCAAGATTCTACCAGACGGTGCCAAAGTAACACTCCAATTGCTTTGCACAGAAACGGCGAAACCCGGAGAATATGTTCCCAAAATCATATCACTTAGCTGAAGTCATCGCGTATGAAATCGCAAAGGCAATTTGGTGGGATGGGGGGATAATTACAATTAGATGTTTCCAAAATCGTTCAAAACTAGAGTGACTCTAAGGCACCAACACACTATGCATGATTGCAATCAAAAGAAAGAATAAAAGTTCAAGATTAGGATCTGCATAAATCAAAAGATGTTGCAGGTGGTGTGTGTGCGTGCGTGTGTGTAGATCCAGGCTTCCTCTGGGACCGTGAAGTACGACGGGCCACTTGATTGCGTCAAGCAGCTCTACAAAGAGTCCGGCATCAGAGGAATCTACAAAGGCACCGCGCTGACTCTCATGAGAGGTGCTGCTCTATTTTGCTTTTCAACTAAGCTGTGCTCGTGCATCTACGTTCATTTGTCGGGCCTTTAATGATTGATCCCCATTGCATTTTCCATGATCAGGTGTGTAAAGACTCGTACCTTTTGTGTGTGTGTGATTTCAGATGTTCCTGCAAGCGGCATGTACTTTATGTCGTACGAGTGGTTGAAGAATCTCCTCACGCCGGCAGGAAAGAGGTGCGGACTCTCGCCAGCCTCATTTCAGCTCTTGGATATAAACGAGACGTCACCTGAAACGGCTCTCTCTGTCTCCTTCTCTCTCATTCACTCGGCCACACGTCCAGTCACAACGAACTCAGTATTCCCAGTGTGCTGTTCGCCGGAGGGATGGCAGGAATATTTAATTGGGCCGTGGCGATTCCCCCTGACGTGCTCAAGTCTCGTTTCCAAACAGGTACCTACATAGCTACCTACCGATTAAAGAAATCCACCAGAGACTGATAGTCAAAATCTGGGAATAAAAAAAATGAACAATACAGAATCTATTACTTAATTTAAACAAGTAAAACATAGCTAGCCTAAAAAAAGCAAACGCATTGGTAGCTTAAAGCACGTGCCGTTAGCATAACATCTCGGCAAGAACCCTTTTTTATTTTTTTTTTATTGTACACAACTGCGACAGTCAAATTAGAACTTGAGTCAATATCATCATAAGATGCCTTTGAGCGTTCCCAATTTCACTATTTTGACAAAATATATTTTTGGGGGACTTCAACCTTGACTCAGGATGCTTGCCACCTCTGTAAAAATCGGCTACATCTTTTGTCGAACATATTCAAATCTCCCCTTGAAATGAAATTGTTCATCAAGATAATATAATCAGTATTGGGTTCCATTTTTTAGGCATTTTTTTCTTTTATATGAAGTTGTTATGCATATATATTAGTCAAGCTCCCACACGTTTTCAATCATTTTGTTTTTGGCTAATGTTAGCATTCATCGGGCAACATGGTGTAGTTAGCAAGCCGACTGTGTACTGTTGAACGAATATAGTTTGAATTAGGAATATTGACCCTGTTCCTATTTGACCTCTTTTAAGGCTACAATGATGTTAGCGCAATTCTTAGAGTTCGTACTCTACATTGAAAATATGACATGTAAAAATCGCCTCATCGTGTGTGTCAATCAACTGTAGCTCCCGAGGGAAAGTATCCCAACGGCTTCCGGGATGTTCTGCGCGAGCTGATCCGAGAGGAAGGCATCGGCTCTTTATATAAAGGTTTCAACGCCGTCATGCTGCGAGCTTTTCCCGCAAACGCTGTGAGTCCATATATTTTATCACATTATATATTTTACAAAAAATTCTCTGTGTGTTGCGGATAGTGCAAGCTTGTTGTGTTTGTTAGCTTCGCTCCCGAGAGCGATAGAAGATTTGGGCCGCTTTCAATAAGAGTAAATGATAGTGTGCGCATGTTAGCATGTAGCTTTGAGGCACAACACCGATGATGTAGTTCTAGCAGCATAGTATTTACAGGGAGAGCTTTACTTTTTTTTTTTTTTTTTTTTTTTTTTTTTTTTTTTTTAATTGTTAGCATGCAAATCGAAGCTACCCTTGACAGCCACATTTGTCAACAACAACATCCTGCACGTATGCGACTGATATTCTGAGTCATTCTAATGAAGCTTTTTTTTTTTTTTTTAATCGGTGTCCTCAGGCTTGCTTCTTGGGATTTGAACTCGCAATGAAATTCCTGAACTGGGCAGCACCCAACCTGTGATGGGGAACCACTCTTACACCATGAATAATAAGTATGCGCACATCCACTCGGACTTTATCATTTTGAACAGATCTCCACTTCTCGACGAGATTGTGTCTGAAAACTTGTAGTTAGTGGAAATTTGGAGCAAATCGTATTTCCTCAAATAGTAGCCTCCATGCTAATAAGCGCCGTGTCTCAATTAATGTCAGGGTTCGTCATTTCCGCTCTTCTCCGTAATTCCACTTTTTTTTCCTTTTTGGGGAAAAAGGAGAAGCAACTGTAATTAACGTCTACACACAGAAGCATTGAAGAGAACCTAGTCGCTCAAGTAATCCGTCACGCCTACCAAAGCACGTAAACTTTTCCTGGCTGCCATGATGTAGCTGTCAAGCGAGTTCGCTGTACCGTACCCCAAATGATCTTGCGTTATATTGAGACGGTGTCTTTTCTCGTCCCCTCTGCGCTCCCACGACAGCGTTGTGTGTGCGCGTCCATTTTACAGGGAGTTTTCTTGTGTCCAGCTTGCCTTGGTTTTTCTTTATTTTATCCACAATACTTTTTTTTGGTTTTGTTTTAAGATCCCACATCACTTGATGTACATATATGAATATATATTTTAATTAAACATTATTTATGAAAAAAAATATGATCAAATGAGGCGGCAGGGTGGTCGACTGGTTAGCACGTCCGCCTCACAGTGCAGAGGTGCATGGCAGGTAAATGGGATACTCTAAATTGTCCTGAAGGTGTGAGTGGAAGCAAGGATGGTTGTTGGTCTATGTGTGTCCTGCGATTGGCTGCCAACCGGTTCAGGTTGTACCTCCGCTTGCTGCCCGAAGACAGCTGGGATCAGCTCCAGCATGCCTGCGACCCTTGTGAGGATAAGAGGATGAGAACATGGATGGATTATCAAATGATTGTGACTCTTGCGAAGCATGTCTGACACATTTTAGATGAAATGTAGTGCACTGCATTTAGAAGCTAACTTTTATACTCCAGAATTAACATTGTAAATCTCAACGATGTCTTTCTGATTATTTAAAATTACATTAATGGCATTCAGTTTCAGATGTCAGGTTGTGAATTATGGTATATCTGCCACTGAATTATAGATACTTGTAACTCCAGTTTGCGATCTCGGCGACACCATATGAGCTCATCATAATCCCAGCTAGAGTTGTCCACGTCATCATTCCGCCGAGATAAAAGGAAATTACTCCTTGCCACTGATAAATGCAAAACAGTTTTCCATATACGTCTACAATACGCCACAGCTCCTCGCTGGCATTGAAACAGGAGTTCAGCACACTCCAGATATTGTCCCAGCCCATTAAAAACTCTTGTCTAAAATATATATGAATTGTTGAAATTATCCATAGTTGACCAGGCAAATGTACTTAAATGTATTCAAGAACCGTCTAGCCACTCTTTGAGGAAATACAGTCTCGCTCTTATTTTGAAAAGTTGATTTTCTTTGGCGGTGTTTTTGTGAAAGGCAGTGATGGAGTGAGCTGGACATGTTGTGCCTTACCCCTCTGCCTTAAGTGAACATATCAGGGAAAAGGTACATTTGTTTTTATACTGTGCGTCCACACGTTTGCGTCAACATCTCAACAATAGTCGTCGCCCGCTCTCGTTGCTACAGAAAAGACTCCCAATGAGAGGGATTGACCTGTACATGAATGTTGCTGTTTAGAAATGTACAAATAATAAAAAAAAAATGTTGAATGATACTTTTGTGCACTTGGGTACTTTTACTTGCCATGTGAAAAGTGCTTTCCCTGTGTCCTTTCTATGGCCATTCGTTTCCCTGTGATGTGTCCACTGGACAGGCGTTCATTATGCGTAATCGGGAAAAGTTGAGGTCGATACTTTCCGACGGCTGAGTTCAATAAAGAAATCAATAAAGTGAATGTGACGGATGCATCAGGGTGGAGTCTGCTTGTTTTTCAAAGCGTGTTCACATGCGGGGGCAAAGCGGGCCATCCGATGCTTTGCTTTATGGAAACGACACCCGAAACCTTTTGACAACCGGCTGGACCTCAAAGATGAGCAATTCCGAGATTCCGGCGGGTCTCAAGGAGCTGCTGCAGGGATATACGGTGCAGGTTCTTCGCAACAGGCCGCCGGACTTGGTGGAATTTGCCGTGCAGCATTTTACGCAAATTTTGGAGAAGCGAAAGAATGACAAGCCAGCTAAGAAGCGTGGCGGCAAAGCGGCACGGAAAGGGGTCACTTTTGCAACAATCTCTGATGAGAGTGCCCAGGATGCCAAAGAAGAGGGGGAAGAGAAGCTTGTTGGTGAGTATTACAATTTTAGCGTACTTAAGTTGGATTGTTTTGTCAAGATGTTATCTAAAAGGTGTCATAACATGTCTGCAGAATCCACCGCTGGTAAATACAACCGCAGAGTTTCAGGTCTGTAACAATTAATTCCTTAACATGAGCCTGGGGAGCATGGTGGAGAAATCAGCCCCAAAGTTCTGAGGTCAACGGTCACATCGGGCCTAACTGTGTGAAGTCTCCATTTTCTCCCTATGCTTACCTGGGTCTTCGGATTCGAAAACCTGACCATCCCACACGTGATTTTCATGAGTACCTTTAAAAGAAAAAAATGTTTAATGTGTGTGTGTGTGCCGATGCAGTTTGCGCAGAGGCCTACAACCCCGACGACAACGAGGATGATGACACCGAGCCTCGAGTTGTGCACCCCAAAACGGACGAGCAGCGTCGCAGGCTTCAGGATGCCTGCAAGGACATTTTACTCTTTAAAACACTGGAGCAGGTGCACACGCGTGTGAAAAGACATGCTTGACCTTTACATGCATTGCGTCAGGGGTCACCAACTGAAGAGCTCCTTTGCGGACCTTAAGGAGAACAGCTACCTATTTGAAAAAAGAAAAAAAAAAACATTACCGTAATATATTATTAGTAGTAATTAATTCAGCTATGTGAAGACACTGGTCATCTTATTTCTCGCAGTAATTATCCACAATAGTTTAACAAGGGAGGAAACAGAAATACAATCAATATGCAATACTTGAAGTCACATAAAGCCAAAATGAAAACTGACCTACAAACTGACCAGGCTTTCAACACCAATCCCAGAGAGCCATCCAGCCACCACTAATGTTTTCCACGAACGTCACAGGAAATTTACTTCAACTTCGGTACACAAAAGCAGTGGCGAGCTTCAGCTCTTCAGCTCTCTTCAACCCGATCCAAATAATTAACCAAACTTTAGCAACCCTGAGAGTGGGTTAGGAAAATTACCCAGCATTTTTTTTTTAAGTGAGTGTTAGTGTATTGATTATGTGCAGTCCTCTAATGAGTGTTACGTGCTGTAGGACCAGTTCTCGGAGGTTTTGGACGGCATGTTCGAGGTGCAGGTCAAACCTCAGGAGCACATCATTGACCAAGGAGACGATGGAGATAATTTTTATGTCATAGAGAGGTGAGTGGTTTGATATATGTTCAGAAGTTTTGAAAAAAAAATGTTGAATAAGGTTTTGTTTCCTCTCAGGGGTGTTTACGATATACTGGTGGCGAAGGACGGGGTGAGCGTGTGCGTGGGAAAGTACGACAACAAGGGCAGTTTTGGCGAGCTCGCTCTCATGTACAACACGCCGCGAGCTGCCACCATCGTGGCCGCACAGGAAGGTGCCTTGTGGGGCCTGGTGGGTAACTACTGCGTGTGCCTACACGCTGACCTTTGTCGTGTAGAAACGAGACATGAATGCTATGTTTGGTGCCTTTGCAGGACCGGGCCACCTTCCACAGGCTCATTGTGAAAAATAACGCCAAGAAGAGGAGGATGTATGAGGCCTTTGTTGAATGCGTTCCCCTTCTGAAGTCTCTGGAGGTTTGTATCACAAACATTTGGAACACTCTTACTGCACTTTTAACGATAAAATACAGAGAAATGAAGAAATTACAACGGTGCCTTGAAATGCGTAACCGATTTACAAAAAAAAAAAAAACCACACACACAACAACAACATCAACTATTTTAAGCCTGGACTGCCAATCGCAATATTTTAAAGAAGCGGTCTGCTTATTTCGCGTGACTGTGTATTGGAACGCCCTTCAGTGTCGTCAACGGGGAACATGGATCGATCAACCACACTATGTTCTTTATCCCATCCCATATTTTGATTTTTTTTAGGCTGATCTTCTTCAATAAATGTTACAAAAAGCCACAAAGAAAAAAACGCGTAAGGTTTAATGCGATGACATAACTTGCGACGGTTGTCTAAAATTGAGCAAGTTTTGCGCAAGTTTTGCGCAACTTTAGAGACATAATTTTCTTCAGAATTTGTGTTGAATTGAGATTTGTATGACTTCCAATTGCTGATGTTTTCCCATGTTTAACAGCTCTCGGAGAGGATGAGGATTGTGGATGTGCTAGGAGCGCGATGCTTCAACGATGGAGAGCGTATTATAGCGCAGGTAACATACAGGGCGTATACAATGTGACTCGCTACCTGCGCACAGTCAATTTTTAATGGACTAAACGAGTCGTCACTCGCGTGGCCACAGGGAGACACAGCTGACTGTTTTTACATCGTGGAATCAGGACAAGTCAGGATCATGATCAAAAGCAAAGTAAGTCTTATGAGCTTCCACATTGCACTTCTTGCATTATAAAAAGCGGCGGTGGAAAGTAACAAAATACAAATGTCATTACTGTACTTGGGTAGATTTTTTTTCAAGCATCTATTCTTTTACGTACGATGGTGCTTTGAGATACGCAATTTACGAGTTTTGCTTTTTGCCAGCTGTCTTTGGGCATTTTTGTTGTTTTCCTTTCACTTGTGAGACAGAATTAGTAAGCAGTTCTTTACAAAAAACATGAATTTTTGAGTTATTTAGCTAGCATCATAAGTTGTTGTTCAGTTAATGTTAGCAAAGCTATGGGAACACCATGATTTTATAGCAGTGCAAGTGAATTTACTTTCCTCTCAGTGAATCTACCAGCACTATGAAAGTTAAAATGAAACGTGTGTGTGTGTGTGTGTGTGTGGCCAGTTATCAAATAGGATATTCTCACTTTTACTTTTAGGCAGGTTTCAGAGACTACGTTAACTTAAGTAAAGGAGCAAGTACTTGGTCTTTTAGCAGTCATGTCACAACTTGTGTTTTTGATACCAGACGAAGGTAGGCCAGCAGGACGACGCGGAGATCGAGGTGGCCCGTTGCTCTCGAGGACAATACTTTGGGGAGCTCGCACTCGTCACCAACAAACCTCGAGCAGCGTCCGTTTATGCTATTGGAGAAACCAAATGTTTAGGTAATGTTTTTGAATATTACCCAGCTACTGACCTCTTCTATTATTTTTTTTAATGTTGACCTCTTTTTATTTTATTTTTTTGTGAACTTAAAACCAAATTTGTCGAAACACAACGCAGTCAATCACTAACCTTCGCTAATGTAGTAAAGTTCTAATTACGTAACAGGAAATATTTGTATAAAAAAAAAAACTAAGCCATAAATGTATAACAATAAAAACGAACATTAAGCATAAAATTCAAAAATTAAAGGTTGGCACAAAAATACCATCTTTTGTATGTTTGTATCTAAAGTATACAAAATCTAGATGTATATTTAATATGTGTAGATATGCAAGCCAGCATGCCTTCTTGTGCCACATATTTTTACAAGACATGCTGACATGAATCTACCGTTTGTTGCAGAGATTGACATCCAGGCGTTTGAACGCTTGTTGGGCCCTTGTAAGGAAATCATGAAGAGGAACATCTCCCAGTATGAAGATCAGCTTGTGGCATTATTTGGCTCTAGCGTAGACTTAAAACACTAGCATGTACTGTACAGTACGTTCTCCCCTCCGCCCATTTTTATTCGTGTGTTGATCAGATGAAACTCAAGAAACAATGGTTTAAAAAAAAATATGGCCCACAGAATTATCCCCTAATGGCTTTGACTATTATTACGATCAGATTTATTCTCTACAATAAAAACAATTTCCTTTACATGAAACCATTTCCTTTCCTAAAAAAAACTGTTTTAATTTGTAGTTTTGTTATAGCGTTCAGCTCAGATTTATTCATAGCTTGGTCAAACTTTCCAGTTGTTGCTCTTTCACCTGCAAATGACAATTAACAAGACAGTAAAATGTTGAATTGCCATTATAATTGCATTTTTTTTTGTAGTAGTAGTAACCTTATCCCAAAGCTTATTGGCCAGTTTTGGAAATAATGTTTCGCAATATTGTAAAGCATCACTAACTTTGAGCAAAATGCACAAGTTTAATAAACTTATCAAAATGTTAAAAAAAAAAAAAAAGTATGAATCATTTTGAACATGGAACTGCTGATAAAATGTCAACAATATTAGGGATTTCTCACAGGATTGTTATATTTTTTCCATTTAAAACGTGCACATTGGCAAAGATAATATACAGGAGCTCCTGAAATTAGTTTTAGGCTTGTGTCCCTCAAAACAATAACCATAAAGAAACAGAGAAGTATAACTTTTGTATTCTCAGATTTCTGTAGATTTTTTTAATTTGAGTTACAAAATATGAAGTGCCATGGCAGACTCCACATGGAGTTTGCTAAACTTCTTGTGTTACAAGTATTTACACCCAAGAAAAAAAAAAAGAAAAGCCATCTAGTTCCATACTGTGTTCTGGTACAGTCCCGGAGTTCAAGTCTCTGCCAGGTTTTCCAAGTTCCATGGTCAAAGTTTAAATATTTAAAATATTTACAGTGTCCCATACTCCAAAACGTCCAAAGGAAAATGTTGCTGGAGCAATGCAAATGTAGGTGCCAGAGGTGTAAAATGTTTCAGTAGTGGGGTGAGGGTGGGGGCGGCGGGGGTAAACCAAGCTGGTGGAATTAAAATCTGTGGTCCTCTGCAGGGTCTCTGTTTTATTAGTCCTCCCCTTAAAGAAAAGCACAGTAGAGGCAGTCTGTACATATTTAAAATTACACAATGAAATGTCTTGTTTTGACATCCATGATCCTCTTGTGGGGGCAGAAAATCAATAAAAAGCTCAGTCAATCATTCTTGTTCCTCAAGCATTCTAATTTTTTTCTTCACAGAAAAGTCAAACTCCAATAAATAGAAATACAGCAGAAATGCTCAAAAAAAAGAGAAGAGAGACGTGATTCTGGTTTGGTCCATCCCTGAGTTCTTTTGAGAAGGACAAAAAGACCAGACATGGGATGACACAAGGTTGGGAGGTTAAAAGACTGACGAGAAAAAGAAAAAAAGTCTCGCATTCCTCTGGTTTCCTGAGGCTCATCTGTGGTTCTTTGATCTATCCATGAGGCAGAGTCCCTCGCAGTGAAGGTCACACAGAGGTGATGACAATCATGAGGTGAGGAGAGATACTGGAAATCCCATTGAGAAGGTCGGGCGCCAGCTGAGATAAGTGGCTCTCTGAAAATTCACATGGTGGGAAAATCTGTAGCACGTAGGCAGGCTGGGAAGAGAGGGGCGGGAATACACAAAATTACTCAACTGAAAATACTTCCGTAAATGAAGAATAGAAAGTGTGTGTCACTATACATGGTGAAAGCAACAATGTCTTCAATTTGAGGGTTCCATAATGTATCCAGTATGTAATTCAAATTTGTGATGTTACAACCAAAGCACCAAAATAATGCTGAAATTGCCAAAAATATGTAGGGGGGTGGGTGGGTGGGTGTGTGAGAGAGAGAGAGAGAGAGAGAGAGAAAGAGAGAGAAAGAGAGAGAGAGCGCTTAATTTATTAACTAGGCTTCACCTGATTGGAACCTGGATTTGGGATGTTAATAATGCCAGCCGCCAACTTTGTCTGCAAGTAGTTTATAAAGGCGGACTTAAGAGCTTGCGTCTGGTTCAGAACATCATCTTGATCTCGCCCACAAGGCAAAGCAAGCAGAAGACAGAAGTCACACTCCCCCTGCAGTAACACAAACACAACAATGACTCAATGAAACGAGGACATGCCAGGAATTGGGCAGCAACTGGCAAGGAGGCCGTGAGCACATACTGTCATTCGTCTGGCGACGCTCTCCAGCTGAGAGGCCTCAAGTCTCATCCTCTGGACAATTCTGAGGAAGGCGCCACCTTCTTGGAGGGGCAGTGATCGATGAGCCAAACCTTTGTTGCCGCACACAAAATGCAACTGGACTGCTGCTGTGTCGTTTTTTAGCGCAAGTAGCCCTTGCCAAACAATCGGGTATTTCTGTTAAGGTTTAGAGAGGAGAGGGAGAAAGACAAGAATGTGTTCAACAAGAACTTAGTGACTTTAAAAAAAAAATTAAAAAAAGACATTTTGTAGAGTTTTTTTTTTTTCTTACTGTGAGCAACTGCACCATATTAACAGGCTGTGAAATCTTCCCATCAGGAACAACATGTGTTGTGTCAGCCATCTGGGAATGGACGCCTCTTGGGTTCGAGTACATCTGAGTGTACTCTGGGAAGGCGCCACTTAGTCCTGGTGGCATGAGCGGAGCTCTCTGGGGAGATGATATTGTAGGTCCTGGCTGCCGGATTCCCATTAGTCCATCTTTAGAAAGAGGGGAGTGGGGCCTTTTAGCCTCCAATGGCTTTGCGACATCCTTCTCAGAAACACCTTTAGGCAGAATATGCGCCCTGGGAGACAAAGACATCGGTAAAGTGGAAGGTGCAGAGGCGGGGGGGTGAGTCTCTTGAAGGTGCCCTGAATGAGCGTCTGTGGACGAACGCTCGCCTTGTTGGTGGAGGAGTGCACGCATGTCTCTCTGCGTCCTAAACGCGTCGATTGGCACGCCGCTTCGGAACCCCCCACGAGGATCTGACTGCATCGTCTCCGGTTTCAACTGTGCGGCAGGTTGCCGTCCTTGCTGGTGGAAGCGTCTCGAATCGTCTTGATCGACGTCGTGACTCCTCAAAGCACTCGGGTTCACCTTGAGGACTTTGTCCCTGCCGACAGTTTGGGGTGAAGTCGGTTGTTGCTGCATGGAACCGGGCCAGGGAGACGTAAGAGACTCGCTATGCATCCCGTAACTCATCACGGAGAGTGGAGGAGTATTGACCCGAGCATCCCCCTGGACGAGATGTCCCACCGGGATCGACTGGGTGGCGGGATGAGGTGACATTCGTCCCAAACCGCCAGGCACACTATGAGGCGGCATGATAACGGACTGCTCCGGATGATGCACGCCCGTGATAAACTGTTGCATGGCGGGAAGCCCGGTGGGTAACATCACTGGTATGCCCTTAGGTGAGGAAGACCCAATGGGCGAGGACACTTTGGTAAATGGAGAATGGGGATGACTTGACTTGCGTGGGGATCGCGGTTCCTGCTTGTTGCCGCTGAGATGCGAAGGAGTTCTCTCACCGCCGGCCGTGACAAAACCCACGTGATTTCCAGGGGGAGACGGCAAATGTGGACTGATGGCAGGACTTATGGCAGAGGCCCATTGCGCCTTCGAACCATCTGAACTATGTGAATCTCCACTGTCGATTTTCTTTTGATGTTTGGTAGGCAGGTACTCCTGGTGGTACATCGAGCTCAAACTCTGATTGCCAACTCCCTGCGCAAGACGCTTCACCACTCCTTGAGGACCCGAGTGATAGGCAGGCTCCATTTTCTCCAAACCCGTGCCTTCTTGTTTATTCGAAGAAAAACTCGACTGAGTCTTACCAGAGTGGCCATGATCTGTCTGGAAAGACCCTTTCGAAAGGCCTGACTGTGGATGACTGTATATTTCCGGTTTGATTTGCGGCATGGATACCAGCTGCTGAGATTCCATGTCACCTGCTGTTGCTTGGGGAATTTGACTTATTTTTGCACTTATCCGTTGGGGTCCCTCCGTTTTTTGTCCCGAGTGGCTGAGTACCACTACTCCTTCGGATGTGTTGACCCTGAGACCCGGGCAAGATCCTGTACTGAGAGTGGAACTTTCAACAATAAAGCGTGTCGCAGTTCCCCCGTCATCACCAATCGTGGGTCCGTGGTAGGGTCCAGTATCATCTTTGCTGGGCCTGTAGTTGTGTTTCGGTAGAGCCATGTCCGCAGCCTGGTTACCAATGTTGAGGTTCATTTTGTCTTCAGGTTCAGGAGGAATGCAAACACGACTAATAACGGAGGAGTGCAATGCAGTGGACGCAATGACAGAAATCACAGACTTGGTCTCGGGAGAAGGTTGTGTGGCGGGTGTTCGAACAGACTGAGATGACATCCGGCATTCGGGTAGCGGCGATTTATTTGGCACAAGTGTTAAAGTAGTATTGTGCTCAGTGTGGATCTGATCTTGGACTGCAGGTAGATTAGTAGGTACATAACTGCTCCCCGGCAGAGAAATGGTTTTGTGTTTCAAAAGAATCTGCCTCAGATCGCTTGAGCCACGATCAATATCCATACTTTCAGAGTCAGGTGAAGGTTGTTTATCCTTGGGCGCTAATGGCAAGGCCGGTGCAGAAGTAACCACTGTACTTACAGAGTGGCGGATCCAATCTGGTGGCGAGACAGGCGCTCTACTGTTCTGAAGCGGTTTAATATTCGGTCTGCATGCTAGTGGTGACAGGGAGGGTGAATGTGGCTTTGGACCCACTGGACTTTTAGACTGGGGGTAAACAGTTTTGATATGTGGAATCTGCTCTTCGGTAGGCGATTCTGACTCTTTCACCTCAGGTGCCTTGACAGCTGGAGGCTCTTGCTCTGGCTTCCATGTGGTGGGGGTGATAACAGCAGCAGTAGCTGCTGATGGAGCAATTTCTGGGACAACCTTTACAGTGGAAGCGGTGTTCTGAACTGAAAGAGTTGATGCCTCTTCACTTAGGGGAGGTTCTTTTGAATCTTTCCGTGCTTGCTTTTGGCTTTTAGTACGCTTGATAGATTTAGGTCTTCCCTTCTGGCCCTTTTTGGGTGTGGCTGGTGGGGGAGGCTCCTGTTGCGTCTTAACAGAACTCGATTCCGATTCCGGTTCCTTGGCGGGCTGAACCGAGTCTTGAATCTCTGTTTCTGAACTTATGTCGACACTTAGAGATGGTGCTTGGGATAAAGAGACGGCTAAATCCTCATCAGTAATGGAGTCGATGGCGGCAATGAGTTCTGTTTCACTAGCTGGATTAGGTTTTTCTTCATCTGAGAAACTTTTCAAGTCTGTGATTGGGCCAGTTGACGTTTGAGGTTCACTTGGAAAAGACGGATCTGTGAGTTTGGCAATGTTCTCCACGGCCTGTTCCAATTCCATCTCATGTGAACTTAAACTTTTTGATGTTTCCAGATGCTCCTTTTTTTCCAAAGATGACGTTTCACAGTCGTCATTGTTAACCCCTTTGCTGGTGCACTTTGAAACATGATCTTTCACCTCTTTGACATTTAACCTGATCTTGAGGTTCTTCAGAACCGGAGACTTCGGGGTCCTTGGCGACTTGTTTTTTCCTTTCACAGGCTTATCTTTTTCTGTGGTGCTTTTTTCTTCCAACACAGGGGGATAATCCTCTTTGCTGTTTGATTTACCTTCACAAATCTTTTCATTCAGAGCCTGGTTGTCTTTGACCATTTCTCTTTTTTCTCCTTTCTTTTGGTCAACTTGAGGTGATTGGGGTTCTTTAGAGGAGTCTGGCAAAGCCAAGGTACTCTCATCAGTGCAATCCATTTCCTGATCATTTCCCTCGGTCAGCTCTGATTTTTCTCCCTTCTTTGTGGATCCACTTAGTTGTGCTGTCGACAACTGACCCGTTGAACCTTTTGTGGCACTCGGGGAGAATTTTCCCTTCAAATTTCTTGGGTTTCTTTCAGAACTCTCAGATTCATTTGGATCTCCATCTTTGTTTTCCATTTTTTTGTCCATTTTAGCTGCATCTTCGCCCTGCCTACGATTCTTGGGAGGGCGGCCCCGTTTCACTGGAGGAGTGGGAGCGGGAACCGGTAAATCCTGCTCATTGTTTTGCTGCTGTGTAGGATCCTTATCTGTGCCACGTTTTCTTGCAGAACGTGGGGACTCTTGAATATCCTTTGCAGTGCGACCCGGGGTTTCTTCTTCAACTGGGGTCGCATAAACAGACTTCACATTCCTACGTCTTGCTCTGCCTGATGATATGCTCTGTTCTGAGACATCAGCATCCGAGCCATGAAGGGGAGATTTGCCGGTAGACTTAAATTCCGCCCTTGGAGAGGACCCACGTTTCAGTTTCTCTTTGTCAATGCGTTCACTCTTTCGCGTGGCTTGTTTTTCAGGAGCTGACGTAGGCACAAGAGTTAAGGCAACTTCAGCTGGGGATGGTTTACTCTTCTTAGCTTTCAGTTCTTTTGTTTTATGTTCCTTATGGGCAGAGTTTCCCCCTGTGTTAGTGTCAGCGCTGGGCTCTTTACTGACTTTAAGCTGTTTTTCTTCTTCGGGCTCTGAAACTGCGCAGTACGTCTCTTTCTTCACTAGACACTCTTCGTGAGAAGGTAGTGTGAATCTTGTGGCTTGGGAGACTTCAGTCTGCGTTGACAAAGAAACAACCTCTGGTTCTGAACTACTCCCAGACTCATGCAAATTGCAGCTGCTCGGCTCTTCTACACCAGGTTTGGCATCGGTAACATCATCCAGTTTAATTTCAGGTGGAGATAGTTTAAAAGGAGCCTCTAAATAACTGGCTTCTTGTTTGACACATGGAGCTTCTGACTCAGCGGTAGGCTCGGTTGGTGGATAATGCACTGGCAGATGTTCAATTTCTTTTTCCTGTTTTATGAAAACCACAGGGGGAGATGGCTCAGTGGGTAATGGAGACGTCTGTTCTATAGGAGGAAGGTCTTTTAGCTCCGTATGTGGGATAGGGGGTGTTTCTCTGGGTTCAGAAACCAACTCCTCAGCAGGACTGATGGGCTTTATTTCTGGCTCACTGATAGAGTCTTTCGTTTCAGGTGATTGCAACATCTGTGGCTCTTCCGTTGATGTTTTTTCAACGTTTATCTCTGCTATCATTTCTTGTGATTGGGTTTTATTCTTTTGTTGTTCCAATCTTGTAAGTTCCAAAAAACGACTATGGAAAAGCACCACTGGACCCGAGTCGAGTTCACCATCTGTAGTTCCATGCTGATTACTTTGCTGATTTTGCGTTTGCTCAGCTTCTTCATATTTTCGCTCCAGATGCTGAAGCCGTCGGGTGTCCAACTCAAAAATAGGGCTGTGAAGGAAGCGGGAGGCAAACAACTCCCTTCGTTCTTGCTCTTCTGGCTTTGGCTCCTCTTTTCGATCATCAAGTTTATCTTCAGATCCACTTCGAATCTTTTTCTTTTTCATGTACCACGATGGTGTAGGCCGTGGTGTTGATTCTATCTTCTCGGTATCCTTCCGGTTGCGGAAACTTGCAAAGTGAGTATCATAATCCAAGAAGGACCAGTTATCATCTCTGGAAGATGAGAGGGATTTTGCCCGCTCAAGCAAAGCCTTTGTATCTGGTGTGATTGTCTGGTCAAGTGCAAAAGAGTAGAATTTATTTCTTTCAAGATGTGCCATTTTGGGGTCTGAAAATCTCTCCCCCCTCGGCCTCTCTGAAAAAGACTTTGAAGTAGATGCCACAGGAGAACAGGGTTTGGCTTCTCGATCCTCTTCGGAGTCTGATCTTACCTCCCCTGGCTCGATATCATGCCAAACCCCATATTCCAAACGTTTGCGGTTATGAATATTTTTGTTGAGAGTCCTAGAAAACTTTAGTTCAGGTAACATGTTTCGTTTTACTCTACTCTCCCATCGCTTTTGTTGCTCCTCTTCTGGATTCAGAGTGTTGGATTTGTTTACTTGTGTATTGTGTGTGCTTTTGACAAGCAGCTCCAAATCGGGGTTCATTTTTTCATTTTTGGCAAGTTCTTTCTGCAAATGATCAAAGTCCTCCTCTGTATGGTGGGAAAACTGGTGTCCTGGAGAGGAAGTGTTGTTCCAGTCAGGATCTTCACTTTTTTGCCTGAAGCTCCTATAGACACGCTCTCTCTTAATTCCTTCAGTGTCAAACAGGTCGAGTTTCTTTTGTTTGTGAGAGGGGAAATTATCGGTGACATCCTCAGGTGGTTTGCCAACTTCATGCACGAGACTGCGGTGTTCCAAGTCATCACTTTCACTTTCGTGCGGACTTCCTGGTTTGTCCGGTTTTCCAGGTTTGTCAGACTCTCGATGTTGCTGCTGATGCAACCGTCTATTTTGCTCCATTTGCTTGCGGTAACTCTGAGACAGGTCAATGTCTACTGGCTCCTCCTTAATCTTGATGCTTTTGGAAATTTCAGGCACCTGACCACTACTTTTGAAAATGGCACTGTGTTCCTGTTCTCTCAAAGAGCCTTGGTCTGAATTACCCTCAAGTGAAAGTCTTCGGGATGTCGTGTGGGCTGGAAGTCGCTTTGACTCAGAACGGTCCAACGATCCCTCAGATTTCTCTCTGAGTACTTTTATGTCCTCTTGAACATCCTTTGGGATTCCACTTTTAAATCTAGAATCTCTCCGTAGAGCATCTTTGTGTTTATCAGAGTCTATCTCTTTCCCATATGGTGCTATCACACTCGCTTCTTGCGATTGATTAGAATCTTCTTCATCAAGCCTGCTTCGCTTTTGGTGAATAGTCCTTCCACCTGACTCAGCAAAGCGCCTTTTTCTTGCTGCAAGGCGATCTGAATCCATCGATGAGTCTTTCCCATCATTTCCAATCTCAGTTTTAATATGTTTCTTGAGTCGATTTTTTCCATCCATATCAGAATTATCCCCTTTAACCGTTTCAGATCTTTCGCTTTTCACCGACTCGTGGTGGGCAGCTGAGAATTGACTTCCCGTAATAGAGTCATTATCGCCCTTATATTTCTGCCTATCTTGGGCATCTGGTTCAGCTCCCTTTCCTCGTCCAGGGCCTACCTCAAGAGCAGCATCGAGCTCTGTGTCTGGTAGTGTATTGGATGGAGATTGCCCCTTTACTTTCCTGGATTTGACTCTTTCTGCTTTTTCACCTCTCTCTTTTCGTTTGGGCCGCTTGGTCTTTTCGGAGCCCACCACTCGATCAGGTTGACTGCTCTTTTCGCTCTTGTCACTCTTTGAGGCATGTTCAAGCAAAGTCTTTTCAGATTTTTCGAAGTGTGGGGGTGAGAGTGAGCTGACACTCCCACTTCTCTCAGAGGACTGGCTATAAACTCGCCGCTCTGATTCCCTGGGAGCCCGCTCAGAGGGTGATGGCGACACTGCTGGGGTAACAGGCCGCCGATGGTGAGAAGGACTCCATCTGTTTCGGTCAGCTTCAAAACGTTCCCGCTCTCTTTGAATATATGTGTATTTCCTAATGTCTTGCTCAAAGGGATCTCTGTATTCCCTGTAGTCCCGTGGATCTTCATGGTATCGTGGGTCATAATGTTCTCCCTGAAAATGTTCCAATTCAGGGAAACGGTCCCGACTGCGAGCAGCGTACTCTCTCCGGGCATCTTCCGGGTAAAGGCCAGGCGTTCGTATAGTTTCATAGTAAGCTCTCTCTGCTGTGAATTCATGGTAGAGCGGTCTGCGATCCTCCCTGTTGCATGAATAGGGAACAGAAGGAAACCGAATTAAAAGAGTTCACAGAACACTTCCTTTATTTAAGCAAAATACATTTTTAAATTCTAAACCTGACTCATTATGTAAACACGCCCCATGCTATCTACAGCGTGTCCCCGTAAGTCTCCAAACATAGGAGAAATAATACATTCCATACATATATGATCCCAACATTTATGTCTTCATATTTCAGACAACCCAGAGAATGCATTTGAATAAAGAGCAACGAATTGACATCATCCTGATGGCCGGTTCAGCAAGCAGTCGTATGGATTGTCAAGAAACTTATTTCTCCTATGATGGAGACCTTATGGGAGACCCTCTGGATTAATATCTTGTTAACAACTGAACTCAATTTTATTACAAGTATGCAATTAACTATGTAACCCATTTACCGTCGTTCAGGAGGAATTTCATAAAGTTCTCTGATGTCTTGGCCAGATGTCTGCATAGCTCTGAAGAATGCCAACTGACTCTCTTGACTTGCAAAGTCCACCTGTCATCAACAAATGATCACAACATGTTAAACTTAAATCTATTCGATTAATAAAAACGCCACATTTAACAAATTAGGTCACCTTAATTTTGTTGCCTCCAATCTTCCAGCCTTTGGTCTCTCTTACAGCGGTTTGAGCAAAATCTGTGTTGTTGTAAAAGATGAGGGCCATCCCTTTCATTCTGTCAAATAAAACCTAAGAAAAAGAAAAAAAGAAAGACTGCTTATTAAGACAGTTTGATGAAAGTATATTTTAAAAAAAAAAGGGGGATCTACAACACCTTACCTTGACAACATGACCGTAACGACAAAAATGGCGCGTGAGGTATTGCTCTGTGATATTGGTTGTTAGCCCATCGAGCCAAACACAAGCTGTGGGCATACTTTTCCCAAAACCAAGCTAAGAAAAAGGAGGGGAAAAAAGACAGTAAGAACATTACACAAAAAGTAAGCATTTGACTGGCAAACATATAAAAACAAACTAATTTATTATACATTACCTTTAGTCTGTTACTGCCAAGATACTCGCCATCCATCTTTTTAATGGCCTTGCAGACACTTGCAATATCAGAATATTGTACAAACGCATATTGGGGAACTCCATTTATTTTCTTGATGTCAATGTCCTAGTGGAGAACAAAAAACACATTTAGAGGGCTAGAAAAGACAGAACAGATTTTCACAGGAAGATGGTATCTTACGACAATTTCTCCAAAGCGTTGAAAAATTTCAAACAGTTGTTCACGGCTGGTCGTCTTCTCAAGGTTGCCAATGAATAATGTTCTGGTGGCTTTTGGGTGGAATTCATCTATCCTACCATCCAGGGGCCTGAACTCATTCTCACTCTCCGTTTCTAAGAAAAGAAATGTCTCATTATGACAAGCACCGGCAGAGAAATTTTAACTTTTGGACAATGACAAGAAATTTGAACTTTCGGACAAATGTCTTAATAAAACAGTTGGGATTAAAAAGTAGACTGTAGTATTCGGCGACGCGCACTTCAGTTTAAATCGGTGCACAATTCGTCTGCATTCTCACATTTGGTCTGATTCAGCCTTACAAAAGGAACCGAGCGATGAATCAGTATTTGTTTTGCATACGTGTGAACACGCCAAACTAATGTAAACCTGCCATGTTATTCTGAGTATCTACTTTCGATAAAAACTTTTAAGTAGACCTGAAAATCTCACAAATTCCCCAGACCTCTAACAACCTGACCCCAAAAAAGTTATGTGAACCCATTTGCATATTGAGAGCCATTTCTAATACTTTGCCTCTTTGGAGGCATGCTGAAATTTGGACACCATTTTGCATTTCACTGTGGTTAACTTGGATAAGTCAACCACAGTGAAAAGCTTTTCGCACAAAAATTAAATGTCGGGAACACCAACAATTTAAGGAATCATGTGAGCCGTTTACACCCTGAATTGATAACTACGCCAGCCAAAGAAACGACCTGAGTTTCAACAATCCTGCCAAACTCAGACAAAGAAAATATCCTAGACCGTGGGAGCCTTTACAGCCAAGGATTTATGGCCGTATTCTCGAGCGGACAACACAGCTTTTCAAGACTTGTTCCGAACATTGGATCAGCAACATAAGATCCCTCAGCATAGCCACTCCACGAAAAAAAAGGGGGTGGTGGGTGGGGGCTAGCTACCTTTACAATAATGATAATTTAAATAAAACTTGACCATGTTCACAATGCATGTCGGCTAAGACAACAATATTTATTTCTGTTATAATCATTGTCAAACTTTCTGTTTAACTTATTTTAAATATAAAAAGGGAAGTTTGTGGACGACTGCTTATATTTAATGATGAAAACCAAACAGTAGTAATATAGAAATAATAAAGAAAATTGCTGTAATATCTAAACATGTGGTGACATTGAATCAAATTAGACAATTGTAATCCAATCAACTTGTTTGACCACTCAACATTCAAACCTCAGCCAAATACAGTGATTAAAGTTCTAAGCAGGACAGACTAAATGAAAAGTTTGCAGTTTTGTAAATAAAGAAACATTAAACGCCTTGGATAATGGGTGGATGTTATAGACATAAGAAGTTTAGTTGATGGGTGAGGCTCTTAGTCAGAGACACGGCGGGAGTTAAGTGAGGCTGCATTCAAAACTTGCAGTTTTAAAACTAAACGGCAAGCAATTTTCCTATTCTGGTGGTGTCTGAGTCACATCTGTTTGTGCAATTTCTCTGCCGACTGCTACACTGGCTTGCCGCGCTAACCACAGACTGGCTAGCTGCCATAAGCTTGTCTTTTGTGATCAAGCGTTTTATTTTTCCTGCGGTTAGCTTTTTACATTTTACATTTAGGCCCTGCAGGAATTTGCAATGCCACATTCGCAAACAAATGCAAACAATACGTGTGAATTACATCTTATCTCGATTGTTTTCAACTTAAATATAAAATCGATGCAGGGGCAGTGCTCATTCATCTTTTAAGGTCAACTCGCTTCCATTTTTGATAACACTTCATTCGGGTCATGGATGAGCTGGAGCATATCCAATCTGGGCAAGAAGCAGGATATACCGTCCTGTATTTTGGACTGGTTGTCAACTCATCGTGGGGTAATTAGGAATAAAGAATTAAAAATATTGTGGTGTTGTTTTTAATCCACTCTATTGATGTTAGCTCTGGTGTGATATGTTCCTAAATATGCACTGTCCTTTCTTATATTTGAACGCAAGCATGACTTATACCACGAAGTTTAAGAATACAGCAGTGTTTGAAGGTGTTTGTAAATTTCAAACGCAATTCAAGTGTTTTGGGATCATAGTTTATGGTATACAATGTCAAACGGACAGCAACAAGATACAGTCAAACCTCGGTTTTCGAACGTCTCTGTTATCGACCAAATCGGATTTCAACCAGAAAATTTGAGATTTTTACCCCTCAGATTACGACCGAAAACCGATTTTCGACCAAACTGAGCAAACCCGAATACGCCACTCGACTCCTCTCGGCTTCCTTACACAAGGAAGTGGCGCTTCCTCGTGTAACGTTAATTGTGAGCAGACGTGTTTGTTGGGATTTACGCAAATCTGTTTTTTTTTGTTATTTCTGCATAGGTATTAGCCCCTAATCATGGGCTAATAAAATAGTTTCGGATTTAGAACAAATCCCTTTTCGAACAGCCTTCTGGAACGGATTATGGTCGAAAAACCCGAGGTATGACTGGACATTCATCATTTGATCAAAGGTTTGATTATATTAAACATCACTTACCAGGACCATTCCATGCAGTGACTTCAATCAGCATGCCAAAGAACAGTTTTCCTTTAGGGACGCTAAGGGCTTTCTCTTGATCCTCTTGCTGTCTAAAGAACACCAGACCATAGCGGTCTTCTGATGCTCCATGGATCTGCACGGAGGTCACTTTGCCATGTTTCTTGAACTCATGGAATAGTCCGTCTTTTAAACTTGTGTCTGAAGAGAAAATTATTACATTTCGTAAGTGTGCACAATCATACATACAATCCCAAGAGCATGTCTTATAAAAAGTCTTACTGATTACAAGCGACATGACCTTAGAAACGAACAATGTCTCCATACAGTGTGTTTAAATTTTAACAAACACACAGTGGTCACACCTTCCGTGTAGTTTGGCCTATTCCGGTTTATGAAACTTCAATACCAGGGACAAAGCTCACCTGTCGATCGTGCCGGGAGATTTTGCACTTTAATCCCAAAGCTTCTACGTGGCTCATCCGAGTCAAGCACCATTGATGACTGAGGTGGCGCGTGAGCAGCTGACGACTGAACAGAACGCGCTCGTGATCCATCACTTGAGCTGCTGTTGGAGTCACTGTCGTCAAAAGAGTACACTATGTCACATTTGCTCGTCTGAGGGGCGAACCAATGAGACAGATAAAAGATATCAACACGGCATCACTGCCCCCCACGCCGCAAAATTGACCCACCTGCCACTGCCTGTACTGCTGGTGCTGCTCACGGAATCAGAGCTTGAAGATCTGCTGCGGGATTGAGATCGGGGGCCTCTTCCAGGGGACAGAGGGGCTCGTTTAGGGGAATGAGCAGTTTTGGAGGTCTGTCCAGTTGTCCGCTGGGGGGAAGGGTGTCGAGACTGTGAGGAATGGGACGATCGACTCCGACGGTGATGGTACGTTCTATCAACACGTCGTCCTCTGTCGTCTCTGTAGAGGTCGCGTCGTGTCGCAGTCGCAAGAGAGAAGGGGTCTCGAATTCTAGAGTCAAAATGAGGGTCTGATGCCTCAAAGGTTCCGCTGATGGCACTGCTCCCTGGACCAGCAGCAGCAAACAAAGAGCGCTCCCTGTAATAGTCCGCATTGTAGTGCCGCTGTCTGTCAAAAGTGCCACTTCGCTCATGGTGTCCATATGGGCTGTGGTCATACGCACGTTCGCGGGTTTCTGAGCTACTGCAAAATGACAAGAGGATAGAGAAGAGAAGCGGGTCAATAGGATCCTTGACATTCAGCTTTGCATTCTGTATTGTGTATCGTCGCCAGCCAAAGAAGTCTTTGTCCAAATTGAAGCTGTTTAATCTGAAAATTTAAAACCATTCTTCTATGTTTTTCGTATTGGACAGCAACAGAGCAGCACTGTGTCTGAGTGGTTACGCCATCTAATTCACAGTTTGAGGCTAAGGGGTTCGAAACAGGGCTCTGTCCTTCCAGTGTGGGGTCTGCATGTTTTCCCTACGCTTGAGTTAATTTCTCTTGGTACTCCGGCTTCCTCCAACATTCCAAAAACATTCAAAGACACCCTAAATAGTGCAAAGGTTTAAGTATGGGCATGAAATTATTTTGTCGTGTATACATACAGTATAGCCCGGCGACTGCCCAAAATAAGATAGGATAGGCTCCAGTCACCCGTTACCTTAAAGAGGATAAGCACTGCCAACATGACAAAGCTTTTGACCACGACCAGTAATGTCCTAAAAATACGAGTCATTCACAATTAATATTTCGCAGTTAATATCCCAATTGACAGTGTAACATTTGACGGATTTCTAGAGTTTCACGTTGCATGACAACAGTGGGTTAGCAAGTGATATAAGCACTGGCCCGGTCACCAGTCAATGGCAGGGCAGGCATAGCTAAACAACAACTCATGTTTTTGGAATGTGGGAGGAACTCTGAGTAGCTCGACACAACCCATGCATGCAGGGTGAGAACATGCTAATTTCTCACAGGAGGGCCTGAGCAGAGATTCGAACAACTCTACTGTGAGGCAGACGTGCTATCCCTTATCCCAATTAGATGTATACATATAAAATAACAAAACCTACACAAATATTTTATTTGATTTACAGACTATTCTCGTCGGGTATAACTTTTTTTTTTTTTTTTAATCTAAATGTGATGCAATGTCAGACAAACACAATGGAAGATGAAAAAGCAAGGGACAGAGAAATACCAACCTTTTTTGTAAGAAGTTACTGTAACTAATCCAAATAAAATCTAGGTGGTCAGAATGTGAGAGCCGGAATGAAAAACCAACAGGAAAAATCTGTTATTCTAATGTGCCAAAAACGGCTCTCTTCGATCAGACTGCAAGTAATCTTCAATTACTGTGGAGCATGAGGCCATCAGATAATCCACTGTTAGGCAATGGAATTTCCTTCACGGGATGAGGGGAGGAAAAAAAGAAAAATAAAACAACCACAGAATTAATGGATTTCTGAACATGTAGAGCAGCAAAAAAACAAAGGAACATAAAGCTCTAAAAAAAATAAAATAAAGATGATGAACTTCAGGATAATTCAGACAAGTCCATGTCGCTTAAACAGAACATCCAAATGGATCATCTAAGCAAAAAGTACTTTCCAAAAATTCCACTTTAAAGGAGTCAAAAATGTATTCCTTGGGCTTTGTCATTGTATTACGTGATATGTAAAACGGAACACACTTTGTTGATAATTAAACTCCATAATAACAAGCTATAAAATCCCAGTTGTTGGATATGGCATAATTCCACACTCCACGGATCGTATCCGATGTGCCTGCTGGCTGGCTTGAGGTTGTGGTATTACTTTGGAAAAGTTGTCTTCGGATCTCTTTTCACTGCAGATTGGGCAACCTCACACAGCTACATCCACATACAAGTAATCCAACTGAATGGCAGCTACACCAATCCACACTAGGATTCAAGTGAGTACATCCAAGGCATACATCCAGGAGGGTACATCCAATGGTGCAGACTTCTGGTATCTTCTTCAGGAATAGCTCCATAAACCTCCCTGGATAATAGAAGGGATCCTCTGTGTTCTTGTGAAGTCTTCTAAGTATAGCTTCCATATTTCGTAGGAAATGTAGCTACTCTATTTCATCGTGTGCTAAAATTGGCTTAAAAAAAATACAAAACAAAAAAACAGCATTTAATTTTTTGGGCCTTGGGTTGCATAATGATTAAATTCCAGGTTCAGAACAGGCTGTATCCATGGATTGAAAAATATTTGGGGGAAGAAAAAAAAAATAGTAATCCAGCTATCAGCAATTGCCAAGACAGACAAAAGGATAACCAGATGTAGGTAGTCCTGAAAAAGGTTATGATAAAATACCCAATACCCGTGAATCCACCATGGCTTTCTTGCATCATGGACTTACTTCCAGATTTCATTTTTTGTGTCAAAATAAAAACTTAGATCCATATCCTGGGGAAAAAATGGCTTTCAAGTATCCAAAAGCTCCCAGGAAAGGGTAATTTCCAACAAAATAAATCCAGAACTCGCCAGGATATTCCTTTTGGGTGTAATATCCATAAACAGATCTGGTATTAATGTAACCTTAAGAAATCATAATGTGTGGTAAATTTACTTAATCCCATGGGCATGGCAAGTCAATTATGATGAAAAGCGGACCGATCCCTAAATTACCTTTGTGAGACCCCTGTGAGGCATACATCCCTTCGGAATAAACCAACTATGTGATTAGGTGTTACACCTATCTCATACCGAGATTTCCACGGATTGGTGACCATGTCCACTTACCCATCTATTCTCCGTTCATAACGCCCCTCTCTGGTGTGAAGGGACACAGGGGGGCCAAAGACAGGTCCAACTGTTCCCCTAGAGAATCCTGTAACGTCCCGACTGCTCGAGGGGGAGCTGTCATCAAGGCCCCGAACAGCACTTGGGACTGACCCAGGTTCATTGTAGTCAGTCCGAAGGTCCCTGTCCCCCATCTTGTTGACGGCATTGTGTGCCTTCTGAGCGCTTTTGATATCCACAAAATCCACAAAGGCTGCAACGCCGCCCTCTGACCCTCGCTTCCGCAGGACCTTAACACTCTCCACACGTCCATACCTGAGAATGGATGAAATCAAATGGAATTGATTAACTCAAGATAAGAGAGTAATGTATACTTCATGCAAATACAGCAGGCATTAAATATTCCGAAAGAGGAGGAAAAAACAAGGAGCTGCACAGTAAATAGTCAAGCATCCAGCATTTTCAAATTGGGGAAATACCATATCTGAGGAAATAATTGAGAAAAGAGATTAAATTGAGATTATTTGCAGTAGCTGCTGCTGAAACATGGATACTATTTGTTTTCTTGGAGATGCGTTTGTTGAGTTCCTCGAATGCCCCCCCACCCCCACCCTCCCCGCATGCGAAAACGACATGTTGCGTTTTAACCTTTTCCAACCTTTGGAGCATAAACCAGACGGCCGCCAAGCTTTCGTTTTAGGCGAGTGCATTCACCATAAGTAACATCTAGACCTAGAATGGTGATTAAAGTGCCTTTGAGCAGTCCAACAACCAGCTAATATTTGAAGATGGGCCCGGTCGGCTGTCTGATTTTTTTCGCAAATTCGAGCTGGAGTGTTTTCTAAACGCACGACTCTAACACCCTCGCGGGAATTAACATGCATTTGGTATACACACATACAAATAAAAAACAACGATGCAGTGCAAGTTTTATATAATGTGCCCGTTAAACGTGTGCGACCGTGTGTCTTTTAACGATCATTAAAACGTATTGACTTGCCACAAAATGGTTGGCTGGGTGGTAGGTAGCTTGTGGCTAGCGCCTTGCTTATCACTCGTAGCACAAGTTAGCTAATTCGGCAAATACCGTCGACAGCGGCGCTAGGTTGGGCCCCTTTGGTACAGCGTGCCCTTAGAAATCGCGACGTTGTGTAGTCCAACTCGAGCAGAACTTGAAAAGCCCCCTTCTCATAGTTTGCACACGCTAGCGTTAGCATCGAAGATGGGCTAGCCAGTGACGGCTCAATGTTGTATATGGCGCGCTGCTCCGCCACCACAGAATCCCCCTCTTGCGTAACCTACCGTTTAAAATGCTCCACAATTTTCTCCTCTCGAACGTGTTCGGGCAAATTTCCCACCCAAAGGTGTCTGGTTTCCCGAACCATCTTGCGCTATCCTTTGCCCCTTCACACACATATGATCGGGCGCGTTTGAAATCCCAGCTGGTCGAAGGGTCCGTCGGAACAAAATGAACGACGACGTATTTATGCCAAGCAGACGCGGGCCTACTCGCCCGCTGCTCTTTTAGCTTTAGCCGCTGCGTCCTCGAGTCAGGCACGAGAGCGCGCTTCAGGGTGCGAGCTGCGCGAGCACAGGCTGCGCGCACCCTTTGGGAGGGCCCACACGATTCCGCCAAATGTAGACTAGTCAGTGGCGGTCCTTGCTTGCCCCTTTGCAACAAAGCCCCCCCACATAATCTCTTGACCTGTACGCGCACAGATAAAACACAATTGTGTTATTTATTCAACTATGGTGCGAATAAACTCAATTCAACTGACTTATGTGGTGAGCAATTAATCAATAAAAGAGGCTTCAAGATGGTTGACACCACTCCCAGGTGAAGTTTACTGTCAAACTACTGTAAATACAGGATAATTACACATTGTGTATTCAAGAGAACCAAACAGTGTTGACTAACAATGGTTCACGAGCTTAATGCTAAAATATTGTAATAATGGCCTCGTATATGGTCAAGGATGACGCAGTTGCTGATGCACTTCTGTGGCTTTTCTGTATTACAATGAATTGTAACATAATGCACATACAATCAAGAGTTACTCACTACTTTTGTATCCGTTTCACCTACAGATTAACATATTGTACATTTTGATCTAATGAGAGTGTTCATTTGAACAAAAATAGTCTCAAAATTATTTTACTTCAGCACACATTTTAGCTATGGACTAATACAGGTGACATGTTTGACAATTACAAACTCCGCTTCTAATAATTATTTTCTTAAACAAATTTACATACTGTTACTTTTTTTAATGCCAGTTCAAACTGATCAAAAAAATCAATCTGAAGTCATCAAGCAAGCATCTTGGCGAGAGGCTAATAAATTAGCTAAAGACATGATAAGTGCTACATTAGAGGTTATTGACAACTTCAACTCAGAATCCCCCATATCATCCTGTAGTCATGAAAAAGGGAGTCAAATAAAAATATTCCATACAAGTGTCAGTGCTGAAGGCCTCAGGTAACAACCGTCATAGCTAACCTGTTTCGTGGGTTTGGGCATGTGACGTTTGCAAACTGAGCCGTCTGATGTCATTTTAACTCTAGAGCAAGTGCACTGGAAACACTTGTATTTTTTGGGAGGGAGGGGGTCTGTCATTTAAATTGGAACAACTTTAAAATATAAATTATTGACATTTCTGATGGGTGGCACAGTGGTTAACTGGTTATGTCCACCTCAGAGTGCAGAGGTGCAGGGTTTGATTCCAGCTTGGGCTTCTTGTGTTACCATGCCAATCTACTCGACTCAGAGCCTTCAGAATCAGTGGCATGGGCAGATGTAACTTTAGCTATTAGCAATTAATTTGCTTCTTTAACCCATCAGATTTCAAAATTTCGGAACACCACTAAACAAAACTGTCACAAGTGGATACACAAATTAATAATGTACCTTCTGCCATCTAGTGGAAGGGAATTGAATTGTTCTGCCTGTCACTGTGCATCACTGGCATAGATAGATGAACAAAGATACATTATTTGAAGAAAATGAATTAAAATGAATTATTATTTTTGGACCAATTAAGTGGAAGTGGATCATTTGCTACGACACACTTTATTGTCTCTCGTGTCATCACTAGCTCACGGCGTATTTAAAACAAAAATATTAACCGATTACATTTGCACTACACTGAAAGAAGTTTTTGTTGAATTTACTCCATTTATTTCCGAGTACGTTTTTTAAGTAGGGTATACATCTACTTACAAAACGTGTCTGGATCCAGATGATTTTATTTGGTGCAGCCATTTAATCAAATAAAATTGAATGATTTCAACACAACATTTTTTGTAAGTGTACATGAATAGAAGTAGATGAGGCCAATTTGTTTTCATGTATCTCCAATTTTTCACACATTGACACCCACACATCCTCCAGAACTACCACATATGCTTACTTTTTTCTAATGTCAAGAACAGCGGCTGTCTTTTTGTGTAGATCAACATAATGTGCAACCCCAACAGATTCACATTCAACTGTATCGCCAATGTTGCATATAGATTTATGTCAGCTGTATGTGCATTCAGTATTTGTTTTCACAGTCATACCAAAAAGTACATAAAGGACCCAACGAGACTGTTTTAATAAAAAGTTAATTACATAGAAGTGTAGATAGAATTCATTTGGATACCAAGACAGGCCATTTTGACATGATTCCTGTGTGGTTAAACAAAAACTTCACAGTGTCATTTTATTTTGAATGTTGAACTCATGGTCAGGAACAAGCACAGTGGGAATAATTTACAATGCCGTGTTACACATACGTCTTTTTGGGAAAGGTGGAGATTTCATTGTATATGCATTAAAAAATCTTTGTATGTGATTTTCTATACAGTATACCTAATCATCAAAATATTGAAATTATGGCTGTTTGATGCGCAAATACTTTATAATGATTTTGATTTTGCAATGGGATGTGAGTCCCAGTATTCTCCTGACTGGGTAATTAAACAACCAATGAATCCATGTTTTATTACATAGTAATTACATACTACTCGTTTAAAGATTAAACAACTACATTGTCATCCAATTGCTGTATTGTGATATTATTAGTATGAAAGCAAAATATTGATTTGTGTGATTCCCACACCCAGCTTCTACGCATGAACAGTCTTGCTACTAAACAAACTACACATTGAAAACATTTGATTCAAACGTATGTTGCATGTGCCAGTTTAGTCTCCCATCACATCCGTGGTTTTGGTTTGTTGCTTGACAGAGAAGCCAGAGCGATTCTCTTGTGTGTTGCTCATTGCTTTTGACAACATGTGAGACAAAGCCTTTTCCCATTCACAGAATAGCAGCCATACTCTTCTTTCTCCAGAGAGAACTTGAAGTGACAAACCTGAGGGGGGGGGGGGGGATATCATAATTGACTCCAGCTTGGTCATGCGCACATCTTTGAATCAACTTTGTCATCTGGTAATGCCCATACCTCACATCTGTAGCATTCTTTGTGGAAGTGGCGTCCATTACTTTCGATATGTCCTGGAAGACTCCCATCACTGGCTATAATTAGCTGGTGGCAGGCGCTGCACTTCTTAGCAAACATCCTGAATTCATAGAAATCAAGAGGAAACGGAAAACAAGGTAAATCCAGACAGCAAACTAGGAAAATGTGACAGCTCGGAAATATGCTGTGTCAGCATATTAAATATTGGAAAGCTACAATTGTTGGCTGTTATTGTCATACCTGCTGTAGTCTAGATAGCAATAGACTTCTCCACTGTCGGCCTGCATGAAGTTTTCCAGTGGTTGTTTACAAGTTGCACAAGTAAAACAAGAAGTATGATATGTTCGCTGGAGTGCCCGAATGAGTTGCCCTCTTATCTTTTCGCCACATGACCAGCAACGCTCAAGACTGTTCTGCAAGAACGAAAAGAACAGATATGTACAAGAGTAGTTTGAATTGGCTTCTTTTTTTGTATCTGGAAAACAACAATAATTCCCTCAAAGTCCTGCAGGCTTTTGATTTACTTCTTAGGCAAAGTGCAGGAAAATATTTGTAATGAAAAGTTTTCAAAAGGCAAGAAATGTTACCCAATTTGACCTAATATAGCTAAAAAGTCAGCATGCGTTTTTGTGGACTCCCCAAATTTGAGCATCCCCAAATTTGGTGTTGATGGGTGTCGGGGTTGGGGGGGGGGGGGGGGGGGGGGCGCCATTCAAATTGGGTTGATGGGTGTGGGGGTTGGGGGGGGGGGGGCGAGGGGTGAATCCATTCAAATTTTGAAACTTGCAGGTTCAACTATAAGTAGTGAAGACTTTACCTCATGGCACGCTTCACATTCAGGGATTTCGGCACTGTGGTAGAACGTTTTTCCAGCCAGAGGGCTACTACAGGTCCTGCACGTGAAGCAGCCTTTATGGTAAATCCGCTTCAAAGCGGTTAACGCTGGTTCAGAAAAAGGTATGGGCTTCCGACAGAAACCACACAAGCCTGCATTGCATGCAAATTAAGAACAGGTTAGATTGCATACATCATCAATGCCTGAGAGATGTGAATAGAAGTCAGAAAAATATTACCTCTGCTCTCACTGGGATAATCTTCATGGATCTCATTTGGCGGTGTTTTTGCATTCGTTCCACTAGATGGCGCCACCTTAAATGCAAAGCAAATAATTGATGTAAACAAAAATGGCAGAAACAAACCAAGTACACCTGCATGTTCTACAAATATGTGCGTACCTTTACCCGCAGTACTGATTTAATTCCAGTAGATGTTTGTTCTTTTGTCTGTATACTGGTCTAAACCCGTGTTGTAACATGCTGAGAGCTGTTCTCATGTTTGAACTGATGCTTTCTGCCAATTTCGTTGCATTACGTCATCGCTGTATTGATGGAACAAATAATTCCTCATCTAATCCTCATATGAATGTCTCGGAATGTTCTTTATTTGCAGGGAAAAAAGGCCTTCCTCCTTGGTATTTTGTTGGTCGAAGTGATCAGCGGAAGCATGGAATTTTTAGCGACTTAACATTAACGTTTACCTCTTTGTTAGGAGGTGGCGGCTGAGGCGAAGACGGAGGGCGTGAGACAGGTTTCTGGGCAGGCGGAGGTGACGGTGTGGGTCGGGGCGAAGACGGAGGGCGTGAGACAGGTTTCTGGGCAGGTGGAGGTGATGGTGTGGGCACCGGATCCGGGAGATATGAATGCAGCAAAGAGGGAGGAGAAGGAGGAAGAGCGGGGGGTGAAAAGACATCTGATGATCCTGAAAGGTAAAACAGAATATTTTTTACAACATAAATAATCACTCGAATACCTAAGGTTCTTAATTTTTCATCTTCACCCATTGCATGCTTCAGACTTTATGGGAACAGTTTGGTGTTCTGTTGTGTTCAAGAATCTGTGACCAGTGCGGAGATCGAAACACATCTTGGAGGGGGGCACATTCTGTTGCTCAATAAACACTCCCATAGAGGCGTCAAATTTTAGACTAAATTTAAAGCAGTCAAGTCACTTTATACTTGGCAAGGCCACTCGATACGGGACATTGACAGGAAGTGATGTGGCGTATATGCAAATGATCATCACTTGGTTTTCTTATTTTTTTTACCTTGGTTCGTTTTTACTTTCATTTCAATGTTTGTGGACCAAAATAAGTCATATCACACATAATTTAAAAACATTAATTTGGGAGTTTCGCACAAAAAGGATGCACTGCAGTGGGTGGCGAACAATGACTCATTGTACGTGTTTGCCCGCGAATGCTCCTCCATGATGCTGACACAGTGTGCAAAGAAAGGCAACTCCATATTTTTGTTTCCGTTTTCATTTCCTGTAGCTTCATAGGGAAAATGCACATATAAAGTAAGTAGTTATACTGTAAATCAGAGCTGAACATTCAAACCAACATCGCAATGTAGTAGAATGCAATTTTCAAATCGCAGAGGCTGCAATTTCAAAAATAATAAAACAAAACTCTGCCTCCTATTTTTGGACCAATAAGCTTTATGTGTGTGATAGATATATAAAGATTGCAAGACAAAGTGTTGAGTAAGTTAAGAACTCTAAATGAAGTAGATAAACTATTTTATATTAATTAATGGTTCATTTGAACACAGAGAAACATGAGTACAACCTGCATACATCTTAAGAGTAAATATATATGACAATATCATTTTGTCATAAATACCTGCAACATCCTTATTGTCGTTTTCCCACAACATTCCCATGTTGTGTCCCGACTGGACAGATGCACGGCTCTCAGAGCTCAAGGACATTTGAGAAAGCTCTTCAGTTGCAGAGCTGTGAGATCCTGAGCTTCTTTGGGAAGGTCCTGCATGCACCCATCCCTTTTTGTTGCCACTGTGTTGCTTGGCTTTCGCTTGGTGAGGAGTTGCCAAGGTGATGAAGACACTGGACACTTTCTTGCTTGATTCTCCCGATGCCATGGCTGTGGAAAAACCTATTTGTGGTTAGCATGAAGTTCATACTGAGCGACTGGAATTAAATGTACTGAATATGAGATGTCTTTTTGAATAAAACCTATTAACACACTCTCTCTTTTATTTATTCTAGATTTTTATTACATTGTGTCATCATCCGCGGGGGTTTGAAAAAAGTCCCAAGACAATTTTGAGAAGTAGAGATTAGGAAGTTAAGATGTCCGTTTTTTTAATGTAAGAGAGTAAAAGTAAAAAGTAATAAAAAAATAATAATAATCCTGACGTAAAGTACACATATGTGACAATCCTACTTCGGTACACTAACAAAGTATTTATGCTTTCTGACTTTTCCACCACTCTCAGCCAGTTATGTTCACTCGGTTGTTTGAATGAAAACGCGGACAGAGAGCTTGCAGTTACTCCCCAAACAACAGGACAGGAATTATTAGATAAAACTATTGTTTCGAACTGCTGTCTGGACCTAGGGTTGCCATTGGCACCCAGGGAAGAGATGCCCCAAGTGAGAATGTCATTTCACCATTGGCATTTCCACCACAACATATTTTATTTTAAAATAAAGAAAGAAACAGTCAGTGCTTAGTACCTGAGAGGTGACGTGATGGTAGTTTTCTGCCTGCTTCCTTCGTCGGCGTCCCAACAGCACTGTGTTACTTCTCGATTTTTCTTGGTGGACTTTACTCTAAAGAGTGCGCTTATAACGACAGAAGGCCACTCCTTGTCAACTTCCAACCTGTTACTCTTGTCCCTGCACGCCTCCTCCTCCCTTTCTCTGGCTGGCAATATCACTTCCGTACTCACCGTAAAAGGTAAACTGTCAGTCTTAGGGGAAAATATGATGTACTTGTCTGTCCATCCATTTCTACTGCTTATCACATTCACGGTCATAGGAAAGGTGGAGCCTATGCAAGCAAACTTGGCCAGAGGCGGAGTTCACTTTGGACCTGTCAGTCGCAAAGCATGATGTACAGTATTGGTGCAGCACGAAAACACATTTGACCACATGTTGCTGGCTTTACATATTTTTCAATTTTTTTTCACACGACGTAGATGGTATCGTATAATGCCGCTGAAGAAAAAAAAAAGCAGGTTCGCCATTTGAGCCAAGATGCATGAGATGGATATACTAAAACAGAAAGTCAGGCAATGCTTGTGCAATTCATACTTCCACCTTTTTATGAAAGCTAGTGCCATAAAGTATATGACGTTTCCATCAGAAAGACACCACGTCAGATACCTGTGCTATCTTTTGGCACATCCACAGGGCTTTCCAGTAACTTTACAATAATTTCCCTGCATCGCGTCAGTACTTTATACTGTACTGCCTCTTTTTTGTTCTCCTCTTCCTCCTTACACAATATTTTCAATTTGACATGGTATCAGCACATGTCTTGTCACGTCCATTTGGTTCATGCACATACAGAGCAGAACATAATCTGCACGTGGAAAAAAAAAAGATGGGTTGTTTTCTTAACCCACTTGCTAGGTATCTTTGTATTTTGAGTAGATTGGGTTAATTGTATGGACCCAGCTGATTGGGTTGACGATTGGATTTGGGTGGGCTGGAGCTGGTCGCCATTATCGATGGGTGTGCAAATATAATGCAACATTCTTTTACAATAAATAAACATGTCAACATTGGTTGAGCTAGAATGGCTCATTGGGTACCACCACTTTGGACACAGAAATTGGGGTTCAAGTCCCAGTCAGGTTAAATGACCCACCCATGGAAATATCATAATTGCTGAGGTGTCTCCTGACATGGGAAACTTGCTTGCTCTTGTTAGAAAATGTTGGTAAAAAAAATTCTTGTGTATTATTTTTAACACAACCATACTGATAACCTTATAAACCATTTCTCAGTAGTTTTAACTCATCACAATTGGTAGTTTTTACCACTTGTTGGATCCAAATCTTGACTCAACGTGCTCAACTAAATGCGTTGGGTATAAATAGCCCAGCATCGGCGCTGTCCCTTTTGGACCCAGCTCTCGGTTAGCTATTTCACCCAATTTGGGTTACTTTCAACTCAGCAATTTTAAGAATGTCCTTATTGTCTCCCATATCTCACACAGTCAGTTGTGCTCATTCGTGATCCTAATGAGGATGAGCACTCATGAAATTGGATGGATGGGTGTTTTGAATACCGCATGGACCGACCCACACATAGCAGCAGGGCCAAAAGTAAACTTACTTTTTGTCCTAATAGTTGATGTAAGTAAAAACGAGAAGCTCGCCATAATGTGGGAATAAGTCTTGTCATTTATAATAAACATGATTTGTATTGGAATTAGACTTCAATTATCATCTGCTTTTTGATGGTGTCTTAGTCGGATGCTCCCTCTTTCTGTAACTGGAGCCTTGTCCATATTTGGTCATGTTGGTGTCCTCTTCTTCCTATAAAAAGGAGACATGTCCATATTAAGGATTGACATTTGGCTATAATTTCCTTGAATGCAATGGGGAAAAATAACAATAAATATTAGATTGTAGTGATCGCAGCTTTTACGCACAGACCATTAACGCAAACTGCAGCAGATCTTGAGAGAACAGGAGGCAGACGGCTTCTCCCAGGAAAGTGACGAGGACGTGGAGTACGTCGGACCAGTTTCCCATTGTCAGCATTAGCACCAGCAGGGACCCCAAGCGCAGCACGACAGTATGCAACAGGGTGTCTGTGCCCATCTGACGTTGTTGATCCTCTGGGTAAAATGGGAGGGAACGTGAAGCACAAATATCAGGTCAAAAGTCTCCAATATGTCAATAAATTCCAACTTTTGGAGTGTATACATTTTTGGTTCAGCACTATGAACTCTGTGATTGTGTTCCACCAGCCTCGAACACATTGTGAAAATGATTCTGCTCATTTTGTGTTTCATAGCAGGATTTAAACTTGCTAGTCCCTTTTTGGAAAAAAATAGTTGTCAGAGTGGATGGAAAACTTGAGTTTATTTAGTGACGAAGTTGCTAAAATGGTAACGTTTCTCCCCTCTGTTCACAGCCATGTTGGTAGTAGAAGCACTGCATGTCAGCTTGCGGCAGTGGATGGAAGGATGCAGTTGCTACCTATTAAACAATTCCCATTGCATTTCAAGGTGCATATGGCCATTACTTTCAATTGAAGAGAGAGCCAAAAATGTTTGAAAACCGTTTTCTGAAAGAGTGAAATCCTTATTAACTGAGTCTCACCTTGATTATATACCACCAGCATTGTGTAACAAAGTGTGAGGGGAGTCCAAAACTTAAGCGCTTCCTTGTGGGAAAGGAAGTGGTCATAAACTGTGGAGAAGGAGGCCACCACCGCCACGGCAAACACCAAGACAACCAGTCTCTGCAGAAAGGCCAGCAGGGTGTGTCCTGAGGACAGGAGAGTGATGCACCTCCCACAGTAGCGCTCAGTACTGTGCAATGGGTAGAGTCGGGCCACGTGACTCCACAGAGAATTGCAACAGCCTGCCAGCGCCCAACTGAAGGCGGCGGCCAGGAACAAGCTTATGGAGCTGTGCGGCGCTCCCTGATGGAGAAAGTATAGAGTACAGGTGATGCTGCAACCCAGGGAAAAGTGGCTCTGGATGAGGACAAGTCCTAGGCCTCTGTCACCAGCATCCTATGGCAAAAGAAAAGCACATGAGAAACTAGTCTTAACTGGGAAGACATCATCTGCTTCTTTGTCTTGACTCACCAGGCGTGCGGATGTCCAGGCAGAAACGGCTCGCAGGGAAAATTCCAGAACGATCAGAGAAGAAACCCGTGGGCCAATCAAAGACAGGATGCCAGTCAAAGCCCAAAAGTGGACTAATGATCTCCAATGGCCGCTAAGGGGGCGTTTTGACTCCTTGTTCTCTGTTTCAGAATCACTGCTCAGAAAGATGTAGAAGAAAAATAACTTTACTGCATCTGATCATGTACAGCAGGGATGTCCAAACGTTTTTCTCCAAAATGATTCAAGGGCTATTTTGACATTCTTCTTTAAATTTACTTCATACACGAAAACCAATTCACCAGTCTAGCGAAAGATACTCAAAGCATTTGTATATCATTTCTATACTGTGTGTCCCAAAATTGTACATGAACTTTTTATTCGATTTCATTGCAGTTTCCATTCAGACATGAAGTCACCGGCGTTTAATGTAATGTGAAGAACAGTACCAAATGATGTGATTGGCGGAAAACAAGGAAGTGAAAATCAGACAAATTCCTTCCGTTCTCCTGCCGCGTCACCTAGTGTAGAAAGTAAGTACTACAAGGCAGGCATTGACGGGGCCGTACATGTCAATTGCTCTTTTTAGTACGGTATATGCTAGCCCGCACAGGCTCCAGAAGGCCCCAGGCAGTAGTTTGAACATCCCTGATGTACTGTACTCCATGGCAAAAACCTCACCCGCATATTTGAGTGAAGTAGTACACTCTCATCAGGCTGCACAGCACTGATATTCCACATGCAGCAACAACACCTTTAAAACACACAGACAAAACCACACTAGTTTACACATATATTTTCCATAAAACACTTGAGTGACATAATTTACCCACAATTCCCTCAGTATCAACTCACCTTGAAAAAAGCAGTCAATTGGATTGGATTCAATAGGAAGGATCTCCGGGATCCAAGAGAAGGGGAAAAACATTCTTGTGTTTTCCTTGTGTATTATTACAGCAACGGCGACATTAGTCTGACAAACTCCACGCCTGTTTATGGTGGATTCCCGAAAGCCAAGCCTCTGGCTAAAGATTAAGTGGATCTCCCCTGGCGGCTGCTGATCATCACGAACACTACTGACACACAGTTCCAAAGGTCAAAAGTGATTTAACGGTGATTGTCAGTGTAATCACTGCTTGATGAAAGAGGATGAAAATCCCCTGAAATAAAACAAGCCTGAATATCAATAGAAAGCAATCAGAGAGACTCAGACTGTGTCACGCAAAATAATGTTTAATCCAAAATGTTGTGCAGATCTTTTTTTCCCCCAACAAAGAAACATGAATTGAACAGTGAATTGCTTACATTTGTTTAAAAAATTCCTCCACAAGATATCTGTTCAAAACAAATCAAACTACAGGGCAAGTGTTAGTAGGTCACCTTGATATTTCTTAAAACAATTTGATTTTGGAATGTGTTTTAGAAACAAAGGGTACGGTACTTGAGCCCAAAGCTGTTGGCAATGTAACCAAATTTTGAGTTAAAGTAGCAGTTTTACACTTTTGTGAAAAGGTTCCACAATTACTTATACTCTGGTCAACACATGCATAGCCCATGTTGTAAATGTATACTTGATTATAATTATATTATACGTGAAGTTACATTTGATTAGAATTGTGCCATTAACAAGATCCTTTCAAAAACTACCGCATTATATTTCCTAAAAAAATATGGATAACGATTATTCCATTTAAATATCGTATAATATATTAATATTTATTAGATTTCAAATCCATGTAAAGTGAAAATAAATACAGTATGTTTTGTAAATTTGACAACAACCCTGACAAATTTGACGCACTGGAAAAAAGTATGAGGCTTAAAAAGGTGTCTTGTGATCGACTGGTTAGCATGTCCGCCTCGCAGTGCAGAGGTGCAACGTTCGATTTCTGCTACGGCCTTCCTGCGTGGAGTTTGCATGTTGTCCCCGTGCTTGCGTGGGTTTTCCCCGGGTACTCCAGCTTCCTCCCACATTCCAAAAACATGCACAGCAGGTTAATGGAACACACACTATTTTCATGGTGCATATACAGCTAGTAAGCTACAAGAACTGCATATCATGCACTGGATAACCGTTGACGCGAATGAAGGCGTGCAATTTTTCCATAGTGGGGGAGGTGCGAGTCTGCCGGGGCTGAGGTGAGTCACTGGGCCCCATCAAATTTCTGAATTTACTTTACACGGTCTTTACTTATATCTTATACCGTCTTATGTCATTTCCAGCCAAAAGACGCCCATTCTACCAAAAAACAAATAAACAAAAAACACTAAAACCAAATTTAGTCAGGATCTGAATGAATAATTCAGGGTTTGCTTTAACCACTACTGCTCGCATATTAACATTTACAAGGGCCACAAAACAAACCATCACACTTCAAACATTTGACAGGAGCTTCTTGTCCGAGCAGCACGTGTTCATCGTTGGTCAAGTAGTTCTTTGTAAATCATTCGTACCATCTTCATGGGATGGTTGTTCTTCTTCACAGTAAAGGAGTTACAAGTTCAGAGTTTGCACAATCTTGTAATTCTTGCTGTGTGTATTTTGAAGGATTCAGCCCTGCCCGTGGGTCTGCCTGTTTTTCACGGCTTGTTGCCTCATCAGATCCCAGAATAGCATGCTGAGAACTGTGTGTGGAGCCAAGCGCAGAAAAACTGGGCCCATGCCTTTGTACAGACCGAGCAGTCCTTCAGCTTGGCACACTTTCAGCATACAATCCGAAAAGCCATTGTAGAGTCGTCCCTAAAAGGAACATTGAGAGAAAAAAAAAAAAACATAATTCAAAGCTTATGTTTTCGCAGAATCTGTGCGCAGGAAGTGGAATCTCACAAATACAGTCGAACCACCAAAGCTGAATACACATGAAGTCGACGGATTGTTTTGTTTTTTCGTGGCGATGTCACCAGAAGTATCCCAGTGATGGTAAAGTGAGATGACGACCAAAGAACAAGAAATGGAGCTTGATTGTGATGTGGGAAGTTGGACACACGTCTTTGTTCTGACAATAAGTTGACATCAATAATGAAAGAAGAATATCGTGTCCACCAGGAAGTCAGACTGCTTTGTGCTAAAGTGAAGAACGGGACCTCCTATCACCACAAGTACTCTTCCTCTGCAAGTGTACCAATGCGTCACACATTAAAGTTATAGCTGTGCACGAGCTTGTTCAATACATTATAATTTTGTGCTCTAATATGAAGCATTTAAATTATTTTCAAACTTGTACAACAACTCACAATAGTAAGTACAATGTATAATTGTATAAAATGCATAATTTGAGCAACCCTCATGTTTCAAGGTACATCCATACGTCCTCATTATATCACAGGTGAGTTAAAGCCAATCCGAGTTAGTGGCAGTTCATGAATGTCATCACGTTATTCGACAACATGACTGTCAACACGTTCCATGACGTTGACAATTGGGATGGGTGGTAAAAATAGTCATCCAAATCATATAATAATACAAGAGACTTAACAGAAATCAGAGGCACGCCGTCGTCCAAGAATGGCTTAAATTTAAACTCAGAGGTTCGACTGCAAATGTCAAACCTTGAACCTACCCTGTGAAACTCATCCACTGGCTGGTTGTAGAGCCTCGTACTAATGACATCAAAGGGTGTCATGGTGATCGCCACAGCAACCCCGCTGATGCTGGCTGCGATTAAAGCGACGAGCCAGTTGGCTCCCAGACTAAACCACTGCGAAGACGAAATGGGAAAGGTTTGCAGCAGGTGCTCACTGACGTGCATCCGAAAATGGCAGCTGTTTATAGCTGCGACTACTGCACCTGGGAATGTAACACCCATTCCTTGGCCGAGGTGAAGGTTGCCAGTTGAGCAGCTGAACCAACCATGACGCGGGGCACGGCCCCGTTCACGCCCCTCCAGAGTCCAATTAAACCCTCTTTCCTATAGATGGTGACAAAGGCATCAGACACACCCTGGAATGAAAGAAAAAGTTACACAATAGGTGATAAGGACGCACATTCCATCATCTAAAAGCAAACACAATGATTGGCGTTCTTACATTGATATTCACGGACAAGTTAGAGTCCAGCTTGACTAAGAAGCATATTTTGAGATATGGGTGGAAGGACCCACGCAAGCAAGGGAGTACAGTACATGCAAACGCAACACCGAGAGGTTCCAACCAAGAGTTCCTAACTATGAGGCGGACATTCTAACCGCAATCACATCATGCTACCTCATGAAAAAAAGCATCTTCAGTAATTACAAATATGAATGCAAATGAAGAAGAGTTTCACAACTACAGTACCGAAAGCGACTCAGTAGGCTGCTGTAATAGGAGTCATTTTTCAAAGAGGATAAAGAATTCATGCCTGTGAGTATTGTTATATTGTCAGTCTACATGTAAAGAACCATTTCGAATAAGAACATGAGGCTCCATGTAAATCTGGCGAGTGAAACACAGTGGAACGAGATACTTGAATATGTTGGTCATACCACATGGTTATGCTGATGGCCCACTGCGATGGCTTCTACCGTTTGAGCCTGCAGATGTGTCTTCACCTACATAGGAGACAGAAAATATCAGTCTTTATTCACTTTTAAAAACAGTCCAAAGAAGGTTCTGCTTCGTAGAAACATGTCTCATTACGGAGTCACTTTTGGGTTTCTATTCTCAAGCTTTCATCCATTTAAATGACTGTTTGTATCTAAATTCACACACTTAAAAATGTAGCGTTGCTGTCAGTGTCAGCCGAGGAGGAAGCGAACTGGAAAGCTACACGAGTGTTCCTTTTCATCACGGAGATGTGAGGATTAAAGCGCTCAAAATGGTAAACTATTATTTGATATTGCTGAATGTTCTTACCAATTACAGTAAAAGCATTGAAAGGATTCACTTGTTAGATAATTGTCCAAAAAAAAGGGAGTTTAAGCACATCATTGTGTCACATAAGCGTTTTTTTTTTTTTTTTTTTATCTTGACTGACCTGACCTTTGGCCAATCATTGACTTGTTGCATCTGTGAAACATATGAGGACGAATGTGCAATCTCAACAGGTTGGGATTCAGCGACCTACTTGGGGTCACGTTTCAACACAGAGCAGCACAACGACACAATGACCAACATCTTGTACAGTATGCGAATAGGGAAATAAAGTTTCTTCGCTTACCAGGTAGGCAGGAGAGGCAATGAATGCCCCAAGTGCCCCGGCCCCCGCCCCTGATAGGACACTTCCTCCATGGTATGACGTGATGCCTAGAGCTTCACAGTAGGAAAAACAGCCCAGCCTCACGCCGTTCATCACTCCTTGGTAGATCAAGCCGACGGAAAGCCCCTTCTGAAGGCCCCGGAGCCCATCTGTGCGGCCCACCACCCAAAGGGCCTGGAGGACCCCACGGTAGTGCCTCTGGTAGGTGCCCCGTGCACGCAGCTCTCCTTGAAGCTGCAGTCGGGTCTTGACTACTTCTAAAGGGTTGGTGAAGACACAGGCAGCGCAGCAGGCCAGGGCACCCAGGGCGAAGTCCAGATGTGGAGTTGGTGAGGGGGCGAAAATGGCACGGGGCACAGGTGACGCCGTGGACGCCATCATGTGGAAAGGCTACAAAACTGTTAGGAAACCTGCAGGAGATCACTTGTCATGTCTCAGAGGATTGTCACACTTTGCCCTTTGACATGAAAATTGTCTTTGTCAGTAAGTCGCTTGAATGGAACAGGAAAGCCAGAAGGAAATGTTATCAACCTTTTTTGCATGTCTGACATGTCACATACCACACTGTTGTGTAAATGGCTCCCTTTTCTGCTATCAAGGGAGGCATCGTCTGCAACAAGACAATGGGTTGCTTTTAATGTCCAACTCAGGGCTGTTAGTCATGATTTTCTTCAGTGTGTTCTTATAACTGTGAATCCATATAAAACCATAATTATCTCACCCTATTATTAGATACTCAATAAAGTGGTCGATCCATAATTACCAGTAGTCTTTAAATCAGAAGTCAATGAAAATAGAGTTTGTTCAACTGTTGTTGAATTACTTTAAATGCTCACTTTACTTCACATATATCAAAAATGAAGACAACGTGTAATTTTGCTACATGTTTTAGTAAAAAAACATGAAATAGACATACAGAATATGATTTTGCTTTAGAAGGGCACTTAAAATGATAGACAGATCTGGAAAAAGGGCCTTGGGTTCAACCAAAGTTTCTGACACCAGACGATTAAATGATTTAGTGCAGAATGACATTGAAAAGTTTTGTTTTGTTCAAAGTGGACAGTGGAGTTCTAGTTGCTTGCATGCATAATGAATAAACACTTTAGCAAATCAGTCCAAAATCATTTCAATCCCATGTAAGCATCAGCTGTGCTGATACGGTCAAAGGCATTCAAATTAACAAAAATGGCGTGTTTGAAGTTCGTGCATTATATGCAAGTTGATGCCCTGACCGCTTGAAAAAAAACATCTATTTTTTTATGAGTCCGCTCATTTAAAGCGATGAATGACACTGGCAGTAATCACACAACAGTGATGTGGTCAAAGTTATTCAAACTAGCGAACAAACGGATGAATGAATTACACTCACATGACAAAGTGTCGCTCTTCGCATTAACTTCAGTCTGACTTTGTTGAGTGTTACGGGATCATGTCCGGCTCCATTCTTCCCTTCTCTCAATGTAAACATGTGTCCGGAGCTCAGTCATTGTCAATGACTCCGCCCACCGACCAGGCCGCGGCCAATAGGCACGCGGCTCATACTGCCACCTCACCAGTTTGCGAATCTCCACCAATCAAGAGGCTCGCACGGTCTGACAATTGGAAGTTCTGTGGGTTAAAGGTCAGCGTTAGTGAGAGTTGGGGGGCCGAGTGGAGGGTCTCGGGTGAATGGAGGTAGCGCACTGCTCCTGAATCGAGGTCAACCTGACATAAGATTGTGTAAACAACAATTTCATTATCAATGTGCGCAATTCTGTACTGTAATGATATCCATAAATCAAAAATATGGGCAATTTCTGAAAGTCTAAGTGCACTGAAAACAAAAAAAAAATCAATTATTAATGGGGGTGTTATTTTCCGGAGCCACTAGAGCAGGGGTCCCCAACCTTTTTTGCCCCACGGACCGGTTTAAGTCAGACAATATTTTCAGGGACCGGCATTTAAGGTGTGGCGGAATTAATACAACAAAATAATATGGTATGAGCTGCATGAAAACTGTGGTGTTTTCGAAATATAACAATAAACACAAGGAGCGTCTAATCTGGTCGCAACACTCTTATCGCTCTGGTAATGTTTAATGCCTTCAAAATACGATACAACGCAAATTCAAAGTGCATGAAAATGACGACTCACCACAGCCCCGAGCTTGATTTTCTGCAATCAGACAGTCCCATCTCGGGGTAATAGGAGACAATGACACCTCAAGTGTGTGGTTTATGTCCAGTCTACTTCGTAATTTTGTTTTAGTCGCTGTTGCTGCAGAAACCCCCCACCTCACACAGGTAGGATGTCGGAAATAGCAACAGTGCTATTGTGGCGATCTCAGAGTATTCAGCCATAACTTTGATCCAGTAGTTTCGAACATACTTTTAAGGCGGCCGTCATTTGCGATCTCCAAGCAGCTTTTTCACTCATTTTGCGGGCTTCAGCGTTTTGTTTTTCTGTGCGGCCCGGTACCAAATGCCCTGCGGACCGGTACCGGTCCGCGGACCGGCGGTTGGGGACCCCTGCACTAGAGGACGTTCATTCACTGCATTGCCCATTCAAGCAGTACTTGGACACTGCCCTTCGACAAAATAATCTGAACACACGGTAACATAACTTTTGTGGTGACACTGTCTTGAGATCCATGGTTTGTGCAAAGAAATGGGAGAGACATTTCTCACTGAAACAAAAAAAAAAAAAATCTGTGCTTAAACACAGCAGACAGGGACAAACAGGAGACGTCGAGACCTTTATTGTTTACTAAGTTTATAGTATAGTGCCACATCTCTCACAACTTTTGACCACCACTGTGCAGAAACGCGCGCATACACATACATACAGTTTTCAATGTAAACATTGCAGGCTTAAAGATTGATGCCGAATGCAAGGTCGTCACACATTTCTGTCAACAGCATCCTCCGTTAAAAGTTCATAAGACGACAAAAGTGGAAATGTTATGGTCTGGTTGATCAGCCTAACAGGAGCTAAAAATGTTATGTAGGATCAATGCAGTCAAAAACGACCTGTCCGCAGTCATTTTTAATCCAAGTGTGGCTAAGATTTTGCAGAAGCCAGGAGGGAAGCAATTGTGAAGTGGAACATCTGATTCCCCGATAATCAATTCTTCCAACAGAAAAAGGCCTAAAGTGTTAGTTCCCTTGTGTGGTCACGGGCTGAACCCCTGTACTCCCAACCTTGGCGTTGACCTCCATTATTACCTCTTTGCACGGACAAAGTACAAGGCGTTTGTTTTAGGGTAGTACTTGACATTCTGTTTCTTGTCCATGAGGCCCCCGAATATAATAAGCTCCCCCCTGCCTTGAACCACAGTGTGGAGGCTGGTCTCTGGTGGCCCCGTAACCGCAGCTGGGGTCCCGTTTCCATAAACTCTCCAAGCAACGGTGCCAGCAGCTTTTGCGCGTGACACATCCAACACGTACATCTGCATTGGCTTGCAATTGATACAGACCGACTGATACAGAGGTTTACCTACGTTCAGACTCTGGGGAGGATGATGGCCGAGGCGCCGGGCAATCGGCGGGATAGCATGTCCGTCTGCTCCTACAACCTGCGGGGGGCTGGAGGAGGAAGCCGGGGGAGTACCAGGGGGGCACGCTCCTGCTCCGCCACTTCCTCCTCCAAGAGGAACTCCCTGCGTTTGAAGGGAAGGTGACGATAACGAAGAGGATAAAGATGAGGAAGATGTGTTTTTGACTGCCTCAAGGCCTCGTCGTAAGGCAGCCGGCGACACCGCTCCTGGTGGAGTGCGCGGGGAACCCGCAGGAGGTGTGTGCAGGCCGTTAGTGCTGGGCACTTCAGGATGGTGTGTGGCCTCCCAGCTGTAGTCTGTCGAGGCAGGCGGATGGGGGCGAAGAGGCGGGGAAGCAGCCTGTGCCGGACTGGTCCGCGGCGAAGGGGAGGAGCCATTCAGTAATGGCGGCGGCGGAGGCAGAGGGGGGCTGTCGGGACATTGTGAAGGAGACGGATGCTGGGAAGAAGATGGGCTACCGTCTCTGGCACTTCCTCGGGCTGAAGGTCGGGGCCTCAGTGTGCCCCATCGGCCGTTCACACATGGAGCCTCTTCGACAGCGCCGAGAACGACGCCGGCCGCCCCGCTGCGCACGGGAGACTGAGAGCGCAAAGAAGGTGGTTCCGGACCCAGAGGGGAGGGTATGGCACTTATGGGGGAGGGCCGAGAGTTAAGACTTGGGCTGAGTGGTGCCCGTCCAGAAGGAGCCTGTGAGAAGACCACCACACACTGGCCCACCTAGAGGGAGAATTGAACAACACACATGAGAACCATTTTTATTGAGGATTTCAGTGAACCCCCATTCATCGCTGAATACACATTGCAGACCCACCCAAAATAGGTAACAATCTTAGATACAAATACCATCAGACAAAAAAAAAAAAAATGGCTTTCATTTCCCACATGTTAGATCATTACAATAGTTATAAAAATCCATAAAAAAACAATTATTCAAAAAACAAATTTAGTGGGGTGGTGAGTAATGATATAGCCAGGGAAAAACTGCATGAACATCAATATTAATTAGCAAGAATTACTCTGCAAGCTGGGTGGCACCAAAGCTCCGGGGCACCATGGTCCTCGTTTTCCACATGCAGCTGCTGCCACCTCCAGGTGGGTGCGTCTATATGAAGCAGCCAGGCATCCTTGAGGAGCTTTAAGATATGGTAACACAGGTATCTCGATGTGTGTGGTTGCAAACACCTCCAATGGATATCATTTCCATCATTATTGTACAGTAATTTAAAATATTCAATTATAATAACTTCTGGATGAAAAGATGACAAGTGGTCAAATTACACTTACAGCATTGGGGCCTCCACAACCTCCCAAGATGAGCAGCGTGTGATCATCAATCACAATCTGTCGCGAAAACACCAAGTCAGAAATAATTTGCATTGCCAACAATACTACTTTCAATGAGTCAACAAACTACTGTCTAAAAACCCCCCAAAAAGAACAATAACAGAAAAACTTTAATTAGGTGTGGTTCTCCTACCTGTGACTGCCCACCTCGTGGGTGGGGACACGGGCCAGATATAGCTGGTTTAGACCAGGACCATTGTTCCAGATCCAAAACCCACACCTCATTACTCCTGGTGAGAATAAACAGAAGTTAATAGTCACACAATTTGATGTAAAAACATGTAAAATATATGCTTTGTATTGTACGATGCAATAAATAAACCCAGGATAAGAATCATACATTTGCCGTGCTCCTAATGAGCCTCCAAACACCACCATGACACTTCCAATTACAGATGAAGAGTGGCCAGCCATGGGCGGCGGGCCTTGTGTTGTCACAATGCAGTTCCACCTAGGACAGAAGGAATGGATAGGCTGTAAATAAAAGAAGAAATACAAATTGTACACACAGTCAATTTCTTCCCCCTCACCAGTTCTTTGAAGGGGAGTAGGTGTGGATTTCGTCAAAAAATCTCTCTGGTTGGTGCAATGGGTATGGACTTGGTCTAGTCCAGCCTCCAAAGAGCACTAAGAGATCTTTATGCATCACCAGAGTTGCTCCAGCTTTCGGTGATGGATATGAGCCTGGAGAGAAGAGAGCGTTGATGAATTCAACTTATGTTCCGATTTGGCGTGTGGGTCCAAATAACAAAGACACGGGAGGGGATTGTTAACTGTTAACTAAACACGACAGCACAAGTTATTCAGCCTGTGGCTCAAATTCCATGACGGGCACTTGAGCAACTACATCCTTAAAGTTATACACCCCAAATGCTTGACATTCCGATGTAGTACGGCAGCCTGAATGACACAGAATACATAACACTTGGGAATTTAAATTACACAGATGTGTTTAGTGAATTACGGCATCCAGGGAAGATCCATTTTTTGGGAGTGTAAGCATCGCTAATTGCATGCTGTCGTGGTAGAAATGGGCCACGTAATTACAACATAGTATCTTACTGTTGCGCCGCTGATGTGAACAAAGACGGCCAATTTCAATGTCGCAAGTCATGTCAGGACCCAAGTGCGTCATTAAGCACAGTTTACGCATACCCCCAACCCCGTTTTTCAATCATGCATAATGTATTTAGAAACACGCTGTTATTGCAGGGTCATTGAAAAACATCACATGAACCCGTTTTTCTATTCTTTCCGCTGGTTACAGAGGAGAAAGTAAGACTTGTGAGCCACAGACAAAAGCGCCTGATCTCAATCGCGCAATCTGTGAAGACGATCAATTGCTTGATGTGTGTAAATCATTAAAATTCCAACATCCGTTTTTTTTTTTTCCCCCAACGCAGCAGACAAAACATACAGTACAGTTTTTCCAGACTACTGACTTAACACCATTGGTCAAGCATGTGACAAATGTCATTTATGATCACAGACAACAGCCTTTCTTTCATTTGCCCCATTTTATTTTCAAACTGCGATCAGTCTCATCGCGCATGGGAACTTTTTTCTATGTATCTCTGGTTGTCCTACCTGAAGCTAGAGGCCGAATCCACTCCTTGCTGTTCAAGTCCAGTCTCCATAAATCATTAAAGGCAGCATTGCAGCTACTCTGGGTACAGCCCCCAAACACATACATGGATTGGTTTGAGTCGTAATAACATGCACCTGCAAGAATAGTGGACATTTAAAGAGTCTTGAAACGGAAACAAAGATGTGCAAGAGAGAGTTTTAATATTTCGCCGCATAACCATAGTATTCAGCAAAGGAGAAGCATAAAATGTGTTTTCCTTTTTTTTAATGATGGCTGCTATATTTCCTGAAAACAAAGCCTTAGGTCTGGAGCCTCATCAAGGGATTTTATGAGAAGACAGAAATTCATCTGACTCACATTCAAAAATCAATGTGGAATCTAAATATTTCAGCCCAGAATCACCATACCCGTTAATCATGATTTGTATCAGAGTCAAGCACTTGTTGTTTTTTTTTTTTAAGTGTTATATTAACGATAAATATTTTATTATTAATATTAATTCTTTACTCTTCAACAACGGTTAACACCTGGAACTGATTCAATATTGATTATTTCCTAAATCAATTGCAGACAAATCACATTCCGGAGCCAATTTTGTTCCACATTGGCTAACAGCTGAAAGGTTTTGTTCAGTTTCATCCAACACTGATTGATGAGCAATTCATTTGCCATGCATGGAGGTGTGTATACTGACTGTGTGAAAAGCGCTGCGTAATCGGCGTTCCTGGATACGGGTATGTTCGACTTTCCCATTGAATGTTTCCTTCCTGGACGGCTCTCATAAAACCATGATAGCACTGGTAAGCGACACCTGGGTAAAATAAATGATTTGCAACAGCAGTTCCTTTAACATTTAACTAGCCTTGTTTTCAGGCTGCATCATTATAATAAAAAGCATTTACCTTTAATGAGGCGATACCACTGCTTGCACACAAGTGCAGCCGTTTTGTGCTCCTGGTAAGGTGACAGGAAGGACAGAATGTATTCAAGGACTTCCTCTGGCAGCTCCATCATGGTTCTCCCTCCAGATTTGGCACAAGTGTCCACGTCCCCTTCTTCCCGATAGGACCCTATCTTTGCTTCAAGGGCCTCTATTATTCTAGCGGGGTCGGCGCCATCATCCTCTGTGTCCATGGCAACAAAGCATCTGTCATCATGGTTGGTCGTTTGGGACATTATGGTCTGTTGAGACAGAGGACACATAACGGTGATACATGTGCGTGATGTTCATTAAGAGAAATACCCTAGTGGAATTGCAATGGATGGTGCATGCAGTCAAAAATGTATATGTACCCACAGGGATTCATAAAGTAGATGATTATTATAGGACGCGATGTAAAGTTAGGTGCATAAATATTCTGAAATATGCTTGAACTGCAGACGTCCAGCTTTAATTTTTGAACAACGCAGGAATTCAAATGATTTATATGTGCCTCCAACTTTTTAAGGGGCCAAAAGCATTTGCTACACTAAAACATATTTGCATTTGGAATCTTTCAACAAACTGTTGTAATCCCTACGCCACTGACATCATTCAGATGTAAATGGCCTCAATATCAAAGCTGAAAGTCTGCAGTTAAAGCAAAAGTTGTTACATTTCAGTTCCATTGTGATGGTATTCAGAGCCAAAGGGATGAAAATTGTGTCCATGTCAATTATTTATGGACAGGACAGCAGATGTGATACTTGCAGCACTTTTACTGAGGTTAGCTATGGTAATCAATTTGGTTTACTATTTTAAGGTCTCTACTGCAGTGAGATGTAAAGGCACCTTGTGGCAAGTCCATTCAAATGAACCCACTAACAGTAACTAGCTTGAACTTTGAACACGTTTCTCTTTACCCCTTGGACATGCGCAGGTTTTAATTGTTTTCATTGTTGTTTGAGAAGGGTGGTCCCCTTCGCCGAACTAGACCCCCCCCAACAACATCCATCCCACTATGTCGTTAGCAACAATACTCTACCTTAGCCATCACATCATAACGGGTATGCTGTGGTACTCCCGTTTAGGGCAAATAAAGCAAAGCGACCGGCATGATCGGCGACTACTGTGGACGTTCAAAAGCAGCATTTTGGAGAGTGTCTTTCAAATCATGTGTTTTAACGCTCGTTCCCCTGAGTGTTATGCTCACACCGACTAGAGCTGGCTAACGTAACACTAGCAGCTTGGCTAACGCCTAGGACTGTTTGGATAGTCAAAGGTACGACAGCGTTTTCATTCAAGACACAACCAACAAATAAATAAAAAACCTTGCAATCACTTCATGGTGCAATATTCCAACTACTCAACAGTCTCAGTTACACTAAAAAGCGGGTGCTAAATTGTTTGTGCACTGTTGATAATCTAGGCTAACGTTAGCTTCGAGAGAATCTACGATAATTAGCTGCTCCGACAGGACACATCTTTTGGTCAGGCTGTCTTGTGAATGACGCTGTCACTTTCAGGCCTTTCTACAGCGGGAGCTTCGACAGTACCGTCGTTTAAGACGTGATCTTCCGTGACTGTGTTTTAAAGCTTCGCTTGTCCCCGAGTATCAGCTCTGGCGTGTCCTCAGCAGCCTCCGAGCGGTCGCCATCTCCCATGTACCATCAGCGTCCTCGGCAGTAGCAACTGTGCGCGCAGCGACACTCCGGCGGCGGCGGCAGCAGGAGCAGCAGCAGCAGCAGCAGCCACGGGTCCGCTCCACTGGCTGGGTGGGTCCGCTGGTTGGGGGTGGTCCGAGGCAGCTCTGACTACAGTACAGTACAGTACAGTACAGTACAGTACAGTACAGCACAGTACAGTACAGTGCAGTACCACCCCTTTCGCTGAATTATTTTGAACTCAATTTAACCCTACTTTATTTCGAGAGCAGTTTTTTTTTAAAAAGCACTTTAACCTAAACACTGAACTTAATGTCACCTTCTCTAATTGTCTCCAACTGTTCGACGTTTCAGTACTTTCAGCACAACTGGCCATTCTTGGGAAATATTATAACAGGTGGGGGGAAAGCAAGGAAGTTGTGGCTTTCAGTGACTCTTCCAGTGTGCCCCCCCCAAAAAAAAACCCTCCCCCATAACTTTTTAAAATATTGGCGAGGGGAGTTATGTAAGTAAGAGGTAATGGCACCAAATATTCAATGTTATTCCCTTAAAGGTTATTTTAAAATGTCCGTTCCAATAATGTGCTCACTTGAAAAGTGGGTAGCTTCAAACAAAAGGTGCTCTGTCCTGAATTGTTTAACACATCTAGATGTAAATACCATAAAATAAAAGCTGGAATTCTGAACTTTTGTGTGATTCATATTTTGATTGGAAACCCAAAGGTTTACAGGATACAACAAAAACAAAGGCATCGACTTTGCTGTTCAATACTTTTGGAGGCGATTGTACTTCCAAGAGGGCTATTGCTTTGAACTGCATTTAGTGGAATTAGAATGTTGTTATTATTATTATTTTTTAATTATTATTATTATGAGCTATAGTCAAAATCTTAAGTCTCTCGGCTAGGACGTTTGCCCAAACAAATCTCATCTGCTGCACATTGGCCTTCCTTGGGGTCGAGTAATTCGGCCTTGGTTTATAAAAAGACTGGACTATGCAGGCGGAGACAACTACGGGCTGCAGTTTGACGACTGAGATGTTGCGTTCAAAGCCGTTGGTTATCTCCTCATCTTGACAAAAATGTACGTTCCACCAGTGCCTGTCATAACATTTGTCACCCTTAGAACTTCTTCTCCGTTAACCTCTGCGATGTGTCTGACTGCACAAGTCTATTTAAAGACAATCTGAATGAAACGAATCTTGAATAAAAACCCCACTAACTAACCATTGTGGTGTTGGCAAAGTTATTGATACCGTCCATCCGATCACTCTGCTTCTTTTTAATAAATAAATGCAATAAATCTTTGTTATGTCTGTTTGCAACCACATTATGGAGAGTTAGGTGTGAGAGGTGCTTGTGCTTGGGAGAACAATGCCGAGTGGACGTGACGCCAAACATAGTAAGAGCCGAGGCAGGACCGTAACCAGGAAGGGTTCCTTGTTTCAGTTTAGTATTACGATCGCTGGCCAAATAAAAACAGGTTGGCAGTCCTGTGAAGTCCGTGCCCTTCTTAACTTCGTCAGAAATCTCGGTTGTTGTGATTAGACGCTGCTACTGAGCCTTACTTGCCCCGGAGCTACACTGCGCGGATGCGAAGCAGCAGTTAGCTGGTGTGGGGAAGCCAAAGCTGGGCGGTTGTGAGTTGCTAAAATGGAGGATGAAGAGGTTGCAGAGAGCTGGGAGGAAGCGGCAGACAGCGGGGTAAGAAACACAGGTCGAGCAACCTTGTCTCGTTAAGCTTGGTGTGAATTTATTAAGTTCCGGTGATAATGCAGCGTCCGGATAAATTTGGTTCGGTCAAAATCGTGCGTTATAAATAACCAGCCCGTGACTCCCTAACAGGCCTTGCTGTCTTGCGACTACCTGGGTCAAAAGGAAATGTAATATTCCACCAGCACAATGGTGATTTTTTTTTTTAGTGTATGCTTTTCAGTTCCAGTTTCCTTTGCTTTCAGTTTGCTTTGTGCAAAAATAACCTTTTCATGAAGAGATACACTTTGCGGAAATAAGGGCTGCAATGGAACGTCATGATAATGTGGCTATAACTAGTCACGTCAGGTTTTCTTCATTTAATCTTAGAGTCTTTGTCATTACGGAGTACTTTATGACTGTATACGTACATACGAGTTCGTAGTTTTGGGAGAATTTGATCATTTTGTCATGAGCCCCGTGGAGCTAGGGGTGACGTCACTTCCGTGGTTCCCGTTGAGTCGGAAATCCAAGATGGATGCTTCCTGGAATGTGCCCACGCAATTGAATGTTTCCAGCTTTTGTTTTTCTTGCCTCAGGAGTCCAGGTTACAACAATCTCTCCACCAATTTTAAAGTAATAGCCAATTCTCTTGCCGAACTGGAGGCAACGCATTACACACTTTGGGGTTGCCATTACCAAGTTAACCCTCGATGTCAATACTTGTCAACAATTTAGCATTACACTGTACAGTATTTTATAGACTTGTCCAAAACGCTAATGCTGTCATTGGATGCGTTGTTTTAGCAATGCCATAAACTATATTTGCAACAAAGCCAATCAGTAGAGTGCAGACAGTAAATTAATAGATAAATAAATACGAAAATACAAATAATCTTTTTTTAATGTGAGGTGTGGGGGGCCCGGGGGAGGGGGGCATCTGTCAGTTATCAGGCTACATGGTTTTATTGGAACCAAAAACCCAGATCACCATTATTTTAATTCTTTATAGGCTTATGCACTTGCCATAATGTTTTGTGGAAATTTGTTTCAAATTTTGTGTGTGACCTGCTAACAGTATGTGTCCTATTATTTACTGATTTACAATATCTAAATGAATACTGCGAAAAGGATTTGTTACAAAAGTAAGCCTGGTAATGGTCTATGACATTTGCACAGTACTGCACAAACAAGCACAATTGTATTGGGTTTGTTATAGTTCTAATGTCCGTTCAATACTCTTTAAGAAATTACATTGTACATTCCAATGAAGTGTTAACCTATTTTGAGTCAAGTTTAATTTAGATTTCTGTCATGATGTCTGAAAGTATTTCTTACATATACCACATAGGGTATGTTTAAAAAAAATGCATGTACTGTATCTCTTTAGGAAATTGAGAGAAGACTTGAAGCAAAGCTGAAAATAAACCAGCAGACAAAGTAAGACCAGTAATTAATATTTGCAAATAAATAAAATACATTTAAATGGATTTTAAATATCACTATTAATATTGTTTTATTGGAAACCTTGCTATCTGTGCAGGAAGTCCAGTTCAAATTCACCTGTGAGAACTGCGATTGTAATCCAGGATGACTCTCTTCCTGCAGCACCACCCCCACAAATTAGAATTTTAAAGCGTCCGTCAAATAATGGTACTGCAGGAAATCCTGCATCCTCGTCTCGACCTTCCCAGCAGATGAAGTCTTTGGCCCAGCGGGAGGCGGAGTACGCGGAGGCTCGTCGGAGGATTCTGGGTAGTGCTTCATCAGATGATACACCTCAGGAGAATCCAGGCCAAGACAGGTAAGTCTTTTCAGCAAAAGAACTGACAATTTTGTTCTTGCCACAATTATTCACTTGGTTCTCTTCTTTTCTCAAGGCCAGTTCGTATGACTGCGCAGCCATCAGAACCACTTCGTCCCAACAGTCATGTGATCCGCCAGCCAAGCGGGCTTGATGGCACTTCCGGCTTCCGACTTGGCAGATAAACCAGAGCCTCCTGCTTTTAATGGGTCAAACGTGTTCCCGAGAGCAGTGAAAGGGTGTGTGGTATCAAGAGCAGAGTGGTGTGTGAACATTTGAAACATGAAGATAATAATGTACTCGTCCACCCTCTCTCTACCCAACTTACTGGCGCAGTCTTTGCCATCCGCCTTGCCTTTTACCAATGTGGAAGAATAGGAGGGGCTGGCAGAGATTAGCTACACCCTCGGTCGGCTCTTCTACGCTATAAGTAGGCTTTTGCCTACCATCCCTGATCACTGTGATACTTTGCTATACCATGAGGTGCCCTTTGCCTCTCACTCATTCGCAGGCGAGTGTCAGGCTGGCCGGGGTCAGTCCCTTCAAGGTGATTTAAGTCAGTCTCGGAACAACCCCTGCAAACGTGAACGAATGAGCTGGCCCTTCCCTGGGAAGTTGAAACGGGCATGGCTGCGTGCTCTCCGGTAAGACGGGTACAGGCGGCTAAGTATTTTCATTTAAGTAACTCTGGTATTAGGCACTGGACAGAAAGGCAACATGGTGCCGCCCTTCATCGCGCCCTTTGTTTTTTTGTGTTTTAATACTGAAGGAAATCAAAGCAGTGCACAGTCCTCCATGGGGTGGGAGTAACTGCCCATTGGTCACCCAGACAAAATATTCAAAGGTTTCATTATTGAAGCAATAACAAGTGTATCCCCTCCTAATTTTGTTTTCGGCCCATTGTCTCTCTTGTGCTTTAGTTCAAATGGTATTTTGTTTTGAATTCTTGAAACTGCATCCGGTTTTTCTTTCAAGTTTTATTTTATTTTTTTTGGTCAAGGAATTCAATACACACTTGATTATACTTGATTTGAATATTTATATGAATTACCACATCAAATTCTAGAGGCTTTGAAACAGTCCAACTTGTTTATGAATTGTATGAGCAAAACTGATGTCCATTGGTTTGCTTGATCTGCAGCGAGTTGGTCAATGTAAGCCAAAGACTGCAGCATATTCACAGACACTGCCATGAACGTTGATTGATGGCCAATGATTGATTTACAAAAGAGGAGTGTCCACGATGATGTGATATTATAATCAGGAATTCTGTCTGACTTTTGGATTGTAGTCAAATTTAACTATTTTGTGTTTCTATGGTTCTTTTCTCACATTTTTACACTATTGCCAGATCTCCACAACCCCTCCAACAAAAGTTTGCAAATCATGAAAATATTCAAGTCAGCTGCAGCCATTCAGAGCATTGTTTTTAAACGTTTGACCCATTTACGCCTTGAATGCGAAATGACCAACATGCTTCTTCAACTGGTGTTCATTGCACTCATGAATGTAGCATAAGTTTGAGGCAAATAGAAAAAAAAACAATGCAACTGGTTCCGACAAGTCTTAAGAAGCACTCCATAATCATCCACTATCCACTACAATTATTTACTTTTAAAAGAACTGATGAAGTGAAAACGTATGTTTTATTCTCTTGATAAACCATAAAAAAAAATGAGCTCACAATTCTATTCTCAATATCATACAAATGAGGCCATGATTCATGAAATAAATATCACACTAAAATGAAAAGAACTTAATGCTGGAATATCAAAATTATTCACTTCAAGTCAAAAGGTTAAATTTGTTGTACATTTTCTAAGTCTTAAGATTATTAACTCGCTTAGAAGTCATTTAGGTGCAATGAGAATATTTTTTTCACAAAAGACAAGTAGGAGCAATCTGTTATGTACTTGAGTTTATGTCTCAATTTTAATATTTGATTTGTTATTCTCTATCTCCCTGCGAATGGAACAGCCTCTTCCCATATGCATGGTACTCATCAGATTTCTGTTCTGCGCGGCAGTCGCATTTAAACTTGGGAACGGTCACAGCATATGCTACTAAAGCTCTATTGCTATCGCAAAACTCAGGGTAGCATATTCATTTTCAAAACCCAGAACTGCATCTTTGCTTCAATTTTGAGTTGGCACCATTGCTTGCTTGGAAACTCGTTCAATCTTTGAATAAGGCACAAACGTGGATACTCCTGATAAATTCCGAAAAGATTAGATTCAGTCATTGTTACAAATGGGAAGCCAATCACTAAAATGAAATTTTGATTTTAAAGTAGTGCTCACACTATCTGCATCTGTCATCAACATTTTGTGATTGTTTTCTCATGAAGCTCAGTTCTGTTCTATCACAGCGTCAGTAGTGTGAGGCTTCCTAGATGTCATATTTAGAATCCTGAAAACGCTGATGGGAAAAGAAAATCCCTTTAATAAACATACAATAAAATAAAACGTCTTGTTTTGTTTTTAATGTGAATTAATTTGTTCCTTAGGTGGAAGTTTGTATTAATGTGAGGTGTGCATCATCCCATAAGAGACTGTAATACGATGACTTCACAGATTCAGTCCTACAGTGCTCATTTGACAGATGCTTATGTATTGTAAATGGAATAGATTATATTCATTGTCTTTTCAAGATGTTTTAATATGAATGTTACAATTTCAAGGTTCACAAGATAACACGAACATTCAACTGTACTGTGTTCCAGCCACCAGGCCGTCAAGGTCACATATCCCAGGGTCTTGGTTGTTAGGCCAACACAGGATTGTTTTGACTCACACTTAACTGTAATATGCTTCTTATGCCCTCAATGTAGTACACATTACATAGCACATAGACAACAGGGATGTATGAATTGTCACCTATGGAATATAATTATTGCAAAAATCTATGTATTATTTCAGTGTTACTGTTCACCCGTACAGAAGAAGGAAGGATTAATCTACAATTCAAAAAAGCTGTTTGTGAATTGTAGATTAATTTATTACACAACACTGATTGCGACTATTTTACATCTAGCATTCAACAAACAATCCATATATAAATAAAACTAATACTAAGACTAGTAACATAATTAAAACATGTTTGAAGTAAATAAATACATAACAACTAACGAGTTAAAACTATACCTCGGTTTCAAGAAAACAGAAGTCATAAGAAAATAAAAACTAACTACCGGTAATGAAAAAAAATCACAAACTATTATAACCCTGTTGGCAAGAAGTCGCTATGTGGCATCTGCGGGTGCCGGAGGGGATTGTTTTAGTGTTCTGTATTTTGATTAGAAAATAATGTAATTTTCTGATTCGTGTTCGGTCAATATATGGGCAGCTCTTTGTTATAGCTGGGGGTGTTTTTAAAATGATCGATAAATAAAAGAGTAAAATAGAGTACGTACTGACTTGGTTTACAAACCAAAATTTGCATTACGCCGCCTATACAGTGGCGGCGCTGTAGAAAGCGCGACGAGCTTCTTTCGACTTCTACTCCGTTTCAACCAAGAGCGCTGAGGTGTGCAGTGAAAGTGGGAAGTTGGAGTTTTACTCAGTGACACTTGACGAAATGGCTGAAGACAACAGTTATGAATCGATACTCTGTGTGAAGTCAGAGGTTCACGTATACCGGATTCCGCCACGGGCGTCCAACCGTGGGTATCGGTAAGAAAAATGTTCACCAGACGTCCGGAACTGTCAAGTCGCTCGCTAAATGTTATCGGACACACACTTCGCGTCAACACAATTTTTTTTTCTCCATAAGTGACGTATCCGCCTTTCAAATTACAAATCTGCCTTTCAAATTCTAGACTACGTGAAAGTTCATGAGCCTAAATGTAAGGTTGATTCACAAACCTACCTCTTGGTTGTGTAAAGTTGTATTTTCCAGCCCTGCTGCTCCTTCATGGACAAACTTTGTTTTGTTTTTACTATGAATGTCTGTTTATGTTCTGTCTTGTGCTTTAGCGTACACAGTTATCACTACTTTATATCCAAACTTTAAAATTATTGCTGAAAATTGCTCAGATATTCTCCCGACATATGGAAACTTGAGACCCAGCTTGCTTCTGTTTGTGCGCATAAAATGTGAGGTATAAGAAAATAAAAACTAACTACCGGTAATGAAAAAAAATCACAAACTATTATAACCCTGTTGGCAAGAAGTCGCTGTGTGGTATCTGCAGGTGTCAGTAGTTTAATCTTGCCGTAGGGGATTGTTTTAGTGTACTGTATTTTGATTAGAAAATAATGTTGTAATTTTCTGATTCGTGTTCGGTCTATATATGCGCAGCTCTTTGTTATAGCTGGGGGTGTTTTTTAAAATGATCGATAAATAAAAGAGTAAAATACAGTACGTACGTACTGTGCTGACTTGGTTTATAAACCAAAACTTGCATTACGCCGCCTATACAGTGGCGGCGCTGTCGAAAGCGCGACGAGCTTCTTTCGACTTCTACTCCGTTTCAACCAAGAGCGCTGAGGTGTGCAGTGAAAGTGGGAAGTTGGAGTTTTACTCAGTGACACTTGACGAAATGGCTGAAGACAACAGTTATGAATCGATACTCTGTGTGAAGTCAGAGGTTCACGTATACCGGATTCCGCCACGGGCGTCCAACCGTGGGTATCGGTAAGAAAAATGTTCACCAGACGTCCGGAACTGTCAAGTCGCTCGCTAAATGTTATCGGACACACACTTCGCGTCAACACAATTTTTTCTCCATAAGTGACGTATCCGCCTTTCAAATTACAAATCTGCCTTTCAAATTCTAGACTACGTGAAAGTTCATGAGCCTAAATGTAAGGTTGATTCACAAACCTACCTCTTGGTTGTGTAAAGTTGTATTTTCCAGCCCTGCTGCTCCTTCATGGACAAACTTTGTTTTGTTTTTACTATGAATGTCTGTTTATGTTCTGTCTTGTGCTTTAGCGTACACAGTTATCACTACTTTATATCCAAACTTTAAAATTATTGCTGAAAATTGCTCAGATATTCTCCCGACATATGGAAACTTGAGACCCAGCTTGCTTCTGTTTGTGCGCATAAAATGTGAGGTCAAAAGAAACCAACATGAAACAAGAACTGCAAACCAAAGAACACATTTCAACAGGTGCCCATTGTTTCGCTTCCTGCCAATTGGCACAGGAATGACTTCTCTTTATAGGATTTGTTTTATCCAGCTGGCAGGATTAACGGTTCTGTTCTGACTTCTTGAGAACCATTGATTTCACTTGCTCTCGCTGGTTGAAGCAGGAGCTGCTCGTGTTAAAATGGTAATTTACTTTTTCTGCAAATAAAATGCAAACCTACTTTTGCTCCACTCAAGTGCTCAGTGAAGATCTTTCTCTGGATGGAAACCAGGGCCTATTGGCCCCCAATGCATTTGGAGTCTTTGTACATTGGCCCTTTATCACAATAGGGTACATATTCTAAATAAAGCTGAATATGTCCAGAAACACATGTATAATTTTAAATATTATCATTGAATGGTCTGCTAGTTTTATAGCCAAGAACATCTAATTTCTGCCACATGATAACCCAGAACGATCTACAGGGTGTTGCCTCTGATCAATTCATTGTGAGGAACAGATCTTGAGATTGGAAAACTCCTGAGATGTAAAAATGTACTTTTTTTCCTCCCTCCATTGTTTACAGTGCTGCTGACTGGAAGCTAGATGAACCTGCTTGGAGTGGGAGAATGAAAATCACTGCAAAAGGAAAGCTTGCCTACATCAAGTTGGAGGATAAAAATACAGGTAAACCAAACTTGCACACAGTCACGCTTGTGTATTGAGGCCAGTTTCTCCCTGACAGACATTGTGGTTGAGTCTCCTGTAGCTTTCATTTTTTGTTACAAATTTGGAGAAAATGGATGCGACAGGTTTTTCAGTTCAGATTCCAGCACCAATTCCCTAATCGAAATTATGGAAATGGGATTGAGAGTCAAACTGTCACAATTGTACAACCTTTCTTAACTGCTGGCAATTAACATTTTTTACATTCTTAACTGCTATGCTAGTTCTTCCCGTAATGTCATACGTTTCCAGCCATATTTTTCATAAAGCCAGATGGTACAATTTTTGGTGCAGTTCCATTTTGAGGTACTACTGTATCCTGTTTGCGTTTGCAGGAGAGCTTTTTGCCCAAGCTCCAGTTGAACAGTATCCGGGCAGTGTAGTTGAAGCCGTCACAGACTCCAGCAGGTACTTTGTGATTCGGATAGAGGATGGAAATGGTAAGACATTTAAAAGGAATCTTGCTTTGCAATAACACAACATGTCACATTTCTTCCAGCAGTCATATGTTCATCTTCTCAAGTATGTGACACAAAATCTTTCACATCCATGTTTTCATCGTAGGCCGTCACGCTTTTATCGGTCTGGGCTTCGCTGATCGGGGAGACTCCTTCGACTTCAACGTTGCTTTGCAAGACCATTTTAAGTAGGTGAAGATGGCTGTCTTTTTTCTTGTTAGATAAGCTGTTATCCTGTCAAATATATTTTTAAAGCTGAAAATGGAATGAATTGTTGACTTCAAGGTAGAATTAGGAGCTAAGCTGCACCAGGCAGCTTAGTTGTTCCTCTATAGTTCTACAAGTACGTGCTCTTATTTTGAAAGGTGGGTGAAGCAAGAAGGTGAGCTGGCCAAAATGGAAGCAACCCAGAGTGACGCGCCAAAGCTCGACCTTAGTTTCAAGGAGGGGCAGACCATCAAGATCAGCATCGGGGTGAATATATTTCTCTTGCAATTTCAACAAATTGAATAGACAGCCATAGATACATTGGTAAAATGTCATTTGTCTTGTGACAGAACATCAAGAAGAAGGATGCATCTGGGACTAAGCCACGCCCCGTGGCTGGAGGTCTGCTCCCACCACCACCGGGCATCAAGGCCGGAGGCGTCATCCCACCTCCTGGCAGCCAGCACACAGTCACACCTGCGCAACAGCAAACCAACTCTGGTAACTACATTTCTATTCCTACGATGACAATCGTTGTGATGGAGTCGGGCCCCTGAAAAAAAAATTATGGTACGTGAATAAAGTAATGATATTTTGAGGGCAAATATTTACCCGGGTTGGGATGAGGGTGGTTGTGTTTTGATTTGTGTGGGAATATTGACATCATTCAGTTTGGATTGCAACTAGATATATTTTTGTAAGATTGCAATTTCCAGCCATCTATTTTCTGTAGTGCTTCTCCTCATAAGGGTCGCAGGTGAGCAGGCTTTCCATTTCCCCAACTACTCTTTCGGAAAGCTTGCTTTCTTTGGCTGCTGCAATTGTATTGTCAAAATTTTGGATTTACTTTCCATTGTACATTCATAGCCTTTGTTATTCATTCATATATACGATACCGACTAAAGCAGATGCTCACCCATTTCCATGCTCCTGCATGTATCACCAGATTGTTACTTCATTTATTTGATCTGTCCTTATTTCAGCCCCTTTTTTAGATTTTGGGTCCTCTGTCTCTGAAACCCAACCCAGCGCTGACTTGTGGGGGGATTTTACATCTGCAGGTTCTAAGTAAGTTTTTTTTATAGCATGTATATGGCATAATTGCTATATTAAGGTTAAAAAAATGACTTGTGGGGATTAAATATTAGTTTGATTATATCATATTGATTCCCTTCATATGTATTTTGTTTTGTTCATGGTTCTTCTCAGTCACCCTCCTGTTTGTTTCACCTCCACAGCTCCAGTAAAGATGCTGTAAAATCAGGCTGGGTGCAGTTCAGCTGAGTGAGACAAATGTGCACGCACTCCAGTTGCATACATTCCACGGAAGGGATCATTGTGTGGGGAAGAAAAAGAAGAAGTGGGAATCGGAGGAAACTGGTCTGATGAACTCGCAGCACGCACCCTGTGAGGGTCACGTACCAACTTGCTCTTCTAGAGGAAAAAAAAAAGGTCATTATGTACATTTACAATCATCCTTTTTCAGTCCTCTATGGAGTAGGATTCCTCTCTGTGCTTTTAGTTGTGGGGTAATGACAAACTATGTGATGGTTGGAGTTACTTCCCTCCATTTTTGCGTTAAATCAATCAGCATCTTATTTTTTAGGACCATTTCACGGAATCCCTTGATAATCTGTGCGGAATCAAATCCGATGTATATTTTTCCTGCAGTCATACTTTTCCTGTCACACTTTTTACTTTTCAGATCAGGAGAGGTAACCAGTTTTTCTTGAATTATTATTTTGTTTTTGTTGACTTCTTGTTTATTACTGGGATTGTATGAATGGGGACTTGCAATACTGAGCTCATTAGTGGCTAAATTGCTATTTTTGATGAATAGTTTTGCATGGCCCCCCTTTAACATCAATATAGAAGACCTTTAAGCATGATTACCATTTCATGTGTTCAATTTCAAGTTTGTTTACTCCATATGTTTTTGTCCTTCTAATGTGCCTTTTACCCCCCAAAATGTCCTCAGTCGTATTCAAAGTCGCACTATTTAATAAAGTGCCTCTCTGAAAAAAAATGCATAAAATGTGAACCTCTTTGTAAATAAACAGTATATTTCATGTTCTGTTTGCCTCTCGTTAATAAAATGCTTTAATTTGACAGGTGTATTATTGATACATACATTTACATGCATTTCTTACAATTACATCTGTTAAACACACTTTGTCATTAATGTTATCTATCTATATTTTTTTTCACCATTTTAATACATAAATTTTAAGTGTTTATTTGTTATTTGGGGGGGAAGCATGGAAAACCAAGGTCCCCGTTTTTTCAAGATTATTTTCAGTGCATTTAGAAGGGTTTTCCGCGTATTTTTGCTATTCGCAGGCCGCCCCGGTCCCTTTCCCCCACTGACTCTGCTAAAGATGCTTCTTGATCTGCTGTGTAGAAAGTTTGAACTGTTGACAATTAGCTTACATTGTGAGGGCTCAATGTGCGGTGTTAGTAAAGCGAAAACATAGTAAATTCACATTTTTTTTAAAAACCTCGATTGTTAGTGCAATACTCTTCTTTCACCACTGGTTTTCTTTCGACTGTGGATGCTTTTGAGTCTTATGACTCCTCCATGCATGTGTCCTGTGGAAGTCCCTCCCCGGAAAAAGATGCGGGGTGCCTAATTCGGAAGCAGACGATTGCGGCAGTGAGTGAGTGGCTGCTGCAATTCCACTGCGGATGTTACGTTCCTTGACTGGATGTGATTTGCTGCGGTTCAAACCCAAGAAATTCCGAACGACAACGTTTGAATCGTCTCGTGAGGTGAGCAACGGTGATGTCTGCGACCTGCACATGCGCATTCTCGAGCGATAGAGCGCGCTTCCACGCTGCTTCTGTTTTAGCTGTCAATTTGATTTCGAGAATCGAACCGCCCATAGTTGGCAGCCGTAGAAAAGTAGGTAGCGTGAAAAGTTGGGTGGATGCTACACGGTTTAATAATCAAACAAGCTCACGCTGCACCTTTTGCGCTAAATCTCTATAGACGCGCTGAGCTCATTGTGGATGTTGATCGATGAAACCCGCAATGTTGTTCCCTTTTGTGCCATTTTTCACATTATGGGAAGTACACGCCCGATGCAATGTGATGATGAATGGGAACTTGAATCTGAAGTGCAAATGTGGTTCATATAAAACGCACGCGATGGTAGATCAACAGGTGGGATGTTAAGCTTATGCAAATACAGGAACAAACACTTTTGGGGACGTCTGCACAACTAAAAGTGACACACGGGCACCGTGACGTCACTATGCCCGGGACACTACAATCCATCATTTATCTCACCTACGTTTGTAGTGGAAGTCAGATGACCGTCACTCAATGGCGAGAAAAATTAAAATGACCGTACCTTCACAGTCGATAGTTCAAGATCTTTTTATTCGCTACCCAATCTTTTGAAATGGGGACCACGGATGCTTTGGGTACCTCAACCGTGTGCTCCAGGGTTGTGTTTTGGAGCCTTTGATATTTTCTCTGCAAGTCCGGTCTGTGACTGTGCTGCCGCGTTACACTGTCTACTTAAACCACTCTATTTGCTTTAAAAAAAATATCGTTGATATGGACAATGGACTCGTCTTTGTTTGGATCCTTTGCATTCTCGGATCAGATTGAGGGTGGCCTCTTTAACCTTAGAATTCAGGGTGCAGGTAGTTGTGATGGCGAAGTTAACACGAAAATGGAAGTGTTCTCTCAATCAGGGAAATTCAAATGTATGCAGGTGTTAAGGGCAAGCTGGGGTCTTGTTAGGGGGTGTCTGGTATTGACACAATGATCCTCTGTTGGTCACTATGACAATCCTAACAAAGTCGTGCAGAAATCCTCTTAATGTTACATTCAAGTTCCTTTTACAGAAAATTGTTGGAACGTTGTTAACACAAGTATTTCACCATTTATAGCTGGCTAGATGGATACTTTACCCATCCCTTGCGGGAAATGAAATTGTCACAGCAGCAGTACTGACAAATAAACACTTATATACAAGCAACCAACAATATGACAAAGCAAAATGCAAGAGCGGCATTTGAGAGAAGAGCAGATCGAAAAAAAAGAGATTAAGGTGTTGCCCGTTGGTGTGTGGTAAGTAATTGTAGTCAAGATATGCTCAAGCAATAGTTATACAATTAGTGCAATGTTGACAGTGATTTATAATGACATATTGATCAATTATGATACCTCCCATGAAAAATGTGTAAATATGGATAATGTGTGTGAATGATATTGCACAGCGAAGTCGTATTTGAAAAATGAATACAAATTAAGAGCCGTGAGGATAATAGGTACAAAAAAGTTACAAAATGAACAGAAGAAAAAATACACGTGCAATAAAATAGTCACTTCAAAAAACATATGAGAGCATCACTTAAGTACATTAAGAATATAACATACGAAATGATCGTCTCACAGAAGAAGTCTCAATATTACGGAACGTGCCCTGAGAACAGATGCGTATTTGCACTGAGAAAGTAGCTCGCTTCCCTTCATTCTTCCCATACATTTTATGTTCATCAGTTTAAAATGAAATTAGTCGTAACAGAAGCAACTGCAGAATAAGTGACAAAACAAGACAATCACAGACTGCGTTTCGAAACAAAAGCTTTTTTTCCACTGAATGCCTGTCTGCTAACCCTAACATATGAAGTTATTTTCATTCTAGTGCAACCCTTTGTAGTGAGTGTGTGGGCTCGTCCTTGTGTGGGAGGAGAGGGGAAGTGGGAGGGTGAAGGTGGAGGGCTGTGTGTCTTTAAACCTGCTAATCCTGCTGCCCTCAATCTGTGAGGAGGAGGCGAGGAGGACGCATACTACGCGTCTGCCTCCGACGCTATCGGCTCACCTTAAACACCAGATTCAAATCGTTTTTTTGTTATTTCTTAAATTCATTGGAGTTTATTCTTTTGGGGGGGTTGAAACATGTCTGCTGCGATGAGTGTAGCAGAAAACAAGGCCAGCGACTCCAACAAACTGGAGTCGGTGATACAGGTGATCGCCACCGGAACCACACACACACACACACACACACACACACACACACACACACACACACACACACACACACACACACACTAACCGGCAAACATCTCTTCAGACGTGTATCTGATTGCATTTGTCGTTTTATTGCAGCCTGAATACACATTCCACTGTCATCATCACTTTTTTTCGTGTTGTCTTTGCGTTGCCCTGAGCTACATTGCACAATGTTCACCGACTGTCACCTTGTGCACTTCACAGTTTCATGCGCAAATGTCCACTTTGCTCATCAGAGGCTGGAGGAGAGTGTTTTATCTGAAGAGAAGAAGCTGACTGTCCGAGGCCCCTCACCGGATGCCCCCCCTACGTGTCTACCGGCAAGAGTTCGTGAAATTGTCACAAAGAACCTCAACGAAAACTGTGAGTGGTCCCAATGAAAATTAAATATTGAGTACAGTATATTCAGTACCCTTTCTGTCTTCTCAATGCTCTCGTTCTGGTCGTTGCAGCTACAGGGGCCATGTCCTCAGTAATGTCCCTCCAGGAGGAGAATCGGGTCCTTCAGGGAGAGCTGGCCAAGCTGGAGGACCTGCTGGCACACAGCAGAGCAGACCGCGACGAGCTGGCCATCAAGTACAGCGCTATCAGCGAGAGGGTAAGGAGCCCGGAAGATGTCTGTGCCTGACTCGGCAAGTGCCATATGTGAAAATAACATTCTCTGGAGGACATTGTTCAGTCAGGTTTTTTTGGGGGGGTGGGTCTTTTTTTTTTTTTTTTTTGCTCTTTCTTTGTCTGAGATTTAGTGGTCTCCCAGGTGATAGTGCCTGGAATGAACTGAAGTGCACTGTTGCCGTGGCATTTGTTACCAGGGGCAACTGCAAACAGGGGCTTGAAGTCGTTTTGATGAGGGTCTTTTGGTGGGCGGGGCACAGCGGGCAGTTTTGAATTAAAAGGAGGCATTCCAACAAGCACTGTTCAAAATAATATGTATGAACGGGCCACAATATTAGGCACACTTGTACAATCGAATTTGGTTCATCTCAAAATGATGATATTTATGGATTGGCATGGTAAGTAAGTGTTTTTAGTAATATGATTTTGAATGTGGCTGCGGTTAACAGTGATGTAGGACTGGACTGCATCAGACTGAGTAGGGATGAACAATTTCATCAGATTCATATCGACATTACAATGTGTTAAAATGCAATTTTCAAAACTTTAAAGGCTGCAGTTTCGGGGGAAAAAACAACTTGAACACCCCCCAACTCCAATTACAATAGATTACATTTCAAAATCGTTCAGCACTGATACTGAGAACTGTATCAACTATTTTGGTTACATCATTTCGCTATGGGAAAGAGACAAAAACTACAATGATAAAATGTTGTTTGCTTCTTCGCTTTCTTGGGCTTCACATTCATTGTCTTATTCTGCCTCATTATTAGCGAAGCATTCACATATTTGCGCATTTCTTATTTCTTCCTCGGTCCATACAGTTGGAGCAGACGCTACGTTACGATTCCGGGGACGGGGACCATGACTCTCCGGAGTCTCGCAGCCTGGCTCAGCAGAACGTGGATCTGCGCAGGCGGCTGGATGAAGAGCAGGCGGCCTACAAGAGAAAACTCACCACGTATCAGGAGGGGCAGCAGAGGCAAGCGCAGCTCGTGCAGAGGTTGCAGGCTAAGGTTTGTATTATTCGGCTGCACCTTCACATGTGATGTAGTTGTGAAGGCATTGCTGATGAATGCGCTGTGACTTTAGGTGCTTCAGTACAAGAAGAGGTGCGGAGATCTGGAACAAATGTTGCAGCAGAAGTCGGCAGAGTTTGAAAAACCCAGGCTGAGTGTGAGCAGCTATTTATGATTTGACAGTAATCTTTTTTTGTTTGTGTGTTTGTTTGTTTTTTTTACTACTCTGTAATAAATATAAGAGACAGAGCAAAAGTAAAATTGTGTTTTCCCAATTAGGAATCCAGTGAAACATCAAATGGTCGCTGTCCAGATGAATCGAACAGCAACCTTGAGGATGCTTTAATCCGTCTTGAAGAAGAACAACAGCGGTTGGTGATGACTGAAAACTCAACTGAGGCGTTTTTTGCCTTTTCAACCCTCGATCAACAATATCGAGCTTGTTCTATTTTCAGGAGCAGCAGTCTGTCTGCGGTGAACGCCATGCTGAGGGAGCAGCTGGAGCAGGCCAGTTTGGCCAATGAAGCTCTCAGCCAGGACATCCGCAGGCTCACTGCCGACTGGACGAAAGCCCGAGAAGAACTGGAACAAAAGGAGTCCGACTGGAGGAGAGAGGAAGAGGTGCCACAAGGATGCTTACCATGCCTGTTTGCATTTGCGGTTGCCGCCATTTTATTTTTTTTCATGGTCTGTGATTCTCCCCTCAGTCTTTCCACAGTCACTTCAGCAGCGAGCACAGCCGCCTGCTGTCGCTGTGGCGCCAAGTGGTCGGGTTCCGTCGGCACATCTGTGAATTGAAAAGTGCCACTGAAAGGTATGTAGATGGGCATGGATGGATGGATGGGTTGATAGATGGGAAGATAAAAGCTGTACAGATGGATGGATTGGTATAGGCATGGATGGATACACTGATAGATAAATGGATGCGTAGATGGTGGACACACGATGGATGGATATCAACTAATTGATGGGAGAGGAGCACCGATGGATGAATAGATGGAGAGGTGGACTGATGGATGGATGGTGAGGTGACAGCTGCACTACTGGAAGAGTAGATGGATGGACAAATGATGGATGGATAGATGAACGGATGATGGACGGGTAGATGATCACTGGATGATCGATGTGTTGTTGGTAGATGGACAGTTGAACTATTGGATGAATGGATGTGCTGATCAAGAGGTGGACGGAGGGATGGATGGATGGGTTGATAGCTGGACAAATGCCTTGATTGATGGATGGTGGATGACGGCGAGATGGATGTTATCCTAGATGGGTGGCCAGATGTTGGATGGATTGATGGGTGATAGTTAGCTGGACAGTTGCCGAATGGATTGATGGGATGGTCGCTCGGTGGTTGATTTGATGGATAGAAGGTGGTTTGAGGACAAATGACGTATTACGGATAAATGGATGGAACGATGATGGATGTGATCATGGATACCTGGGTAGATGGACTGACATTGTCATTTTTTTTAATGAAAGATGTAAATTTCCCTCCCATGCCCATTTCTGTCCCGCTCTCTACCCTCCAGAGACTTGTCAGAGATGCGTAATGAGCTGGCTCAGGCGTCGCACTCTGCACAGGTGTCCTGCGCGGGTCTTTCTGCCACACTGAACACCAGAGAGGGAGGAGTCACGTTGGCCCTGGAGAGCGAGAAGGCTCTCAGGGTCCAACTGGAGCGGCAACTCAGGGAACGAGTGTCTGAGATGATGAATCTTCAGGCCAGGACGGACGCAGAGAGAAGCGAGCTCAACCTCAGGTCAGAGGCTGCTTCCCAGTGCCACCAAAAGAGAAGAACCTATCACGGATTTAGATGATTTAATGAGCAATTATGGTCTTTCGTGTGCCAATCAATAGGTTGTCGGACTCTGTCCGTGAGGAGGAAAGACTGAAAGGCAAAATTGAGGAGAAAGAGAGAGAACTCGTTCTTCTGTCCAGGAAGCTCGAGGTGAGTGGAGACTCAGTACAGGATTGCTGCTGTCATTCAAAAAAGTTATAGTAGATCTAGGCATCTATTCGGGGTTGGGTCTATATAAGTCAAAATGCATTGAAACAATTTTTTTACATTTTTTATGTTAAACCAAAAAATGTACTTGTTTTTTTATTCGTACTTTTACACAATTAATCCACACTTAAATAAGGTAAATTACAATGCAGTATATAATAATGTACAATGAGAATGTACAAGTATAAGAAAACATGTTCATCTATCTATCTGGCTAGCTAGCTAGATAGCTAGCTAGCGAGTCAGCTATCGAATCTGAGGTGCAGCATTTTAGACTAATGTGAGTATTAATTGGTCCACAGTTTCTCTTATAGCAAAATCCACCGTATGAAATACAGTAATTGAAGAAGATCTTTAATATTTTGGTCTCCATCATACTTGATGTTTCATCAAGTAGGGAAAAGCCAAAAGGAAAAGAAGAAGATCATACTAGATGTTTCAAATCTGTCAAATATATTCAATATCTTTGTGTAGCTTTCTTATGTCACTAAAATGTCACAAACACCTTCTAGTATATTGCTGTGCAGTTCCTCAGTGCTACAAAGTACAATCCATAGCAGCCATGTTCTTCAACATGTCTCTTTGGGAATCAAAACTGAGCATTGTTATCTTTGAAACGGCCTAATATCTGATACAGGATCAATTTAGATTTTGATTATGTATTCTATTGAGTACTTTGCCTCCAGGAGCAGAGCAACAATGATGGGAGTGACATGCAGCTGATGAGAGCTCACACTGAGACGTTATTGGACACGCTGCGTGACATCGCTCAGGTGAACGAACGTACTGCACATATGGCCATGTCTTCTTCAGACTGTTAGGATGGAAATTCATCATGCTATTGATTTTTTTCTTTCCCTAGACGGTCTTGACAGACGCAGAGTCGTCGGAGGCAGATCAGGACAACACTGCGGCCCCACTACTGGCCTTTATCCACAGCTCCTCCCCTGCTGCTCCTTCACGCAGGTCATCCTCCCCCTCAAAGCTAACAACACTCTCAGCTCCCTCAGAGGCAACCTTGTCTGCTCTACGCTCGGCAGTCACGCACAAGACACTCTTGCTTCAGGTGACATATATACGCTGACTTCCCACAACATTACGCATACGTACAGAATTGTACAAGATTCATAAAGATGACTGTATCAACCTGCACTTGCATATTGATAAATAAAATACTCTCTTCCAACCATCCTACATCTCTGTTTTGTCGACAGGATGCCCGAGGGCGTTTGCTGTCTGCCCAGTCCTCCATACAGCAGTTACGAAAACAGCTAGCTGAGGCCGATACGGCCAGAAGAGAAGCGGATCAACGACATCTCACGCTGCAGAGAGAGCGAGACGCCGCCCAGCGGGACAAAGAAACCACGCAGCGAGAAAAGGACCGCCTCAGGCTGGAGAGAGACACGCTGGCCAGGTTCCGTATTTGTAATTAACTTGTTTCTATAATGTGTTAAAGTCGGAAATGGAAAACACACTCCTTTACCCACGTCGGATCACACCTTTCCCACCACAATATGCAATACAGTAACTTTAAAACATCACGTGCATTTATTTCTATTTCTCTATATTTCCGTATATTTTGTATCATCATATATTTATACCAAGTGTCTAGTTTTCCTGTAAATGTAACATTTCAATCTATCATCCCTGCTGCAGTGAGAAAATGAGCTTGGAGCAGAGCATGAAGGCAGCTCAGAACAGCAATCAGACTCTGCAGACGGACTGTGAGAAGCTGCAGCTGCTTCTGACATCCACACAGCGGGAGAAAGACCACCAGAGGGAGGAGAAGGAGGCCGCGGTCCTGGAGAGGGACCGGGCCAAGGCTGAGGTTCAGAGGATGTAAGTAGGCTTAATTGAAAGTGAGTCAGCGTTGCCGACTCGCACTCTAATCCGCAAAGTCTCGCCCGGGCAGCACACATACGCTGACTGGAAGTCATTCAGGACAGTTTGATTCGATCCTCTTTGGCTCGCATGATTGCGCCAGCTTCTTGTAAGTTGCGTAACAGATAATGAGCAGGTGAGATGTGTGGGGGCAGATTAGTAGAAGGGTGAATAAATGGAATTCAAATCACTGAACAATCATGTCGCTGTTAGCTAATGCTAATCTGGACAGCCACCAAAATCCAATGCATGTTGCGTACCTTAGCACAAAGCCACCACTGGCTAACTGAACCATATCCTAAATGCCATTCACAATCTTTTTTTCTTTTAATTAAATTTTTTTATGGGTGTGTGTGTCTGTGTGTGCTTTTAGTCAGAAGCAGTGGGACCAGAGTGAAAGCCGAGCATCTGCCCAGCGTGGTGAGCTTTCTACAGTGAGGGAGACTCAGCAGCAGGCGGAAGCTGCGAGGCAGTTGCTCGAGAAAGAGCGATCCCAACTTTCTGAAGCGCTCACTCGGGTATGTACACCAGTGGACCATCTCGTCGTATTTAGCGATCCGAACTCTGACCTTTATTTTTCTCTTTTAGGCTGAGAGCAGCAATGCAGAACTCTCTCTACTGATCAATAAGCTCCAATCTGAGGATGCAGCACTCAGGGACTCTTTGACCAAAATGGGCAGCATGAACGAGGCGCTGTCCCAAGATAAAACCGACCTTAATACCTACATACTTCAGGTAGATCATATTTTTTTTATTTTTTGGGGCAATATCTCTTGTATCCTTTCCCGAGTGTTCAAGATGAACTCTGTGACTAGCTGGAGGACGAGAAGGCCCTGCTGCACACTCAGAAACGGGAGGCTGAGCAAGAGAAGATGACCATCAGGGATGAGCTGGTCCGGTTGGAGCAGGACCGGATGGAGCTGGACTCCGCCCGCATTACTCTGCGCCAGTCCCTGCAGGATACTGAGTTGACACGTGTGGGGATGGAGGCTGAGCTCCACAGTCTCAGGGCTGAGAGACTTAAGCTGCAGGAGAAAGTCACACAGGTACAGGTGCTGTCTGTCATATTGATAAATAGGACTTCATTTATCAATATGACATGATCTCTTTTGGCCCTCCTTGTCAGCTCTGTACTGAGGTGACCTCCTTGGGTTCTGAATTAAGCCTCGCCAGAGGAGTAAGCCAACAGAACGAAGCGGCCTTGGAGGAGGTCGGGCGCAGTCGGGCGGAACTGACCAGAGACAAAGCGTCTCTTGTAGTCCAGCTGACGGCATCCGAGAGAGAAAACAGCGCGCTATCGGAAGAACTCTCCGCTTACAGGCGCGTGTCACACAGCCGGGGAATCATTTTTACACCATCGCACGCCTTTTGTAACGTGTGGGTTCTAACCCGCGCAGGTCGGAGCATGAGTCTCTGGAGACCGCCCTCTTTGAGGTGCAGCATCAACTTGCTCAGGTGGAGTCTTGCAAGGAGCAGCTCGGCGTAGACAACCAAAACCTTCGAGCGCGCATTGAAACGGCAACAGGTGAACAATACGGAAGGACGATTTTTTTTTTTTTTGCTCTCAACAGAGATAAACGTCACCCCCCCGCCCGCCGTTTTTTTTTTTTTTTTTTTTTTTTTTGTTTTATTTCCATGATTTCCAGCTGAGTTGAGGCGTGCTCGTTCTGAGGCGGAGAGCGCACTGGCCCAAGTCGAGCGGGAAAAACACATTCTGACTCAGACGCTGAATGCGGCGCATCTGGAGGCCCAGCATGCTTTGCGCAAGGCCAGCTGCGAACATCAGGAGGAGGTGGAGAAACTTGTCACAGAAAAGGTGAGGTCATTCGCCGCCTGGTTCCAGACGGCAATAAATAATGTCACAAATCAGTATTAGATCACGTCATCATCATCATCACAGGAAGCCCTGCGGCAGAGCCTCACGGTGGCCCATGACAGCGCTCTGAAAAAGCTGAGGCGCGAGGTAGAGGAAGAGCTTCACAAAGCACAAAAAGAGAAGGAGGAGCTGCAGAGCAATCTGACGACTCTCCTGCATGATCGAGATCAGAGTCTGCTGCAGGCGGAAGCAGAGAAACAACAGGTTAGCATCACACTTGGACGCATGATGATGACTACAAGCGTTTTGAATGAAAAAAAAAACATTGTGTGGAAAAAGGTATGTAGGAAAATGGAAGAAATTTTGATGTTGAGCGTATGAGTCTGGACCTTTCCATAAATATTGCAGTGTGTGGTCATTTGAAAACCGGAAGCTACTGTTCCAGTGCATCGGAAAGCTGTCTGAAATCTTTACAAGCATCAGGTTGACAGATATCGATCCATTTTTCCAAATATAGGCATGAGCTCTCATCAAGCTGTTTATTGCCAATCCCAGTTGAAGTTGACTGTAAAAGTAAACATAAAACAATAATAAATGCACAATGTGTATTTAACCAAACCGTAAGTCCACTAGCTAAATGCTAACGCACAATGCAAAAATTGTCAAAAACCATCACCGGATGAATCCATTTGGTTTCATTCCATTGGGGAAAGGTGCTTTGAGTTACGAGCATGGTCACAGAGTAAATCAAACTCTTAAGTCAAGGCACCGCTGTATTTTCAACTTTCCAGGCTCTGTCACTGAAGGAGGCCGAGAAAACAGCGCTGTGTGACAGAGTGTCCAGTCTGCAGGCCGAGTTGTCAGCCTTGGCTGTGGAGGCCGAGCGCAAGGCCCGAGCAGCGGCTCTTTGCAAAGAGCAGGATCAGGTGAAACATAAGAAGTACAACATATGATTGTAAAAAAAAATAAAATGATAATAATAATAATACGTTTTACCGCTGTCGATGTATCCTTATTTTGAAATATTTACAAAAATCCATTTCTTTTCCAGGCCAGGGTTAGTGCTCTAACCAGTGAGCTGCAAGCGGTTCGGTCTCAGCTCGAGGGCGCTTCTGCCCTTCACGAAAAGGATCTTCAAAGTCTGCGAGAGACTCTGAGTGACTTTCAGTCACGTGCTGATGGTGCTGTCAAAGAGGTGCGCGATTCTGGAGCGATGTTCAACGCGCACGAGTCACAGTTTCAGTCAAGCTGAATTTACATTGCTTTACATTGTGCTCTCAAGTGTCGAAAATTGCGTCATAGTGTAAAAAATAGATTTTTTTCCAACCTGGCCAGCACATTTCTTTCTCAGTCTGCGGAAAAATGGCAGCACGTAGAGTATTGTTTTTCATTCCAGCTGTTCATTTCTAACTTATATGTTCTCTCTTCAGCTCAACAAGTGCAAAGCTTCTCTGGCTGTCAGCGAGGAGAGTCGAGATGAGCTCAGGCGACACACGCTGGAGGCCGAGCGTCGTCTTAACCAAACGCAGGACGAAGCGGAAAACTACAGAAGGGAAGGCACGGAATTGCGTCGCAGTCTGAGCGACGCCCTCAAGGAGCGAGACACCCTCAGCCAGTCCAACTGCCAGCTGAGGGAAACTCTACGGGGGGCCGAGACCGAGAGAATCAGGTGGGCGCTCTCGAAGACAGAAATTTGGGTGATGTTTAGGATACTTTCGACAGCGTGAGTGTGTGTTGGTCAGTGTGAAGCGACAGTGCGAGGAGAAGGAGCAGAGACTGATCGTGCTGCAGGAGAATTTTTCATCCTCTCAGAAGGAGGTGACGGAGCTGCGCAGCTGTCTTAGGGAAGTTGAAAGGTCGCGATTGGAGGCCCGACGAGAGCTGCAGGAAATGCGCAGACAGGTGAGACAGACCGTCGTGTAGATTCTTTGGTTTATTTGATTATTTATTTGAATGGCTATAAAAAATATGTGGGAAGGCATCCCAAGCATCAAATGACATGTGGACAGATACAATTAACTCTAAATGATTTATACTCCGACCAAATTTTGAGGTAAAGTGAATTTTGGTGTTGTTTTTGTTAAATTGGGTAACTTTGATCTATCAACCGTTGACAGGAAATGAAAGACAAAGAAGACATTAAACCACCATCCAAATGACAACATAATAAACGGCGTTTGTGTGTTCCAGTTGAAGGTCCTGGATGCAGAGAAGGATCAGAAAGGCAGGGATGTCGCGGAGCTGCAGACGCGCTTGTCCTTGGAGGAGCAGCGTGAGGAAGAAAGAGGGAAGGAGGTTTTTACCCTCAAGCACAAGTTAACTGAAGCCGAAGGTATTCAAGACTCCCTGAAGAGAGAGGTGAGGATACGTAAATTCTTTTCTCTTCGGAGTTACTCCCTTGAGATAGTCTAGCTCCTTTTCAAGGCGATCGGAGATACAAGAATAGTCACAAACAGACAAGAACACACATTATGCCAACAAGCATAACAAAGCAACAAAAAACAGCAGCAGAACAAGATCAAGAAGTAGCAACAAACTAGATAAATCAAGCAAACAAACCAAGGTTATATCAAGTCATGTAAAGCATAGAACTGATGTTAACTGGATCAGCAGCACATTAAGTAACAACGGGTGGAATGGACGATTTCCAGTCACTGCGCCGCATTAGACATTAGATGTGCCATGGAAAATTCTCCAATGTCACAAGGATAAATCCATAGTCAATTATAAAATACATTCAGATAAAGTTGTTTAGGACTGGGTGCCGCTACATAAACAACATCTTCACCCCAAGAGTAAAACAGCTTCAATTGTCCCTTTTGTTTCTCTCAGGTCAACCTGTTTCAGAAACGTCTGGCCGAGTCTGAGTCTTGCTGGCGGCTTTGCGAAAGAGAACTGACCGCTCAGCTTCAAGAGGCCCGAGGTTGCGAGAAGAAGCTGCAGGACGAAGCCAAGAACTTGACGCTTCGCGCTCAGGCAGCCCAGGACTCGGCCGGCGTGTACAGCCTGCAGCTGAGCGAGGCCCAGGGCCGACTGGCCGCCACTGAGGCCGAGCTAACGCGGGCCGAGGCCTCCAGGAGGGACCTGGAGTTTCGTCTGAGCGGCCTCCAGTCGGCGCTGACCAGAACACTTGGCATCGGGGCTGGAGGAAGAGGGGTCAGAGGGAGGAGCCCCGGGGGCAGCTCCGCGTCTCCCAGCCCCATGTCACGCCATCACAGCATCTCACCACTACGCTCCTCTCTCTCGCCTCCTAAAGGTAGAAACCAGATGATCCCTTTTTCTCACTTGTGGGATTTGTTCAGCGGGACCGGTATCCAACTTTCTGTCCACATTTCCCTTTTTTTCATTTTTCTTGATAATAAATGAAAAAAAAACAGTGCAGGCTTTCACTGAATCGTGTTTGGCATGTTTGTTGCTAACTAAGATACAGTAAACTAAGCTAATCTAAGACATGGTAAGGACTGATGACATTAAATTCTCATTCTCGTGGTAGTACAACAATGATTGTTCCGAAGTATCACTAAATAACTCATAAAAACGATCGCTCTGTCTGTCTGTCTGTCTGTCTTTCTTTCTGTGTGTCTAGCTAGCTGTCTGTCAAGCTAGCTAGTGGTCTGTCTGTCTTTCTATTGTGTGAAGTGTCAATTTTTGAATTGAAGTCCTGAAATGAACTTTTCTAGGCTATTCAAATTTATTGAGATGCACCAATCTATTTGAACACAATTAATCATGTTAAAAAACACCAATTTAACATTCCCTGACTGCTCTAGAAGACACAATCCCTTAAATATGTCCGGATGATTATATCTGAACAAATCTCATTAAATTAGATTGTATTTTTGTCTTATCTTATTATTTGGTTCATTTACATCCTGGAGCTGGATAAACGTTTACCTTATCTATCTTATTGAGTTATTAATATCTTCAATAGTATATTTTTCTGAAATGTAAATGATATCGGTCCTATGTGAGCATTTTTTGCCCCAGTATCACTTTCAGCTATTTATATGCTGTCTTAATGTCTTACAGAATTTCACACAAGCACCCCTGACAATACTCTGGGCTCCAGAGCTGTTTCTCCTGAGAGGGGAGGCACGCCTCTCCCACTCTCCCAGCCAGAGCTAGATCCTGACACTCTACGAAGTGGTCTGAAGGACTTCCTCCTGGAACTCCTTGAAGCACACCGAGAGCGGGTAAAAGAATAAAAATGAATCATAGCAACAAAGCACTACTTTTGTATAAATAAAGCTTTTGCAACTCACTTCAACATATTTCCATTGAAACAAGATGCCACAAGATGGCGTCAAAGAAATCCGTTCATCGCTTTGGCCTGAGCACCGAAACAGCAAATATTGACCTTAATGCCAGAAAATAGGTTAAAAATAACGCTGAGAATACGTGAATTCACAAATGCCGAACTGTGACTACGCGGGGGTTCACTGCAATCGCTCCAAGAATTGCCAATGGTCGCATTTTTGAAATACATGTCTTATTTTCAAGGACGATGCTCTGTGTCAGTTGGGGGCCGTCAAGCGGGAGGTGGACGAGCTGAGGGCCGATCGAGACTTGGCTCAGAGTCGCCTCGCTCATCTGCAAAAAAACTTACAAGACTACCAAGAAGGTGTGCATCATGACTACTGCTTTTTCATCGCGCCTGCAACACGAACAAATGTTGCCTCGGCATGTGCGTAGGCAAGCGAGGCCTGGACGAGCGTCTGACACACGCCCAGCTTCAGCTCCATCAGCAGGAGGAGGCGGTGAGGAGAGGCGACAGAGAGAGGAGGACGCTCGCCGACAGGGTGAAGGAGCTGGAGCGTGTGCTGCAGGCCTGCGAAGCGGAGAAGAAGCACACACAGGTACGCATACACACACTACTACTACACAACTTGTAGCAGCGGATGAACACCGCACGACACTCGGCGACAATATCCGAGCAGGATAATACAATAAACAGCAGATGGGCTTTCACCGCCTGTGCTGTCTCATGCCAAGCTCTCCTTATGTCTGCTAGAAAACAGCCAAACGAAGCAAAGTATTATGGATGAATGTTTCTTTTCGGAGGGATTCTACATTTAAAAAAAATCTAATCTAGTCTAGAAGAACCAAAAAGGTTGAACACAGTTTGTTTTAGAACAATGGTCGATTTTTTTTTGTCTTTTTTAAAGTAATCATCCCCATAGGGAAGAATGGAAATGGAGATCGTGTTCCAGAATTAAATGATCACATCATCAAACCTTACTTTATTGTACAGGTTCTCTTTTGAGGTTAACATTCTTTCCACTAGGGCTGGGCAATTCATCAAAAATGAATCACGATTTCAATCTTGGCTTGTGATGATCATAAAAACATTCGAATCCAAGAAAATCGATGCTAGCACCAAGCATGCTCGGTAAATTATTTTGCCCTCCCAAGCATGCTTGAAGACGTTTATTGACATCCCACTTGGAATTACTAAACGCACAACAAATATAATTACTCCCATTGTATATTAGAATACAACATGTGCTACCTTTTGAAAACATGGCCACCTGATTGCTCGTAGCAGATAATGGAAAACCTCATTGATGAGAGAACAAAAACTAGAATGAGAGCTTTAGAAACATGTGAAGCTGACATTTCCAAGCCTCCATTATGAGCCTAACGTCAAACAAATGCATTCTTCTGTCACCTCTGCCTTCCCTCCACTTCTCCAGGAACAACTGGATAAGCAGCGAGCTGCAGAGGTGCGACTGGAAGCAGAGAGGAGGCGCCTGCGGGAGGCGCTGGAGGCGTCCGAAGCGCGGGCCACCCGGGTTGAGGTGGGTCGGCGGAGTCTGGAAGGCGAGCTGCAGAGACTCAGACTGAGCCTCGGAGACCGGGAGGCCGAGAGCCAGGCCTCCCATGATCGCCATGAAGCTCTGCTTAAACAGGTGCAGTCAAATCATTTGTCGCTTGTTGGTTCTCTGAGCAACATTGTAATTTTATGCTTTTACTTTATTGGCTTATTTTATGTTTTTAGTTTCATGAAATTCAATAATGTGGTTGTAGTTGTTTCCAACTGCAGTGTATCATAATGAAAGGAGTTTCTCATATTTCTCATATTTGGGTGTCTCGCATGGGTGGAGTTATCCTTCTTTTCATATTTTCATAGATGCACATGTTTAGAAATGGGCGTTTGCGCCGTTGTGGGCTCATCTCATTCCCTTTCAATTCAGTGCAGGAGATGCGCATGGTAACATGGTGGAAGCATAAACCGACTCGTTGGAGTCCATGCGGGAGATCGAAGTGCGCAAAGTACACTCATGCAGACAAATGAGGCAGCCAAAATTTTGGATGTCCCCCCCCAAAAAAATGACATGTTATTAAACGTTATTGTTAAATTAACACCTCACTGACTAGGTTGATCGTAACTGCGCTTTTTTTTTTTTTTTAACTTACTGAGTCGGAATTATTGACATTGCACATCTCTGCTGTTATTTTGGGGGTACACATCACAGGTAACAGACGGGGAAGGCCGAGTGTCCCTGCTTCAGACGGAAGTGGAGCAACTGAGTCAGGCTCTGCTCAAAGCCGAGGAAAACGAAGCTGTGCTGCGGGAGAAGAATGCCTCCCTCAACCAAAGCCTGCAGGAGTTGGCGGCTGCTCACGGAAGCGCTCAGAGCCGCCTAACTGCCTTGCAGAAGGCCTTGAGTATGACCGAGCAGGAGAAACAACACCTCCAGGTGGGGGCGCAAATAAAATCAGCGCGAGACAACGGGGTCTGTAGATGTGCTAAAATGATCATTTAATGGAACCTTGTATCCATCAGGAGCGAATCGATGAATCCCGCTCGTCGTTAAGCGAGGCCAGGCGCAACATGGCTACCCTCAACGAGCGCATGCACAGCCTGCAGAGTGAGGTGCACCAGAGCCAGCTCCAACGAGAGCAAGTGGAGGCCGAGTTCACCAAGAGCCAGGAGGTGGAGATCCTGTTCACCAACTTCATCAATCATAATTTTCCCACAAATGAAATGAAATTGGCTATTTTCCGATGGCGCACCTCCTGATCTTTCATAGCGCACAAATGTGCTGCGGCACAGGGGGTTAGGGATCACGACGCCTGGCTGTTGGCAAGCACGCTCAAATCTACGCTAATCTAGACATTGTCCGCTGGGATACATTGTGGATCCTGTACTCTACTCATCCTCAAATTGATGCTGGACACACCGTAGACCACTTGGAGGATTTGTGCCTTATTTAACGGCGTCTCAGGAGCTTCACTCAAGAGACCACTTGTGACCGCCATGTTTCATCCGCAGCGCGCTAGCGTCTCAGATGTTGCCTACCACTCTTGTGTTGTCGTTCATTGTGCGGCAGGCTTTGCGGCAGCGTTCGGCCAGCCTCGCTGAGGCCCAGCGCGGCGCCCAGGCGGCTCAGGTGGAGCGGGCCATGGTGGAGGAGCGTCTGCGTGGTCTCCAGAAAGCTGTGGCCATGCTGGAAACCGAGAAGAAGGATGCCGAGAGGCAAGCCGTGAGGCTGGAGAAGGATAAAAATGCCTTGAGGAATACGCTTGATAAGGTATCGTCTCGTGACCTCGAAGCTATGGCTCACTGAACGCTGGGTGTTGTGCAAAAAAAAATTAAAATAAGAGCCACACGACAAAAGAGATGCTTGCACTAACACTGCAACAGTCACTATTTCTGGCTATACATTACATGAAAATTAAATGCATCCGTGCTCAGGTCGAGCGTCAGAAGCTGAAGAGCGAAGAGGGCAGCATGCGTCTTTCGGCCGAGAGAAACCGATTGGATCGCTCCCTGAACACGGCGGAACAGGAGCTGCAGGAAGCCCAGCAGCAGATTCTCACGCTGCAGGTAACATACACATCGACCAAGGACGGATGGATAATTTGTCTGTCTGATATGTGCTGTACGTGGTTGACGATGGCTAGATTATAACAGGATTTTTTTTTTTCTTCTTTTTAAGCTTCGCACTGAATCTCCTAAGCCACCATTAAACATGATGTCATCCGTCCCGTTTTTGTTTTATAGACTCGAAGATGCTTAATGGTCAGCCCACGCTTCCTCTCTCACAGTGTGTATGTGCTTGTGTGTGTGTCATGAGTAGACGCAGATGGCTGACATGGAGCAGTCCCACAGCGTGTGTGAGAGTTTGGTCAGGCAGCGTGATGAGACCCAGCAGGAGGCTGAGAGGCTGAGGGCCAGCTTCAGGGACCTGGAGAGGACTCTGGGCTCCAGGGAGCGCACGCACCGGCATCGGGTCAAAGGTCTGGAGGAGCAGGTAGACACGTCAAGGACTTGTAACTCTTGAGTGTGTCGGGAACACAAAATAACATTTTTCTTGTGTGACCGCGTCGTGGTTCGGTAGCCTGATTTTGATGAAGGCAGCATCGGTTCAATGAAAATTCAGATAACTGTTTATAGTAATCGGACAAATAATTACAACCAAAAAAAAAATCTAATTAATGAAATAACTTATTTTTGGCTCCCTTACTGCTTATAACAATAAAAATATGAATTACAGGCAGGACATTTGACTAATTTATAATACTTGATAGTAATTGTTTAGCTTCACAACAAAGAGCAAAACGGACAAAAATTGGCCAATTGTCCGTCTGTTTTGGCAGGATGTTTAAATGTCATTTGTTTTATGTTGCAATGTGTTCAAAATGTGTCAAATAAATGAAGCATGTGATTCAATAGATTGAATCATCTCTGTGAAAATTGTTCTGTGCGCAGGTGTCGACCCTGAAGGAGCAGCTACAACAGGAGATGAAACGGCGACAGCCGTCACTTCCGTCCTCATTTCTTTCCACGGCCAACTGAGAAGAAGCAGCAGCAGCAGCAGCAGCCGCGCCACCATCAGGGAAAATGACATCACCGGTGGCCGAAAAGCAAAAATGTGAACTCACACGCCTCGATATTAGGTATTATCTGCACAATTGAATGATCTGTATAAACAATTCTGTTTTTTATAAAGACGTTCATTTTCGCACTCCATCATACTGAGAGATGTCTCTTAAATTTTGGTGGCCTTCTTTGGCTACACTGGGGAGCAAACTACTAAACGCAGCCCTCAGTGTGATGCAGTGTCAATCAAAATAGAGCATATCTTTGAAAAGGCAAAACTGGTTCTTGTAAACTGGGCTGGTGTGCCTAATGTAGTGGCCACTAAGTGAATTTTAGCCTGCCTGTCATTCGAAGTATTAACTATTTATCATCTACATTCCAACGATTATGTTAACAGGAGGAAGAGCTGCAATACAATCGCTAGAAAAAGTGAAACGGCGATATTTACAATACTAAACGCTATTTTAGTACTCACCATAAAAAGTCATATGCTTTTAGTGTGACGGAAAAGTATTTTTTTTTTTTTTAAATGCTAATTACTTCAATAGTATTGGCTCACTGTGTAACTGCTGCAAGGGTTTCCCAAACTTTTAACCGGATATGGTTCCTCTCTAGTACACAAAAAAAGACTTTTTTTTTGTTTGTTTTCTACGTTAAGTCATGACAAATAACATCAAATGCCAACCAACATGAATCCAAAAGCCTTTTGCTCATAAAAAAAGGAGACATTTTGAGTTGCAGCATTAAGTTTGGGGAACTCTGCCAGATGATTAACAATGGCACATGTACAGTATGTTTGTAACATCGAACCATTTGTGGAACCTGAATAAATGAGTCAGTCACATGCTGAAAAGCTGTTGTAAAAAAAAAAAAAAAAAGAAACATTTTATTATCTGTTAATGATGATAGTTTTACAAAGCAGCAGTCGCGCTTTAGGAGAAGCCTTCTCAAAGCATTTTGTTACCCGCTTGCTGCTCAAAAAGCTGAGGTCATCTTCTTGGCTGATGTCAGTGCCTGCTTTGACTGAATGACTTTTGTTATGGTACAGTATAAGAAAAAACGACATACAAAGCACGTGATTAATACGGTACAGTATGCAAAACAAACTGAGGGGTCTCCGCAGCCAGTTGCATCTCTTAATACAGCACCAGTGTGATGAGTTTATAGCACCAGTGATTTGTTACAGTCATCCCGCTTCTTTGGAGTATACGAATCCAAACGCACAGGCTCATCATACATGTGGGGGGGGGGAGGGGAAGGCAAACAGCTGTGCATGAGAAATAGGAAGAGGTGACATGATAGCGGTGATTTCCAACCATTAGCTCATCCAGTGAGCCCTGGGAAATAATGAACTACTACTGTGATACTCTTGAGTAGAATTTTTCTTCTGAAAAAACATTTTTTTCTGTTTAGTCGGGAGTTTGGAATAGATTACAGCAAACCCTCCTCCATCGTGGGTTTAGCGGTCCTGTTAATTTTGTGGATTTTTTTTTTCCGTTCAGTTGCACCGTAATTGTGTTCATTTTAGGGTGTTATGACACTTATGGGCAACAGGCAGTGGCACAATATTATGTGTAACTGTTCATTCGAAAGAAGAGAAAATACGAAGTCTCTACCTCATTGTTGCAGAAGAGGTGAGAAAGAGATTATTGAATGGTCTCAAACCTTGCCATCCTGCATTTTATGCCTACAGAAAGCAACACTTGTAGGATAATTTTATAATGTACATCTTTTGGCATGATGTATACTGTGGGATGTTTGCTAGTTTGAAAAAAAAAACTTGATTTATTTAATTGTAAACATGGGTCGATACACTGTTTCACTGTACAATATTTTAGTTTTATCCATTGCTATTATGGCTTTCTCTCTCAACATATGAAATGTGTTTCTATTGTTTTAAAGAGTATTTAAAGACCTAAAAAAATCCCAAGTGCTAGGTAATATTTAGATTCTACATTGCGGATTTCACTTTTGCGGAGGTGGTCTGGAACGTAATCCCTGCGATGGAGGAGGCTTTATTGGGGCAAGATGATTTGAGATAAGAGTATAAGGAGATACAGTACAAGCATGGTCACAGAGCAAATTAGACTCTTATCTCAAGGCATCACTCTAACTGCTTAAAGGACTACCTTTGTGTAAATGAAGCTCCTTAACACACACCAACATGACTCCTTGGCACCAAGATGCCACCAGATTGCGCTTTTGACACAAAAACAGTGAATAGCTTTCAATTTTTTCCCCCTAAATGACGAACCTTGAATATGAGAGTATCCACAATCTATACTTTTTGTGTCATTTTTTTTTTTTGGTCGTTTGCTGTGAGGTGACTCTAGCGTAAAATATGTGCCTTGGCTTAATAAAGGTTGGGAAACACTGCACGACAGGACATATCAGTGAGGAAAGAGAAGGGTTGCAGTTGGTTGTAGTGTCTCAAGGAGGGTTTGGGGGCATCCATCAGCAGCCACCACCGCAGCTCTTCCCGCAGCTTGCCCCCACAGACGCGCAGTGGCCGCTCAACGCCGCCACACCGCAACGCGAGAACTGGTCTCGACACAAGTCCGCTACAGACAGGCGAGTTCCCGGTCAGAACACATAGGCTGGGTCCAAAAAATAAAATACAAAGTAGAGGACTCACCTCTAAGCAGCTCTTCATGTGCACACACGGTCCTCACACACACTTCCTTGTTGATGACGTACACACGCCTCAGACTGCAAAATAACGGAGAAACCGATGAAGAACATTCACAACATAGCATTTTTCACAAAGAATATACGCCTGTAAGTATTGTTACATTGACCATGTGTTGCTGCAATATTTGTGTTCAAAATTAGTTCCTTAATGTGTTACAGTGTAGCACTGCCATATTCAAGCTATTCATTAGCCTGTCGACGGCCACTCCCATGATGTGTTTGGGTTAAGATAACTGACAAAAGGGTTAATTACATTTTGCAACATGATGTGTAATTCTTAGTTTCTGCTGAGTTTGACAGTAAACTGACACTAAACCTCTTATAGTGGCATGAAACAGCGTGAAGCCTCTTTTTTGAAGAATCGTAAACTATCTACCGACAAACAAATAATCTTCCGAACGTCATTCGTATTTCAAGGCACCACTGCATAATCCAACCCTTCCTGTAGTACTCGAGGTTTTTGTCTCGAACCAGATAAATCTGACCCCTTCCAAGTAGTCCGCGCAGTTTAAAGAAAAAAAAAGTCTCATGCGTAGAACAAATTAGTGTACACAATTTCAGCTGAAGATCCTCCCGTGGGCCTAGGAAGGTTGCAAACATCAAAATTATAATAAAACAAAAAAAGAGGTCAGGCAAGGGACATACGTAAAAGCGCCTACCCTGGAGACAAAGGGGAAAGTATGAGGGTGTATATATATAAATATATATATTATAGATATTTTTTTTTTCACTTAGTGCCACAAATTGGAAATTACCTACAGTAGAGCGGAATAGCCCAATAAAGTAAAAGGGGGACAGTCCAAAAAGACAGCATATTGTGTATATAATGGAAACCTGTGCACTGTAATTCAGTGTCTTCACATTTGTTTCCCCTGTTTTGTGATGACCATGAATTCTACATACTCAAGGCTGCCAGACCCCAGATTTTTTGGCTTCATTTTGGACTTCTGTGATGCCAACGGACTGAAAAGCTTATTTTTAATGGCGCCTTGACTGCAACTCCCAAGGGTCTCCCCTGCCAGCCTGCGCTTTGTGTTTTCCCAACAGCATATTATGAATGCTAAAATAAATAAGTGAATAAAACCACAATTTTACCAGTGTTGTCATCCAAAAAGGTTCCAGCTCACCCGCATCACTTAAGGATAAGTGTGAGGCATTTTGAAATCTTTAAACGGCTCGTTAAAGAATTGGGTCATTTTTAAAGATGATTAAATCGGGCACTCGTTTAATACTTTGAGAGTCTGTGGATTGCTTGGAACAGGCATAAACATAAAGAAGATAACTTTTTTGTAATCCTCGTACTATTTTTTTTCCACCTCTTTGGTGTGCACTTCTTTCCCACACACGTCCCTGTTGCTTCTTTTTCATGCTCCATTAAGCCCACCAAGTAGCACCGCTGGAATAAACAAACTCCTTTGAAAAGGAGGGAAAATGGCCTTTGTGGTTTTCAATGAAAACAACACAGCCTTTCAAAGAAAATACCAATAGTCTTCATCACATCTGATGATTCACATGCGCCAAGTCCATTCTCTTTAATGTGGTTCCGGTTGTGTCAATTGTATCTCTTCCTGTGGCGAACAAACAAAACAACACAAGGGCCCCTGCTTTATGGGGAGAGGAAGCATACCCATCTACGTTTAACTTCAACTTGAGGAAAAATGAACCCCTCGTGGTAAGCCAGAAGAGTATTTGAACACAGAACCTCTCAAATGAGAAAAATTATTATTTTTTCAAATATGGTGACAGAATATGGAGTCCAAATCTCACACTTGTTGTGGTCTAGGAAATAAGAGGTCTTAAAGTGGTCTCTGAGTACAGTGGTACCTTACTGTCAAACTAAACATCAAACTAAAAATTGGTATTAAAAAAAAGCCACTTAACTTCGCCTTATGATAGTCTGCTTCGTCAACGCTCGTATGCTAACAAACAATGCAAAATGCTACAGATGGGCTAACGGATAGCATCGGCGTTGCGCGGTGATACAACCCTCTAAGCAACGGATATTTGAACAAAACGGACAATACTCGCTGGCATACAGTAGATACTGTATTCTTTTTCCTTAGTGTAAAATGACTAATATTACTGTGGCTTACTGAGACTGAAACTCGTTGCGTGTCCCTCGTTGACTGTATTATATTGTATTTATGTCATTACTGCATGTTTTTACAACTTAAAATATGATAAAAAGTGATCATTTTCTAGTTAAATACATCCACATGTGCATTAGCATGCAGCACTGACGAAAACTTTTTTTTTCATGTTCGATTGGATAGCAGATGCATTCGTATCAGATTCCATGTGTACTATACAAAACATTGTCTAGAAAAGGACTTGTGTTTAAAAAAAAAAAAAAAAAGAAGAGAATGAAAAAAAATTAAAAGGGCATTCTTCCTCTGATTACAGACCCCGAAGTCTTTAATGAAATAAGTCTGAGTGTGTGCATGTTTGCATCTGTGAGTATTTAATTTCCCCCCAAACTGAAATCCTTGAGGCCATGTTGGCTGACTGAGTTCAGATGGGCTTTCTGGCTAATAAATAGAAAATAGATGATGACATGGTTCGGGGATGCTCGGGTAAATAGCTCATCGCGTGTAAGCGCTTCCACGTGCGACCTACCTGTAAAAGCAGAGACTGTTCAGGCACTGCTTGCATGGTTTGTGCACGGAGTAGAGTCTGGTGCAGGGATACTGCTCCTCTCTGCAATCTGGAAGTCCCGAGACACGGGCAACGCTTACAAAGAAGAATCTCTCGACGAGAAGTCAACGGCTCCATTTTCTTACCGAGAGGACCGGGCTCTGTGGGCTCCGTCTCCAAATCAGTCTCTGATATTCATATGAAAAGAAAAGAAAACTCAAGACTCATTTTCCAGATGGAAATGTCAAGCTTTTAGCAGACGTACCTGGTTTTTCTGGACGGATCGCGGGATCGACTCGAACCTGCTGCTGGAAATTTCCAGGACCAGAATAATGATTCTCAGAATCCGGACTCTCTGAACAGGGGGAAACGTTTTTATTTTTTTTGGGGGGGGGGACACATGAATAAGCATTTGAACGGTACCTGCAAAATCTCATGAGAATGTCAAACTCATACTTTAGATCAGGGGTCAAGAACCATTTTGAAACTGAAAGCTACTTCTTCCAGGTGTCCATTTTATGACGCAGATGTTTTGGACCCCGACGTGCCCCCTTTGCTCATGTCGTCTGTGCTTCGTCATGTCGTGACTGTCAGTGCAGGACTGGCGGACTGCATTTAAAGAGAATAAGTGGTGCCACTGTGATTGGCATCAGCTGTGATCACTCTCACAGTGGGAGGGACCTCCCTCTTTCAGATCCGCCGGCTGGACTGCATTCGTTCGCTAAATTACACAGGCCAACGGCCACTTTTAATCAGAGATGGCTTTATGTGTCGCAAAATTTTTTTTGATTTGAAAACTGTCTTTACTTTTTTTGGGAGTACATCAGGTTTTTGAGATATTTTCAATTTTTGTTTTTAAGTTTGCGCTATATGGATTTGACCATGCATTGTAATTTATAGCTATGGAGTTTCGGGAAAAAAAAAAAGCCTGTTGGTGAACCTAACCCCTAATTCATAAATGCTGTAGTACTAAATGTCGGTTTTCGGACACCCCATTAACGCCCCCAAAAATTGAAATGACAATAATTGACAAACGTGTTTTTCACGGGACAGCGACGATATTATATTATTCATCTCTGATTTAAAAAAAAAAAAAAAAAAGATTTTTTTGACCAGTTTTATCAACACCGAATATAAATCCACCTCCGTGCCGAGTTACACCGCTCGCCGTGCAGGATTTATGTCAGAACAATGGGCACAACAACAGTAATAGTCCATTTCTACAAATAACAATAATAACAATGTCCTAATAAGCACGTCGATAAAATTTTAAGAAAACACAACACTGTACTCCTGAAACACAGCTTTCCATCCATGTAATGAATCGACAATTCAAAAATCAGTCTAACTCTTTGAATTTTACACCTCCATCCATTCAATCATTTTCTGTGCTGCTTATCCTTATTAGCGTTGCGGCAGCCTATCCCACCTCTTGCCCAAGACAAATGGCGGCGCCCGCCCTGAACTGCTCACCAACCAATTGCAAACCACATATGGACAAACAACCATTCAGTGTCACATTCACGCCGACGGCAATTAACAGTCATCAACTAACTTGACATGATTGTTTTTGTAAATGTGGGAGAAAGCAGGAGGGCATTCACGAAACCCACAAGCACGGGGCGAACGTGCAGACCTCACACTGGAAGGCCATCGTCTGGATTCAAACCCACAACTTGACAACTTCGCGGCGCGTGTGCTTCACCACTCTGCCAGATTTACACATTTGAAATGTGCAAATACACGTGCGGCCATACCCAGTGAGCATTGTGGCCGGTGGTTAAATATAATTTCACATACAGTATAATACGCACCGTACACTCGATAGATGAATCAAAATATGCTTTACCTGGCAAATAATCGGGCCCATAGTCCTCTAGAAAAGAAAACAACACATAGATCAACACCGCTGACGTCATCTATGGAGATTAAGTTTCTATTCCATGGCCAAGTGGAGAACAACACCGGTTTTATGAACTCACCAAGAAAAGGAAACTGTTCCTGGTACTGAGCCTGGGCGAGCAGCACAACTGTTGGGAGAAATAACAAGACATGAAAAGCACACTGGCCGTATTTCTGTCAGCTTTTATGAGTATTCAAATTTGGGTCACAGATGCGCATTCGCTTTATCCCCATCAAAGCTGCCGCATGTTTTATGCCTATTTGGTTGAAATCAAAAGTCGTTTTAATCTTCCTGAATCAGTTGCTCACTGTGGCGTTTCATCTATAGAAAGATGCATCTCCAAATGGGAAGAGCACAGAAAAGCTTTATTCCAGTACTTCTATTTGTAAAAAATGATAGTAGATAAATCATCTTGATTGATTCGAATGAAATATGCTTATTTCTTGAGACAGATCATTTGTGGTTATTGTTCACGATGAGGTCGTGGGTCCGGCCTTCCTGTGTCGAGTTTGCATGTTCTCCCCGTGCCTGCGTGGGTTTTCTCCGGGTACTCCGGTTTCCTCCCACATTCCAAAAACATGCATGGCAGGCTGATTGAACACTCTAAATTCTCCCTAGGTGTGAGTGTGTGCACGGATTGGTTGTTTGTCTCTGTGTGCCCTGCGATTGGCTGGCAACCGGTTCAGGGTGTCCCCCGCCTACTGCCCGAAGACGGCTGGGATAGGCTCCAGCGCGCCCCGCGACCCTTGCGAGGATAAAGCGGATCATAAAATGGATGGATGGATGTTCACGGTGAGCTATAATAACAATAAAAAAATATACATATAGAATCATGAAAACCTACTGATCTCTCATAAAACCGCTAATCTCTCCAGTCACCAACGTGGTTCCAGTGTACGACGACATGTGTAGTCTGTGAGCCTATTCTAAAAATAATTCACCTGTAATGCAACCTTGTGATTTCCTAGGAATGTTACATAAGCCATCATTTGAAAATGTATCCTCATGTAGAAGTGTCGCATCTTAGTATTTACGTTTCCTACCTTGATAAATGATTGTCGATTAATATTGTGAGGATTGAGACTTTATGTTACGAAGGCGTATAGAAATAAATCTGACTCGACTTCAACCTTTCCCATAATCAATGTCTTAACATTAATGAATATAATGTAACCCTTTCACGCACCCTGTAACCTGATAACATGATAAGCTGTCCACCGCAGTTACCGCTGTCCCCTAAAAGTGTTAAAATAGCATAGAACCAAAGGTCATAAGTGTCCATCAAAATGATCTTTGACAAGCGCTTATTTTGCTTCTCATGTAATTTTGCAAGTGTGCCAACTGTCTTTCGAGTTCTTCCTGAAGGCCGTGTCACTTTATTAGGGACAAGGTGACGTTACCTGGCATGCAGATCAAGAGAAGGGCTCTCATGGTCACTCTCGGAGGTAGTCACACTCTCACTGTGGAGAAAATCAGCAAGGGGAGAAAAAAAATGGATAAATGAGAGCAGAATCAAGTTTTTCTTTGTTTTCTTTTTTTTTTTTTTTTTTTGGTGCATGTCCTTTGTAACCTCTCAACCCCCCCACACAGCCCCCTTTTCACCCCCTCTACTGGCCCCAGTCAAAGAAAATTAAGTGGGGAGGTGGGGGGGGAGTATGACAGCAAGAATGTGGAAAGTCTCTCCTTCCTAAGAACAATTGCTCTGTTTTCCCACTTTTCCCCTCTGCAGCAGACAGTCTGTGGCTGCATTCCAGGAAAAGAAACGGCGGACCCCGTCACCCACTCTCTCATCCCCCACTCCCTCCCCTCCTTGTAGCCGTCTGCGTCCACATCCCTCATTTCCCTTTTGCCGCCCCCCCCTTGCTTTCGCCCCCCCCCTATTTTCTTCCTCGAAGCAAATGGGCTCCTGGTTGAGTAAAGGGCCTAAAAACAGCAACAGCATCAACATTCTGTCCACGTGAATGACATCATTGAAATCAATCGAAAGCAGTCGCCCTCGAACATTAATGACGATGTTTTTCTACTGTGTGGAAAAATGTTAACGCTCCTCCTACAGCTTTTCCACTCTACTCAACCATCATCCACACAACTCGAAGCATGACGGCATTTGGGCTTTTTTTTCATGGTTTTGGATGCTTATTGCCAAGTTTTGGGAGACTAACAGTAAATGACTCCAAGGGGACTCAAAAAATGCACCAGGCATATCAGCATGCTGTTTTTTTTTTTTGGTGGGTGGGTGAGGGGGGGGACTGGATTGTAATTGTGGACCTCAAGTTAAGTAAAATTTCATGTTTTGGGAGCACCAGCATAGGAAAACACACTCACACATGGACGAATTCCGATGGTGCATCACAGTGGCATCAAAGGCCATATGTTTTCACAGCACACATCTGGGAGCTATTAACCCCCCCCCCCTTTTCCTCACCAGAGACCCTCACAATACACACCCCCACATACACTTATGAGCTAGATTCTCGGGACAGAAACCACAAATGCTCTTGACTTAAAATGAAGCTTTTCTGTTTTCTAACTAAATAAATTAAAGCCTGATTCAACTCCCCCTCCCCTTTTTGCCCTCACTGACCCCCTTGTCTGGCAGTTTCAGCCGTTGGCAATCTCCCTGCAATTACTGCTGGGGCTTAACCGTAGTTCCTCCTCCCTACACCCCCCTAGTGAAAACATAGGGCCACATGACCTCAACACCTCCGTGCACAGTTGCAGAATGTAAAGTTGAAGTGCATTAAACGTAATCATTGGTCGATTCATTTTTCAAGCCTCAGCTAAGTCAAGTACATGACAAAGTATAAATGCATGCAGATGAGGAAAAAAAAATCTACAAAGGAGGCAAAGAGTGTCCACTTACCAAAGCTTTGGCTCAATGTGCTGCGACTGTCTTCCACCTTCATGCGCCCCGTGAGTGCTGAAAGACTTTGCAGCGCCACATTGCACCACCCAGCTTGTCAAGTCTCCTCCCCGTCCAGCCTCCCCGTGAATGCACGCGAGCTGGCCCCGCGTCTGGAGGCGTCAAATGCTGTACCTAAGCAGCTCATGGACCCAGAAGAGACCACAATCACTACTTTTGGAAAATAATATGGATTGGAGTATGCAGTATGAACTCAAAAATTAGGAGAGATGTGGATTTTTAATTCGCCCCTCCATGAGCCGTCACCTTACCGTGGTGGAAGGGTTTGCGTGTCCCAATGATCCTAGGAGCAAAGTCGTCTGGGGCTTTAGGGCCCTGGTAGGGTCACGAATGGCAAATGGGTCATAGGTGAGGGACTCGACAAAGCATGACTCGGACACCCCTTATGATGATTGACGAAATTTGGAACATGTTCTCTCTTACCAGGATGCAGGTCACCTCTGTGTCGGTCTGTCGTTGGTGACGGTGGTAGGCCGAAAAAGCTACGTTCGTACTCTATGGTCACGAGCTGTGGTTCATGATCAAAAGAACGAGATCTCTGATACAAGCGGCCGAAATTGGTTTCCTCCGCAGGGTGTCCGTGCTCTCCCTTGGAGATAGGGTGAGAAGCTCAGTCGTCGAGGAGGGATTCTGAGTTGAGCTGCTACTTCTCCACATTGAGAGGAGCCAGATGAGGCGGCTCAGGCATCTGATTAGGATGCTTCCTGGACGCCGCCCTGGTGAGGTGTTTCGGGCATGTCCGACCAGCAGGAGGCCCCGGGGATCACCCAGGACACACTGGAGAGACTATGTTTCTGGGCAGGTCTGGGAACGCTTTGGGATTAAGAGTTGGAAGACGTGGCTAGGGAGAGAAAAGTGTGCACTTCCCTTCCCTCAAACTGCTGCCTCCGCGACCCGTTCCCGGATAAGCAATAGGAAATGGTATGGTATGTACTCACCAGTCACATGCGAGTACCTCATCTCAACTGCATCCTCCTTGGCCGACACTGACAGCAGTGCTACTGCTACGACGGTGGTTTTGCACATTCAGTGTAAATTGGCAGATCACTGAGCTGTGGTGTATCTGAAGCTCACTGGTAATTTTTTTCTTTTTGGTCTTTTAAACTCAATTATCTCTCATGAGACAGTTATGTGGCGCAGCAGAGTAGTTTGGAATCTCGGGTTTATATGGTTCGACAAACTGGCAACAGAAATAGCAACATTAGGTTGACATTAAGTCCAACTCGGCATAACAGCGCCAACTAGAGGAGTGGTTTGGAAACGCCTTCGAAACCATCATGAATCAGTATTTTTACATTTCGCTATTATGCATGAAAGTCACTGGCCTATCAATTTTTTATCTCTGGCTGTGAGATCAGAGTCGCGACCCAGGCAGAAGAAGTGCCAGTGTATAAAAGGTCTTTCGAAATTCACTTCTACCAACCCGCCGGACAAAAGACAAGAGCAACAAAACAGCAGCTGCATGCTATTTCGAAGATTTATTCTCGCGAAGGGGGAGTGTTGTAAGATCTGAAAGAACATTCACACACTTTGTCCCAACTAGCTGCAAAGTCAATGTTGGAACAAAAACAAGAGAAGTGTTGTCTCCCAAATGCACAAACACAATGGAGTTGAATGTCAGAAACACCTGTTATGGTACACGCAGGAACACCCTTTCATTCTGTACACGTGCAATTAAGACAAGACACTCGCACTCACACATAAGCGCTCGTTTTGTGCTCATGTGTGAGACACATGTATCAGTCCACCCTAGGTCAATCAAGAAGCATGTTTGAGAATCAATTACATATAATTTTATGATACAGGGTACAGAGGGACACTTGGGTGCTCAAACCGCAGCTGCTTTCTTCTCTTTATAGGTGGCCATCATCTTCTTGATCTCCGCTATGGCTTTCCCCGGGTTCAAGCCCTGTGAGTGCAAATCAAGCGGCAGTCAAGTGTCACGCCCTCGTTGGAAGGACGTTTAGGCGCGCCCGCACGCGTTACCTTGGGGCACGTCTTGGTGCAGTTCATGATGGTGTGGCAGCGGTAGAGAGAGAAGGGATCTTGCAGCTTGGACAGACGCTCCTCTGTGAAGTCGTCCCGCGAGTCGATCATCCAGCGATACGCCTGGAAAACGGCAATGTAGTGGACACATTGTTGACATATATGTTGCAGTTTCCCCAACGTTCAGTTGGGACTTGCTCCGTCTGTATTCCTTTTACATAGTGGCCCCCTAGTGGATCAGACTGGGACAACACACAACTGGAACACTTTGTGTTCCAGCCAAAAGCAAGTATCACTACTTGGAATTGGTGAGTACTCAAATGTAAGTACTCGTACTCAGTCAGAGAAAAAGTGGTACAGACACATTGCTTCTTAGAATGATGAACTTCTTTTCATACTTGACAATGCATAATAAAACAAAACTTTACACACAGCTTATACAGTTAAGAAAGGTTTTATGACTTTTTGGACTCTTACCAATATAATTGATATCAATGAGATTTTTTTTTTTTTTAATCCAAACAAACCTCAGGTTGACAAGTGTCACCGAATAGGTTTTGGTTGAAGTACTGAAGTACACACCTGCATGAGCACGGCAGGTCCGAGGTATTTGTCTCCATTCCACCAGTAGCTGGGGCAGGAGGTGCTGCAGCAGGCGCAAAGGATACACTCGTATAGCCCGTCCTGTACGAGACAAAAAGGAACAGAGGTAAGTCCTCTGTGTCATAGCACTTGCGCTATGGATAGTGGATGAGAAAGCGGAATTGAAAGGTGGGACATGCCAGTTTCTGTCTATCCTCCACAGACTGTGTGTACTGCTCTTTCCCCTCCTGGGACTCATCCTTCTTCTTCAGGTAGGGCTCAATGGACTTGTACTGAGCGTAGAAGTTGCTCATGTCCTGTGGCACAAATTATTATTATTATTATGAAAACTTGATATGCTAGAGAAATAACAAAGGCAAATTCAGAATAAGCGCAACTTTAATTCGTTCTGTGACAACACCTGTCACACAAAATAAATATTTGACTTCATAAAAAAAATACAAAAATTATATATTGAAATATAATGTAAAATAATAATAGTTCTTGCCTTAATTTTGGATTCAATTCAATGGACATTGGGCTACTTCTTCAAGTGTGCATACTTTGACCAGCTGGGGGCAGTATAATGCAAACAGATGTGTTTCACAACTGACTCCTGTAATATCATTCATCTCTGAAATTAAGATTGCCAGTAGGGTTAAGGCATTTATAAATTTAAGGTTTCGGCCCAAAGTCTTTCAGCCAGCTATAGCATTATAAGTATACTGTATATATAGGTGTGTGTGTGTGTGTGTGTGTGTGTGTGTGTATATACTGACATGTTGTGTGGGGGTAGATTAAGTGTGTACAGTATAAGTATTTTTTATATTATTTTTTAATGTTGTCAGCGATCATAATGCTATAATACATGACATCCAATTTTTCACAAAAGGATAAAGAAAATATGCTCGCAAGTCAAAGCAAAAAAAAAAAAAAAATGCCGGCTTGCATCTTGTAAATCGGGTCACTCATATCTCAAGTCACCACTGTATCAGGATACGGTTAGGATGGTATACTCACAGGTACCAGGTCTTTGACCACATACATATGTGGCAGGGGGTAAATCTTGGTTGCTTTGCTGAGGTTAGTGTCAATCCTGTTGAGGCAGGCCAGTGTGTTTCCACCGTTGATGTTCATTGCGCACGAGCCACAGATACCTGCGTTTACAAGTCCGTGAGTGACACCTCACAAGGTTTTATTTACTCCCCCCTCCCCCCGCCACACAATCAGGAGTAACAGAGACACTGCTTATGTTCTAACGCCAAACTTCAGAAGAGACACCTTCTCTGCAGGAGCGACGGAAAGTCAGCGTGGAGTCCATTTCATTTTTTATCTTGATTAGGGCGTCAAGTACCATTGGGCCACATCTACAAGAAGGATAAATGAAGAGGCAAAATGTCAAACATGTAGGTGGAATTTTTTTTTTTTGAAGGACAGAATTGCCAAGTGCATTTATAGAGTAGATGAAACCATCACAGTGTCTTGTGCTCATGAACATGGGTTGAATTTGACAGGTCATGCTTCATCTACATAATAACGACGTATTCCATGGCAAATCAACATAATCGAACCTCTGAACACAATTTGTTCAACAGGCCGATTTCCCAAACGTGAGACTGAATTTAGTTGTGCCGCTGTATTTAGGACAACACTTAATGTGCTGCACCTGTCACAAGCTTGAATATGGGTCACCTACGCACGTGTTCAGGTCGATGTCGAAGGTCTGCATGCGAGGCTTGTCTCCTGGAGTGTCTGGGTCCCATCTGTACACCTGGAACTTCTTAATTCGGGGCTGTGCTGCTGGAGCAGCTGCTGTCTGCGCATAACGCACTGCCTGCTACGGCATTAGGCAATATTTAATACAAAGAAAGAACTCTAAAATACAACAGGTCGGACATACGAGAGGGACAGAATTTACATTACAAGCATCTCTCAGCACACCACTGAACAACAAAAAAGTAACACATCTATTGAAAATAGGGTTGCTGGTAATAGAAAATAACCGAGATACTCGGTCGGGAAAAGTGAAACGATACCACATGTCTTGAGTATCTGTACTTCAGAAAAGAAATAGGTTCAGTGTGCTTGTTTCAATGTGCTTATTAGTCACTCCAATTATTGAAAATTACAGAAATGGCTAACGTTAAAAATGTCCTAATTTAGTGTCTTGACGGCATATAGATTACCATATACAGTATGACTGGGCATGAAAACAATGTATTACATATTATTATTCAATATCCTCCATTGTCCAATATTATTTGGAAATCATAAAACTATTAAGAATCTAGAGTGTATAAACAATCATTTTTGGGCCAATTGGGTGAAAATTGATAACTCCCTGCGGCATACAGGAAAAACGATTAGAGCATAATGTTTGGCAAACACAGCATTATTGGTTATTCTTGTTAATGCGAATGTAAAAGTTTGCAATTTACGTTTTTTGGGGGGTGAGGTCTTAGGAGCGTGATTGATGGGAGTCTTGTTTATGTAACATTTAAAATCCTGGTAGCATGCTACTACTTTAAATTAAGAGAATGATGCCTTTATATAATATTTTGGATGAAACCATTTGCAGTTAAGTGACGTTCGGCATGCAGAGCTCAGTTAAAAAAAACACAATATAACACGAACATTAACAAAGCTGAAGTTCAAGATGGTTAGCTTATAGCTAGTAGCAGGCAGACTCAGTATTTCTCTGTTGTTAAACGGAGTTGTACAAATGCAAGGCAAGACTTAATTTGGAGGGAGGAAAACGCACATAACAGTCGTTGATAAATTTCATCATACCTCTAAACCAGCTGAGGAGCGCAACGCCAACACACCACAGCGGTTCAAGGACGTAAGAGTAGCTACGGACATGTTTGGGGTTTCTGTTCTGCTGACCTCCACTTCCTCTACGCCCCACAATCCAACGCTGTAGCGTCACAAGTTGGTGAGAGCACTTGCTTTTTAAGTCGCTATAGCCCGGATTTTAGTACAGCCCATCCACCCATGTCTCGCTTCCCACACTTAATACACACTCTTTCTATATAATTCATGTTATGAATTATCCACACACATATTACATTTTGAAATCCACTTCAACATTTTTTGTGGATATTTAAAAACGAACAATGTAATATTAACAATTACAATCCTTTGACGGAGTTTCACGGTATTAAAAATCAAGCGCACCTAGTGTAGTGGTGCCACTTGCGTGCAGCTTCTCTCTGTAGCCACAGCTCGTGCGGCTCATGAAGATTTTGTGTAAGGTCACTCTCAACACCGTGGCCTCATTTTGTGTAAGACTTCTGTGAAGATCCAAAAATGGTATTCCTGACGTTGTCCAGGTGGATTAGAAGCCGCGGACCCGACAGATACTGGAAGGTTCAAGAACTTCTCAAGCATGCACGGGTAAGAGACCAACGTGTTGTTCTGTTTCACGTTTGTATTACAAATCCCGTGCGATCAAACTCTTGTTTGTCGCTCTGAAAAATGACGCAAGGTGACTCAAAGATGTTTCTAAAATGCTCAGATCATCATATAAGACGTTTGTTTGAAGCATTTCAGAGGCAGAAAGAACCGCTGTTATAGTCTGGCCGTACGAGCTGTCAGGAGGGCGTTTGTCTACGCTACTAAAGGACGCAAACTGAAGAAACGCAACATGAGAACGGTGAGATGTTCATTTTTTATTATTTGACTTATCCTATGGAACATAACGCTCATATCTTTCAGAGATATTGCTGTAACAATAACGGTTGTGTGAGAAATGTTCTAAGATTAGTGTCACAGAAGACATACCCGGTAGTTAAACCCAAACTCAAACCTATGAGTTTTCCTCATCAATGTGGACCAGATGATAAACCAGCACAGCTATGAAGTAATATTAATTAATTAAAATAATTCACACACACACACACACACACACGTGCCTGTGCCAGACAATTGGCTGGTGGCCAGTCTATGGTTTACCCCCACTGCTTGACCAATGTCAGCAAGACTCCAGTTCACCTGCTACCCTAATGCATCTGCTTTTTAGAAATACTGAAGTATAAATTTATTTAACTTTCATGTGCCAGTATATTTTATCGAATCCTCAAGTAGTTTAAAAAAAGTATTTTATTATATCGTATAAGTACAATTTTAGGATTATGAAGGTATCTCAGGAGTGACTGTGTGTGGGGGCCGTGCATATTACAGGTAGCTAAATTACTTCTTGATGTTGACTAACAACGGTTTTGTATCCTACAATCATCCCTCCCTTGTTTTTCCGCTTTCAGCTTTGGATCACGCGCATTGCTGCAGCTTCCCGAGAGCACGGCATGAAGTATCCTGTTCTCATGAGCAACCTAACAAAGGTTGATCTCTTTAAATATTCAAATTCAATTGTGAATAGATAGATATCTCAACAACAAAACCAAGCACTGTTGTCTTTGTAAAGCCAGAATATATGTGAAAGCTCTGGTATTGGATCTCATTAGATTTTGCACGACTAATGTTACATCTGGTCTTTTTATAAACAGAGTAGCGTTCAGCTCAACCGACGGGTAATCAGCGAGCTGGCCATCACAGAACCTCGGTCGTTCCTCGCCCTTGCCAAGCTGGCCAGGGCCCGGCAACAAGAAGGCTTCTGTGCAGCGCTGGGTGATGGCAAAGAACCTCCCGGTGTCTTCTCCCGTGTTGTTCTGCAACAGTAGTGCATGTACTATAAAAATGTTAAGTGGATACATACATGTTTTGTTTTTTTAGGCGGTTGTTGTTTGCAGCATGAGAGGTTTGGAAAGTTTCGTTTTGTGAAACTATCAATAATGTAAGTGTATTATTGGAAAATGATGAGATGGTGATTAAATAACTCTAACTTTGAAGCCTCCATACCACAATTCTAATTGGGAACAATGTAATGTCATCCCAGATATTGTGTCCACAATTGTTGCTGCAATTAAATTGAACAATTACTCTGGTTATTGTCGACCTGAAATGTCTGGTTATAATTTTTTTCCCTTTCTGTAAATATGTATTTCTCATAAGATTGTCTTCTGAATGTTAAGTTCTTAATAAATTTTTTGCTATACAGTCCATTTTGTTTTGTGCATTTGTAATGGATGTTTACATAAGACAGCTGGTTGATTGATCAAATACCTGTTGTGAATTATGCCATACAGCTGCTTGTTGGATACGTTGTGCAAAACTGACTTCAACATTTAACATCTGGACATGAGTATGAACGTTTGGAGAAGGTCAACTTAAATTCCCCTTTTGAGGTCATACTGCATTTTAGTTTCAGCCTGATTTTTCACCCAAACGCCCGATATACCTAGCTCTTTTTGAAGAATATATAGACGTATAATCATTCAATGGGTATGTAAAAAAGCAGTTACGAAGCACGACAGTACCAAGGACATCCAGCAACGGCAAATGTTTGACTTTCTGTAGCAGCCGGCCTGATGTAATAAACCGACATGACACTAGCATCAAGTTTGTCCCATTACGCCTTCCGTATCTTGTTCTGGGAGGGGTCCACTGTATGACTTCAACAGGTACAACAACCAATGAAAAGAAAGGATGCTCAATACTAGCCAATCGGGGTCATTTTTACTCAACGACACAACCCCGCTCCACTGCGCATGCACCGAACTCCAGTGAGTGGCACGCGCGTGGAGGAAGTACATTGACAGATCTTTGGAAGTCTCCACCAGTCTTTCCTCTTAGAACTGGCCGAATTTAACCTTATTCACTCCCGAAGATGTCGTGGTTGTTCGGCTTGAACAAAGGGCAACCGGAGCCTCCCCCCGGTCTGCCGGTTCAGCCCCCTCCGCCGCCGCCGCCGGCCGGTGGCTCCAACGGCGGCGGAGATAAACCCAAGGACAAATGGAGTAACTTCGATCCCACCGGGCTGGAGCGGGCTGCACAGGCGGCCAAGGATCTGGACAAGTCCCGTAAGTGTTCAGAAAAGAGGGGGTCTTTACATAGATGTACACTTATTGAACGCCATTATGATAACACCCATGTTTCCTTTTGATTTACACTCTTTGATATCGAGGCCCAGCACCCCGTTGACATCTCTCACTTATTCTGCAATAATATGCGTCATTTTAGCCAAACGATGCATTTCCCCCCTGTACTCTCCCATCGCCATTCAAACTCACAGCATGGTTCAAAGGTCGTCTCGTCATGAAACTTAAAACCAGCCTGCGTACTTTTAAAAAAAGCGACATCTGCTCCTGATGAAGCATTAATTGTCTTAGTTATATGATGTTTCTTAGCAAGCACAGACATATTTGAGTCAAGTCAAACGTATATAGCTAAGAATCTCAAAGGGCTTCACAGACTAGATTTCCCACAAGGAAAAAACTGAGAGAAAACCCATTCAAGGGGAAAAAGACTCCCATTCTGATTTCCTGTCCTGTCCTTTGCTTTTTCACTTACATACAGGACATGCTAAAGAAGCTCTGGAATTGGCTCGCATGCAGGAGCAGAGCACCCAGATGGAGCACCAGAGCAAAATTAAGGTACTGCAAAGGAAAGAAACAATCACCGTTCATGACCTCACTCTTGGTCCACTTCATGTCCTTTACGTAGTTGAGGCGACAGTTGCTGTTTGAATGTTCTCAAATGGACTGTAAATTTCCATCTATTAATTTCACTGGTTAATCCGCTTATATTTTATATATGTACAAATATGAGAGAAAACATCACTAACTTTACTGTCGGAAGTAAGTGGAAACAGCATAAAGGAACAAAAATATTGCTCATGCCGTAACCAAATCTAAAAAAAAACCAAAAAAAAAAAACCACAATAGTCCGATTTCTTCAACATCACCTTACTCCAATGGCAAGGTCGATTGACTTCTTTTTTAAAGCTGCCCTGAAGGTATTTTGTCACCTCTGAGCAGAGCAGACCAGAATGTTAATCTATTTTCCACCATGACAGGAGTATGAAGCGGCTGTGGAACAGCTGAAGGGTGACCAGATAAAAATCCAGGGTGAGGAGAGGAGGAAAACTCTTAATGAGGAAAGCAAGCAGCATCAAGCAGTGAGTTTCATGCAACTTTCATCCGGCATTTTTTTCTCCTCCTGTCCCCTGAAAGTAATTCCTCCCGTCTTCATCAGAGGGCTCAGTACCAAGACAAGCTGGCCAGGCAGCGCTATGAGGACCAGCTAAGACAGCAGGTGAGCTGTCCTGATTTAGTTTTAACAGTCCTCTACTTTAAAGAGTATTGCGAACAGTTTGTCTATGTTCCACTCAGCAATTGTTGAATGAGGACAACCTTCGCAAGCAGGAAGAGTCGGTTCAGAAACAGGAAGCCATGAGGAAAGGTGTGTGTGCCTTTTAACCTCGAGACCCAGCGATTAGCTGGAGGCTGACGCGTTTTGATTTTTTTTTTTTTCTTTCGCAACAGCGACCATTGAGCACGAGATGGAGCTGAGGCACAAGAACGAGATGCTGCGTATTGAGGCCGAGTCCAAAGCGCGCGCGCGTGTGGAGCGAGAGAACGCCGACATCATACGTGAACAAATCCGCCTGAAGGCCGCCGAGCACAGACAGACGGTCCTGGAGTCCATAAAGTAAGATACGTTTACTTCACAGCCCCCCCAAAAAATACAACAGATTAAATTGTGCAGGTGCGCCTAAAATTGTGTTTTTTTTTTTTTTAAAGCACTCTGCGGCGCACATCACATTGATGTTACAAACATACACTGTCATTTTTAGGACAGCAGGCGCGGTATTTGGAGAAGGATTCAGAGCCTTTGTGTCAGACTGGGACAAAGTCACGGCCACGGTGAGTCCTGGACATTGGAAGCTCCAATGTCCAGTGTTCCCTGAGGTTGGACAATTTGACCAAAATTGCCTGTTAAAAAATGGCCTTTAGGTCACACAAAAACTGTTTGGCTAACGTTTTCTGTCTTGCAACAACCAGGTGGCTGGTCTGACCCTTTTAGCTGTGGGGGTGTACTCTGCCCGCAACGCCACCGGAGTGGCGGGTCGTTATATCGAAGCGAGACTGGGGAAGCCGTCTCTGGTGCGAGAGACGTCCCGCTTCACTGTGGGGGAGGCCATCAAGCATCCCATCAAGGTTGGACTTTTTAAGTTTAGACGCCAATCCGGTATTTCATCTCCACGCTATTTTCATCTCTTGTCAATCTTGCCTTTCGGCTTCTTAGACGGTCAAAAGGCTGAAGAGCAAACCTCAGGATGCCCTGGAAGGAGTTGTGCTCAATGTAAGAATCATTCAGCCTCACCAAAGTAGTGCCAAGTAAAGGAGATGGTCGTAACAATTGGTTTGACCTTCTAGCCGACGCTGGAAGAGCGGGTGCGTGACGTTGCCATAGCAACAAGAAACACAAGGCAGAATAACGGCCTCTACCGGAACATCCTGATGTACGGACCCCCGGGCACCGGCAAGACGCTGTTTGCTAAGGTACATGTTAGATGCTGACATTTTTTCAAACGGGAACACACGAGAAGGAGCTTCGGTTGTGAATCATTGTTCCTGTTTTGAGCAGAAGCTGGCAATGCATTCTGGGATGGACTACGCAATCATGACCGGCGGTGATGTCGCACCGATGGGCCGCGATGGGGTGACCGCCATGCATAAAGTGTTTGACTGGGCCAACACGAGCAGGCGAGGGTAAGCTACCTGACACACATGAGGAAAAAAAAATACATAAAACCTGTTCATTTCACTTTATTTGAATCATTCTTATAATATCATGTTTGTTCTCTTTTAGCCTCCTGTTGTTTGTTGACGAAGCCGACGCATTCCTTCGTAAGAGATCGACTGTAAGTTTGGATTGTTCCGATTTTTGTCACTTAATCTGTTTTACCTTTCTCAAGACAAGGAGAACTTCTCCTTTTCACTCCTGAGCAAGTTGTTTACTATTAATTTCATTCCACATTTGTCATCCAAACCGGCTAACTCAGATGTGGGCAAATTTTTGCACAAAAGTGCGAAATGCAATTTTTAAAAAAAAAAAAGCTACTGATGGGCCAGTTCATTCGTGGATGACGAAACAAAGGCTTTAATTGTACAGTTAATCAAATTCAGTGATTCATGCTCATTTGAATAAACATGAACAATTTTTCCCCAAAAAATTAAGACATTAATATGATCAAAAGGATATGTGGTGACCACATTTAAGAGACTTAAAACTCATAAATAATTAAGTATATTTTAATTAACGGATTTTGAGAATAAACAAACAAAATCAATGCAACAAAGGAAAGAGTATGCATTCGTAAAATAATTACAAATACTTTAAAATAAATGTACGATTAATGTAAATACAAAGTGTCGACCATTTAAGAATATTAAAACAGGTTAGATGTGATTTGATTTGATTAAATTTGTTGAAAATCAGACGACAAACTATTGAATGTGATACATGAACAATAAAATAATACTAATAATGAGCACATTTTAATGGAACCAAAGAGCTTAAAATGCTAGGTGGGCCAAATTAAAGAATGGAGCGGGCCAGATGTGTCCCGTGAACTAATTGTAATGGTTCCTCCTGATTTTTTTTTTTCAGGAGAAGATCAGTGAAGATCTCAGAGCTACTTTAAACGCATTCTTATATCGCACTGGAGAGCAGAGCAACAGGTAAAGTCCGTTCAGTATTTCCAAAGTTTCAACTTTGCAACTCTTGCTCACATTTCTAATAATTGTGCTGTTTTCTTGTTTTATATCCCATCCAGATTCATGTTGGTGTTGGCCAGTAACCAACCAGAGCAATTTGACTGGGCCATTAACGACCGAATCGATGAAATTGTCAATTTTGCTCTGCCGGGGCTGGAGGAAAGAGAGAGGCTGGTGCGCTTGTACTTTGACAGATATGTGCTGGAGCCCGCTACCGGGGGGAGGCAGTGAGTACAAAGTATCATCTGGCACAACAGCGATTGCTTGAGGAAACAGGAAATCATACATGTGGACACCAGTGAAAAATCAGATAGTAAACAGAACAAAGCGCCATTCTGATTCACAAAGTGATTATTTAACCGTGAAAAAAGGAAAAGTCATTTATTCAATTATCCCCTTCCTTTTGCCTAGATAGCCGATGCATTTTACAGAACCTGGCCCAAACACACGCGTGGCAAAAGAAGCCATGAACACAAACATGACAAATCCAGAAGAGCCTTTGTTTCCTTTCGAAAATGGAGCTGCTTAAAAACCTTATCCAAGCTAGTTACTATTGTCGTTTGTGTGAACGTGTCTTCTGCAGGAGGATGAAGCTGGCGCAGTTTGATTATGGTAAGAAATGCTCTGAAATAGCCAAGCGGGCAGAAGGCATGTCCGGTAGAGAGATCTCCAAATTGGGAGTAGCCTGGCAGGTATGACCTCAAAAGTTCCAAATCAGTCCCATCAACATCTGCCATCGTCTTCCTCACTGTGTTTTTTGTTGTAACGCGAGCAACCTGTCTTCACAGGCAGCGGCATATTCCTCAGAGGACGGCGTACTTACGGAGGCCATGATCGACACCCGCGTGGACGACGCGGTCAAGCAGCACCGGCAGAAGATGGACTGGCTGCGTACGGAAGAAGAGGCTCAGACCAAGACCCTTACACCTCCACCAGCAGGGGGCGCCGCTAGTAGCACCACAGGCAAAATGGGTTTCAATCTGCCGCTTGGCGAGACATCGCAGGCTCAGGAGGTGATCGCCCCACTCTTGGTCCACAAGATGAAGCAGCAAGGCGACTGTCTACCTCAAGAGAGGACAGCAGAGTCTCAAAGTTCTCCCTCAGCCAGACTGGACTGTGAAGAAGCCAACAGAGCAAGTTTAGAGCAGCGCGCTGAAAAGAAAGTGGAGAAGACTGACTCTGCACCAAAAGATGGAACTCCAGTTTGAGTCAGATTGTTTCAATGAATTAGAAAGATTCTGAATCATGTCTTCGTGTCTTCACACATGTTGGACTGTCTTGGACCTCGCTGTGTCTTGTGGAAGGAAACTAACCGGTGTTGAAATACTTGTCTGTCTGTAACAACACAATGGAGTCAAGTAAGATTAAACCAATTTAGGTTTTTATAACCAGTAACAATTGATGTGCATTTTGTGTACATCGTCATCACGGGAATAATACGGGTTCTTTCTCACCCCGAATGAATGCTGAGATGGTCACAACCAGCAATTCCAACAATGTGATGACATCATGTACAGTACTTAATGTGTTATAGTTAATAGTAAGACCGCTTTCAAGTTTAAAAACACAAATGCGCCTGAGTCATGTTGATGAAATGAAATAAAGATAAAATGTTGAGAAAACCCAAATGGTCAATTTGTGATTTCACTGGAAATAGCACAAACTGCTGAATTTAAAAAAAAAAAAAAAAAAAAAGCAAATGATTAAATGTATATAACATTTAAAAATATATTTTATTCAATAGGTTACATAATTACTAATGCTTGGATTCAATTGAGAAGAAATGAGAAATTTTACATTGGTATATACAACTATCGTGTACAGAAAGATTAGAATAATAGCACAGTCACAGAGGTTTCAGATGAGCGCAAAAACTGACCTCCATGCAAAGTGCAAACTCAATATTAATCTTAAGTATTTACAGGTGCTAAATGAAATGATGAAAAAAGGAACATAATGAGCCACAAATGGTTCTTATAGATTCTTTTAGTATATTCCTATGTACAAATCAGGCACTCTGAGCTGACAATGCATCATTTTTACACATACAAAATAAAGAAGTATGCCCTGAACGACATCATATCCAAGTTTGCGTATCAAGTCAACAGCACACATTGCCTCAGAGAGGCCGAGCTTTGGTTATTCACTAGCTCGTCCTTTTAACTTAAGTAATCTAAAACACGAAACAAAACAAAAGCATTCTCAGTTCAGTTTTTTTCCCCTCCTGCCTCAATAAAACACATCTCCAGTTCCAAGTGTCAAAATAAAAAGCTGACATGAAATTGAAACAATCACCGAAAACTAGATCACCTGGAGGGGAGGAAGAAAAAAATGGAATAATGTTTAGGAGGCTGCACTGAGCAAAACGGCGGGACTGGGCGTCATGGCACTCCCTGAGGAGGCGTGGCTGACCTTGGCTTGACCTTGATCAGGAGGAATAAAAAGGCAAGGGCAGCAGCGGCGAGTCGGGCGCGGCCCGCGGCGTGATTGAGAAATTGATTTCGTTCGGCGCTGCACACACGTGTTTCTGCCAACACAAAGCCCTCCATATCATTGTCACGTTATTTGCCGTTGCTTTGCGGGGGTCCTCCGTGTGCTTATTGCAGCTGTCAATAGAAGCAGACGGTGTGAAGGAAAGCCCTGCTGCTCTTGTCCTCAAACTCTTGCAAGAGTTCGTCAATTTCATTTTCCATGTCATCCGTGTGCTGAATCTGTGCAAGAGAAGAAAAACTTGTCTAAATCATGTGCCAGCAGCAGCGGTGACCAAATATGGATCGAAACAGAGGAAGCAGTATAATTGCCTATGTTGGAGGTTGTCCAAATTTTAACACCACGACCATCCTTAATGACACTCAGCTCTCCACGTACCATCATAATGCTATCGCTAGACATCAAAATACAGTGGCGTACTAACTGCATGCAAATAATGATTCAATTAAAATGTTCCACACTGACTTTTAAAGACTCTAGAGTCCTAATAGCCACACTCGCTGGACTCTTCATTAGGTACAATAAGACCCAATACAAGCTGTGCATCAAAAACTCTGCTCAGTTGTGCTGGAGATTGACAAAGAGTTTATTACATAAGGTTGTCTAAAAGGATCCATCCAGATTGTAATGCTCATTTTATGTTCGAACCAACGCCAGATGTGAAAAATCTCAACAGGACTGACTCTTGTTCTAAACGAAACTGAGCATTCATTATCAGCTTTGAAAAGGAGGATTGCTCTATTTAATGGGGCGCGTGATGCGAGAGACGAGAATGGGCTTCAAGTGTATAAAGAGTAGAATGTGCTCCAGTGCAGAACTGGTCAGTACAAGTCATTCCAAACCAAACTGTTCTTCAGAGTGACGCCTCCGCCTAGCAGACACTCACACATTGACACAGCTCACAGATGAGGAAGGCGCCCAGCGTGGCTTCTTCATGGTTGTCCTGAATGTCAACATTGATGACATGCACGGGCTGCATAGTCTCCTGCTCCCGCGAGTTGAGATCTGGCAAAGGAATGACACAGAGTGAGGCACGAAACAGATGCACAAAAAAAAACAAAAAACAAAAACGTTCCAACAGGAAGTCTCGCTCACCCTCCAGCACTTGGTCATAGACGCGCTCCTCACAGGTAATGACCAGGTCAAAATTGTCCTTGCAGCTCTGGAAGCGCTCTGGCTTGGATTTGATACGCTTATTTCGGTCCAGCATGTGCAGGATTCCGTTCTGTGTGTATCTGAGGCGGGGGGGGGGGGGGGGGAGAGCAAGCCTGCAATGGACTCTGTGTACAGCATCTGATGCTTGAACCCAGCCCTGACAGAAAGGTGAAAACGACACGCGTTTACAGTACGTTTGAAGTGAGCGGCAGCACCCCCTAGTGGTATACGTGAGCACATGCAGCTAATAGAGAACGCAGGCCTCACGTGAAGGGACAAACCGCCAACGTGACGTCATCTAGTTTGAAGAACGCTTTAAAATTGGTAGAAACATTTGGCTTTACAGCTATTGACTCAATTCTGTGTTTAAGGTGAACCAAGCAATTCAAATATATATTATAACTAAGCAATTCCATCTATTATATCCAGCCATGGACTTTTAGTACGAGAAGCATCAACAAGCCATCCTGCAGTTAACAATGCAGTAATAAAAAAAGAAAAGAAAAAAAGGGCCATTTTGTTTTCGGGTGAAATTTCAGTACTAGTCTAAAATGCGCTCACATTTACATTGACCTGAACATGACCTCGAAACTTTCAAGTATCCAACTCTTTAATATTTTAGTATTTTTTGCACAACTTGTTTTCTAACAAGGAGCTGACTAGCAAAATCCACAAGTGTTTATTCCATGAATGGATCAATACTTTGCGGGTTCAATTAGAATTGGTCTATTTTGCCGTGTGGCTCACATTTTGACATCGCGAGCCCAAGGCAACAGCTCAACAATTGATGAACAGTACCTCGCCACCGCGGGGCTTCAAACAGGACGTTCCCACAAGCGGACACTGAGGCAAAATTGTCATCAGCGGGTTCCAATAGAGACACAGGGAGACTGGAAGAGTCACAGAAAGTCATAAAAGGAGACGTCCTTGAAATAATAATAAAAAAAAAAAAGGGAATTTTGTCTTGAGCAGCAAGTTAGGCAAAAAAAGTATTCAACAGTTGTGGATTCTAAAATTTCTAGAAGGCCCAAAGTTCAGCTGTAAATGTGTGCATTTCATGTTCATTCTGAAATTTTGCCCGATAGTTTTTGTGAGTAGTGTACACTTGAATGCGCTGTGTGGAACACTACACAGTAACCAGATGCTTCATAAGGTACACAATCTGACAACCATATCCAATGAAGAGTCGACTAGTCTCGTATCTTTGTGCAGGTGCCCCTGAAGGTGTGTCCTGTGTGTTTGCATTTGAAGCATGAGACAGAAATCAACAGATTATACAATTTGTGTTTGTGTGTGGGCTGGGGTGATCACACCCTCCTTTAATGTAGAATCAACTTTTAAAGCTGGAGCAACTACAGGATCTCGTCTCCATATGGGTCCGTATTTCCTGTGAAACTAATACCGTGTCACACAGTCGCTGTAAGGTTAAGCAAAACTTGCCACTGAAGTTGAATAGGTCCTGCTTTGTCATCAGCGCAGAGGCTGCTTTAGAACACACACACACACACTAAGGGCCTGTTTTCCTAAAAAGGAAGTAAGTACCGAAGTGTCCATGTACAACATGCTAATTAAACCGGTGTGGGATCCCTCAAAAGTTTTTGACCTTTGAAAAAGTTGTGCTGCAGCTTCAATTGGAACACACAGGGAAACCCAAAGGCCTGTAATCTTTTTTTCGACTTGATAGGGTTGCCATTGTTAAACAATACTTTTTTCCTGTCAGTTTAGGTATACCTTTTTTTGTAATATTGGCAAAGTGAATTTAGCCGTACAAATTCAAAACGTGAAACATTAATTCATGACGACATTAGGCCAATTCCTACCTAATTTCTGTATTTAGATTCCAGTCTGTCGAGATGTTTTCATTCTGTAAGCTATAATCATGGAAATTCCATTTTAAATCATATTGTGACATTATGTTTAAACAATATAGCGGCAACTTTTGGCTTTCTGAGTCAACATGACTTTAGTCTTGAATAACACTATCGAAATAAGAACATAGTGTAATTTCTTTGAGATGCACCTGTCGTCTATTCAACCAACCACCCAAAGATGACGTTTAAAAACAGCAACTGTATCAAGTCGACATAGTACAGGCTCAAGGTTTTTGCACTTGATTTGTAAATTACAACGGAATACATCCACCTCCTTGCTCACTCCCAAAAAAATCTCCATCTATTTTTTTAAACCAAACTGCCGTTTACTTCAAGACAACTAGCATATTTCAACATGTTTAAATGCATTTTTACAGAGCTAAAAACATGTTTCCTGGCATGCCGTTTACCCATCGATGCAGCTGCGTCCACGTTCCTGATGTCCGTAAAACATAATGGGTTACATGAAATACTTATCCCGTGATTTGTCTGACAGTGTGTGTGTGGGTGCGTGTGTGCATGTGTAGAGGTGAGATGGGGATACAGTTCCTTGTCCTTGCGGACCAAGTCGTTGTACATCTGTTCATATGTTGTTTTGAAGTCATACACATTCGGCTTGTCTGGGGCAGGACCGGGCAGCTTCACGTGAGAACCAGTCCCGAATGAGCGCACTTCAAATCCACGTTTACTGCAGAGAACAAAGAGAAGGAGGGGGAAAGGGGGGAGGGAGGGCAAGTAAATCAACTGACACAAATCAAAATCAGTCGACAAGCCAACCAGCGCCAGACCCCCCCCCCCTTTTTTTAAACAATGTACAGTCCCATTATGAAAACAAAACGTTTTGTCTGTAATCCCACACAGATACATTTCTCAGCCCTAAAAAAATAAGTCTTTTTTTGCAGAATCAAAAACGTTTGGACATTTGATATTCATCTTAAGGTCTATTTACACATGCACACTTTGTCCTCATCTTTTAGGCAATTCCACACACCAGTTAGTAAGGTGGAGGATGCTTTTTTTTTTTTTTAATTTCAAAACATTTTTGAAAAACAGGGTGCCAAAAGTTTGGCAAAGAATGTACATGTGGATGGACCTTAAGATGGATCAAATGGATTTAAATTTGAGATTCTATTTTCTAACACACAGGTATGATAATTCATTATATTAGCAAGCTGGGGCTCAAAATATTCACTACCCCACTAGTTCACTTAATTTTCTTACAAGTGACGAAAGAGTTTAGTACATGGATCTTCAAATTCACTGCAAAAAATAACGCTAGTGACCAAAGGGGGCAGCTATGAGCAGTTACGCCATCAGCTGCCGCGCAGCTGCAGTTACTTTCTTCCGGAATTCGTCCACCTAGGGGGCGCTCTGTCAGCGTGAATCGATACAAAAAATAAAAATCCAATAAAGCGTCTGAGGATTTAAAAAATGGACTCAGCTAGGATTTAAGGCTGTGTAAGTATTCAACTAAGGAAAATCTCAAACTCAGCCAGGCAACAATGTTTAAAAGGAGAACTCGACATCCGGCGTGACTCTGCACTCTGGGTCCATTGTTGGGAATGCGGAGGCCCGGCATATCTGGCGTCGTGTCAGCTGATAACCGTCTCAAAAACACACAGCGATAAGGCACATTTCGTTCACGTCGTTGTCGCCTCGTCGTCTTCTTCCCCGGGTGGCCAATGTTTACCTGAGGATATTGTGCGCTTCCATACTGCGGTTCTGGTTGCTCGAGCACACAACCGCTACCCTCAGCGGGTGGCTCGGCATTGCGACTCCCCGGCTGAAACTAACCTACTAAAACGGTCGGAAACCACTCGGTGTGGTTTGTTTGTGCCCCTTTTAGGAAAGAAAAACAAAATAACCCCCTTTTAAAAATTAAGAATAGTAACGCGCCGTGAGTACAGTTCGACAGACTACCCTCCTTTGAATGCAGGAAGTTAAAATGGCGGAAACCCCGTGCTGGGAAAATTATTTGTCTCGGTGACGTCTCCAATAGGCGGGGCCATTCGGGTGGACGTTTCTGTGACGTCGTGGTATGATGGCGTGAAGTCTTTAGTTCGTTCTCATTTTTAACAACTCAACTGAACTCAAATCAACTGTATTCATCAAAACAACCACCGCTTAATACAAAGTGCTGTACACGGAGCAAAAATATGTCATACAACAACAAACAACAAAACAATAAATTAATAAGACGACAGTATCAATCCATCCATTTTCCGATCTGCTTATCCTCACAAGGGGCGCGGGGGTGCTGGAGCCTATCCCAGCTGTCTTCGGGCAGGAGGCGGGGGACACCCTGAACCGGTTGCCAGCCAATCGCAGGGCACACAGAGAGGAACAACCATCCACGCTCACACTCACACCTAGGGACAATTTAGAGTGTTCAATCAGCCTGCCATGCATGTTTTTGTAATGCGGGAGGAAACCGGAGTACCCGGAGAAAACCCACGCAGGCACGGGGAGAAAACTTCACACAGGAAGGCCGGAGCCGGGATTGAACACACGACCTCTGCACTCTCTCATGCAAAGTCAATAGAGAAAAAGCTGGAAAGTAATAAATTATCTAAGATACTTTATTGGCTGACAGCAGGACACCAAGGTATCGTGGATGATGTTGTTTGGAACAGTATTTAGTGATTGTATTGCCCTTTACTAAATGATATACAAACGTATGTATGTCACAAGATAAGTGTAACAGACACATGTAATTCACTCCAGTATCTTTTGTGTGCCAACAAGGTCACAAGTTATCGGCACACTTGTGTGTGGCGTACATTGAGTAAACGTCAGCTAACGGGGAACACTAAATGCATTTCATTAATGACATTGCTGTATATTGCAGCTGATAAAAAGATTCACGATTAATCACTGACAAACTCATAAACGCAACACAATTGAGCAGATCATCATGTTCTCATTGTAAAGTGCAGGGAAACCTCCAATGCCCTTAGGTTGTACAATATGGAATTCAACTTAACAAAATGACTCAAAATTCATTCACAAGACTTCCGGAGGAATTCCTCAAGGATACTTTGTGGTTTCTTTGGCTCTTTTTTTTTTTAATTCATTTTTGTCACAACAAAGGGTATCAGTGATGACAAAGAGGTGAAATATGATGTAGACCATGTACAGTTGTACAAGAAATGGATATGAAACACTGGAATATGGTATCATCTGTCTGTTGTGGCTGCTCAGTACAATAATTCTAAAAGACGAATGGGATGTACTTCGGAATTTGTACTATGTAAATTAGCATTTTGTCATTCGTTTCACCCATCTCTGTCCTGGCTGTTCAGTACAACACAACAAACTCAACAACAAGTCGACAATAATAACAGAAAACCGACAACGTTTCATTAAGAGTAAGGTGACTATATACTGTATGTTATTGTTTCAAGAGCTTACCAATGCCATTGGTTAACTTACATTTACACTTGCATGACTACTGACAATGCTGAAATGTCACCTAAAGCTGCGATTCCTCAAACTGGGTGCCACGGCACACTCTTGTGAGAGATCATTGGGTCCCACTGGAAAGGCTTAAATTTCACTTAATTCCTCCAAAAATTATTAATCAATGTATGCCACAGACGTATAGTGACAGACAGAACAATTTAATGCTTTTCTGTTCGATGGCAGAAGAAGGTACAATAAACATTTTGCCATTCTTATAACAGAATCCAGCAAGTCACGGCTTTGTGTGAGTATCTCAGCTTTAGACAGGCCCAGATTTTACATTACGTGAATTTGTGAGTAAATTGAGACAAGATCATTATTTTAGCATATATACTCTTTGTGACATTTTTGGTTTGTATTGTGTCAGGAAATCTTTCTGATGTACGATCAATAAAGGTTGGGAAATTGACCGCTTATTTTTTTTATTTCCCAAACTACGACATATTAGAATTAATCCGGTATGTATTTTTTGACTCAGAGTTTACACTGTGCAATATAGGTAAATTTGGTTTAGCTCTCGTTTGCACGGGTTTATAGGTTTATCTGCTTCAGATACACTATTGTGCTTCAGTTCACACACACACACACACACACACACACACACACACACTGCTGTTACTACATGGACAACAATTAAGTGAAGGTCACATCAGGCGAGTTCATGGTGGACAGTTAGTGTTCAAGGTGAGCCTCAGTGGCGTGAGTGAGTGCGGTAGGAGTATGTGTGCTGCGTCGCGGGGCTCATGATGTTTTCTGTGATGTACGCCACCAGTAAGCAGATGATGACCAACATCACGCAAATGGCGCCCCCGACTGTTGTCATGGCGATCACGATATCCTGCATCCCGGACGGTGGCAGGATAAACTCCACGCAGTCCTTGTGGTCCGCTCTCTGGTCCAGGGAGCGCAGGCAGATGCGGTAGGGGATGTTCTGGTGCAGTTCGCTCAAAAGGAAGTCCCTGCACCCAGAACCGAGATGGACCCCGGCGCACTCAAATTGAGTGTAGCTGCCGTTCCACCAGCAGCTCAACTCGTAACCTCCATGTCTGTGGCGCCGACCACTAAAAATACTATTTGTTTTTTCAATACTCGATGATTTTGCTCCAGGAGCTCTCGTCTGATCGGGTGACCCCGGGACTCCCGAGACCTCTCTCCCTTGGCTCCACTGTAGTAGCACGCTGCCATTGATGAGAATATTTGCAACCAAGCTCCCTGAAGAAACTGCCCGCCTGCAGTCTCCCTCGTGGCAAGTGTACCCAGCCAACATGTGTCGAAAGCAGAGCGGCCCCCCGATGCCTCCCTCTGTGACGGTTTAGCTCTCGTTTGCACGGGTTTATAGGTTTATCTGCTTCAGATACACTATTGTGCTTCAGTTCACACACACACACACACACACACACACACACACACACACACACACACACACACACACACACACACACTGATGTTACTACATGGACAACAATTAAGTGAAGGTCACATCAGGCGAGTTCATGGTGGACAGTTAGTGTTCAAGGTGAGCCTCAGTGGCGTGAGTGAGTGCGGTAGGAGTATGTGTGCTGCGTCGCGGGGCTCATGATGTTTTCTGTGATGTACGCCACCAGTAAGCAGATGATGACCAACATCACGCAAATGGCGCCCCCGACTGTTGTCATGGCGATCACGATATCCTGCATCCCGGACGGTGGCAGGATAAACTCCACGCAGTCCTTGTGGTCCGCTCTCTGGTCCAGGGAGCGCAGGCAGATGCGGTAGGGGATGTTCTGGTGCAGTTCGCTCAAAAGGAAGTCCCTGCACCCAGAACCGAGATGGACCCCGGCGCACTCAAATTGAGTGTAGCTGCCGTTCCACCAGCAGCTCAACTCGTAACCTCCATGTCTGTGGCGCCGACCACTAAAAATACTATTTGTTTTTTCAATACTCGATGATTTTGCTCCAGGAGCTCTCGTCTGATCGGGTGACCCCGGGACTCCCGAGACCTCTCTCCCTTGGCTCCACTGTAGTAGCACGCTGCCATTGATGAGAATATTTGCAACCAAGCTCCCTGAAGAAACTGCCCGCCTGCAGTCTCCCTCGTGGCAAGTGTACCCAGCCAACATGTGTCGAAAGCAGAGCGGCCCCCCGATGCCTCCCTCTGTGACTTGGTAGGCACACAACGGTGATGACGCCCCGCTCAGCGGGCTCCTCTTGACTGATGTCACAGCGGAAGCATTGAGGCTTGATGCTTTCTGCCACGGCCTGCTTTCCTGGCTGCTGTTGCCATGGTGTTTGAGCCACCTGCGCTGCATCCCAGAATCTTCCCTGCCTGTCACCTCTGATGGGGATGCAGATGTAGATGATGATGCTGAGCCGCTGCCATGAGTCCTGTGCTGTGCTGTGCAGAGCAGCAGTGTCGCTAAAGCGAGCACCGATGGCCGCTGCTGGCTGCTCATCTCCTCTGGTCGGATTTGCTGTTGGCGGCCATAAATCGGATCAGCCCTGCTTCAGCATCCGCGTGGAGGAGGGAAGCGCGTCCATGGACGAGGACACTTCGGTTGAAGCATCTGCGACAGAAATCACACAACAAGAGAGAAAGGAGCTTCATTCGCGTAAAAAAAACAAAAAACTTCAAATCAGTTGCGTCATCGATCGACTCGCCATTGATGATCTTCACTTACTTTCTGGGTTACGGCGCCCGTGAGTCTGTCGGCCGTCTTCGCCTTGTCACTCGACTTGTGTGTGCAGCTCTGATGTCCGTCCGCTGTGGGCGTGTGATTGCGAGTGGCGCGCGCCGCACACTGCACGGGTGCGTGTGCAACCATTTTAGTGGCCATCAACAAATCGGCGTGTGAGTCACAAGCCTACGCAGGTGGTGCAAAAAGAAAGAAAGAAAGAAAAAAAAACAACCAGTCCACAGCACACACGGGCGGAGGAAAAGTGTTGGGCAACTCGAGTCCAGATGGCCCCTGACGCACGCACAACGCTCGATAGTGCAGCGTATGCGCTAATAAACAAGAATTAAAATCCATTAATTGGATTTTATTTTTGTAACGGGGGTAATTTCGCATACAGAAGGAATTCGGCATGATTGTCATCCACACTCACACAATTTGATGTGATCCAATACAAAATTTTAATAACATAGTGTTCATATAGTGTATTTGCCACTCGCAGGTTTACCTCTTCACAGCTTTAATGCTATTTTGTGTTCAAACTCTTTGTAGACGTATTGCTTTGTTGGCATCTTGGTGCCAAGGAACTCTGTTGTAGTGAGGCGAATGGTGTTTCAGGTAGTGCTTTACCGCCATCTTTGATTTTTTTTTTGCTCATTGGCCCTCTCCCTCAACCCTTACAGAGCCCAAGGCACATCCAATATTTTACATTGGAAAAATCTCATGGTTTACTGTTTACATGTTTAGGCAAGTGAGCTTATGTATGTTTCATGAGGAACTGAAAGAGGAAATATTGTTTCTGGCTGGATAAATTTGAGATGCCTCCTCAAACAGCAGGACAAAATCTCGAGTTGACGAATGAATTAGGTCTAGTCATTCATTCTATTTCTTGTGTTTATTGAGAGGGACTAAAGAAATCAACATGCTAGTGCGATGGTACACATTTAAAGAAGTTATGCTTATGTGAGTTGACTCTGTCCCTGAAGAGGTGTACCAGCAAAGAAATTAGTCCCAAGGGATCATAATGAACTGCTGACTGATAAAAGGAACATGCTGATCAGTGCCTCTTAACTCCAAGTTGTCACATGGGATTTTAGTTTTAGATAGACTGGTAGATATGAATCATTATAAAATAATTAACGGGGATTATTAGGAGTCACAGAAAGAATACAAAGGGCTCTGAAGTCAGTCACATGTTGTTACATGATCATTTGTATGATTTACTAGGAAGGGGTATAAACAACGCAAAGCTATATGAGGTGATCAAGATGAAGCTTCTTCAGGCGGCTGCTTGGTGATGCAGAAAAGAAGTGATGGAAAATGTCGGCACATCAAGCTAAACGAACCTTGAGGCTAGTCAGCGAGGTTGAAGCTTTGCGTAGGCGTATAAAAGTTAAAGAGGAGTATCAGCTTCTTTCATGGATGATATGAAGCCTCGATGCTCCTGTGTGCAAACAATGTCGCGGTGCACGTGAGGCCATGTCGGCCGTGCTCACTGTAGATGCTATTCTATTTGGGATGCTGGTCATTTGTGGCATCCTGGGGAACTTCTTGGTCATCTTTGTGGTGAGACAACCAAAATTTGTGCCGCTATTTTGAGCTGTGTGTTTGAAGTAATTAAGTAGATTTTTCAGGTATCTGTACTTTACTTGAGTAGGCTACTTATGTTTATGACAACTTTTTACCTTTATACTCCCTGCATTTGGAAACAGAAATTTGTGCTGTCTACTTGTTTGGAAAAACGGGCTTGTTACTTTTTGGTCTTGAAGAATGGTACTGCCGCCACGCCCTGACCCCGGAGAAGTGGAAGAAAATGGATGGGTTGGATGTTAGTCAGTTCAAAACATTGCAGAAGCTGTGGGAACTTTGTTTTGATGGTGTGTCCAGTGATTTTTTTTCATTGTCACTATGAGCCCTGCAAGCAAATAAGAGAAACTATTTTACGTGCAGACATTTGGGATTTTTTTTGTGTGTCCTTGTGCCAAGTAAATTAATCATCTATTGTACACTTCTGTATATACAGTAGCTGACGGTAAAAAAAAAACAAACAAAAAAAAAAAACAAAAAAACTTTTTACTATTGTACCTATTTCTATCACAATGCTTTAAGTTAGCTAACTTGAATTAAGATAGCTGTGGACTGGTTGTTTTTTTTTTCTTTGCTTCCACTCTCTAAATTCGTCTTCCCTGGCTATTATAGTTTACACAAAAGCTCAGTGTGGTTATCTAAATTCCCAAGCGAGGAGGTGACGAAGCGGACTACCACACTGGCCGGCATGAGCCCTGGAAAACTGTTAACTTGTAAGCTAGCTGGTGGCTATAGCGCCTCTTGTCATGATGTGGAAAGACACTCGGTGGGATATATTCCAGCCACCAGAGGATTGAAATGGATATATTTTTTCAGCAAATGGGGATGCGCACGCATAAGAAACTTGCTAGACAAAGTAGCATCCATTTTTTCAACGGGTCGTGGTTTGAGGTATTCAACAACCATGCCTGCAGTGTTTGAGAGTTTGCGCAACACTATTCTGTGTTGTGTGAAGTTTAAAAGTTTATTTTCACTTTACAATGACTTAAGTCAAGTTTGTGTTTAACACTCTCTTTTTCATCTTTAATTCTGCTTAAGCACAGAGTGTGAGCACTTTTGCCACCTCATTAGTAAAACCGCCTCTTGTCTTCCTCGCAGGTAGTCCAGGCTGCCACTGAGAGTCCATCCCGGAGGCTACCACCCTCGGACACTATATTGGTGCATCTGTCACTGGCTAACCTCCTCACCTCACTTTTTCGCACCGTGCCCATTTTTGTGTCAGACTTGGGCTTGGACGTGACTCTTTCTCCAGGTTGGTGTCGGGTCTTTATGCTACTGTGGGTGTGGTGGCGAGCTGTGGGCTGCTGGGTGACTTTGGCGCTCAGCGTCTTCCACTGCACCACCCTAAGGCGACAGCGCGTGACCTTCGGACCCATGGCCCTGCAACAGGAGAGGCGACGCATCTGGATCGCCCTGGGAGTGGTGTGGGGGGCCAACCTAGCTTTCGCTACCCCGGCGCTGGTCTACAGCACTCACGTCCATGGCAACGCCACCGTGGAGCTGATGGTAATCAGTTGTACCACCAGACCCCTGCTGGGCTGCATATGGGAGTTCCCTTCCAGCCAACAGGGGGCAGCGTTTGCCTCTGCTTCATTGGCCTTAAATGAAGTGTTGCCACTTGTACTGATGGTGTGCACCAACTTGGCCTCGCTGCACTCTCTGGCCAAGCACATCAGGGCCGTGACTGCGGGGGGAGAACAGGGCGAGCTGGCCAAACATGTGTCAGGCGAACGCAAGGCGGCTCACGTCATCATGCTGATGGTGTCACTCTTTGTGGTGTGCTGGGTGCTGCAGGTTGCCGCGGTGACCTACTACAACCACGACAGAGGCCACCATGCTGAAGGCCTGCTGACTGTGGCCCATTTCTCGGCCTCACTTTTTGTGGGCTTCTGTCCCATGGTGGTGGCGCTGGGGCATGGCAAGTTGAGGAAGAGAATTGTGGGCATGATACTGGGCTGGTGGAAAGTTTTTAAACGGCACCGTGTGGACGGCGGAGGTGGGGTTCAACCCCCCCAAGCTAAAGGAAAAAGGGCAAAACAAACCATTTTTGTTGTTCAAAAGGAAAGGAAAAACAATTGTGGAAGTAAGAGTTAAAGCAATAAAATTATCATTCCCATTTGAATGTTTGAAGTGTTATTTTGCACAGATTGATTTCCAAATGGCAGCACAGTTGCGTCGTTGTTGGCATGTCTGCTCATACTCGAGAGGGTCCGGGCTTGAATCTCAGCTCAGGCCCTTTCTGTGAAAGTTTTCTGTCGGTACTCCAGCTTCTTGCCATATTTGAAAAATTTAGTGCGAAATGAATTCTCCAATTTGTCCATTGTTGTGAATGTGAGTACAAATGCTTGATCCCTCCTGTCTGAGATGTAATAATACTGTAACGTGTGGAATTGGGCTTATATGATTATTACTGTTATTTGTTAGATTGTGGTGGTTCACAAAAATGGCTGAAAAAACACATTTTCTCTCATACACATCAATGCGCAATTTAGTCTTCAATGCACCCATTTAAAATGTGTGAGGAAGCGGCAGTCCTGATAGAAAACACAAATAAACACAGAGAGAACACACATTTTATACAAGGAGGGCCTCAGTAAGATGAGGTTCATACTGGCAAATGTGCTAACCATTAGATTGTACTGCGGCCACCAGCGACAACGACAAACACAGTAAAGCTCAAAACTGGGTCTGATTAAAAAAAAAAAAAAAAAAATTAAATCTATAACTTGAATTGTATCTCATAAAGTGTGCCTAATGAAATGTCCAGTGAATGGCTACGGTGGGTCCTTGTGCTTGCCAGCAGCCTTTCAGTGGGAGAGAAAAGATTTAATGAAAGAGCGGAGTCGGCGGTGGCCCACTGCCAGAACCATGGGTGACATGGCGATGAAGATGATGTTGGCGAAACGAGCGATGACCAGCAGAAACTCTGCCGAGGAGCCTCGGTTGTAATTGAAGTAGTTGACGGAGATGATGCTGGTGCCCCATGACACGATGAAGAGCATGATGAGGGCAAGAATCACCTGTTGAAGAATAGACATCAGAATAATGGGTTTAATCCGCAGGTTGTCTAACTGGAGCTCCTCTTCCCCTCGGAGCTACGTGATTCGTTGCTTAGTGGTCTGAAAGAATAATTTTCAGCAAATTATAAAGTGCACACTTACCTGTGGGACTTGCCTGCCAAAAAAATTAACATAATAAATCAGTTGGCTAGTTCAACGGCAGACAAACTCTATTTAGATAAAAATAGAGCCACGCCCACTAGCAGACTGCTTATCATCAACGTTGTTTGATTTTTAGCAGTTTCAATCTCTGTAAAACTAAACAGCTTCTGTAAAAACTTGTAAAAAATATATAATAATAATAATAAAGCTTCTATTTCAGAAATTGACAAGTGCCATACGGATTTTGCTGCAGATAGCGTCAACTCAACTGAAGCCAATTACGAGAATCAGATTGAATTTTGGAAGTCAATCTTTGACTTTATTGTCATGATATGGAAGCTTTATCTTGGAAAAATATGATTTTATTCTAGTGACTTTTGATCTTGAAAAAATAGTCTTTAGTACATTACAACTATTTTTATGAAAATAATAATTATCTTGATGGTTCAAGTTTATTCAAAAAAAAAAGTTGGTTGTCACAACATAATAGCTTCTCTTTATCGAAAAAAAGGGGACTTAATTTAAACGCGATGCTCAAAGTGTGGTATGAGTACCACTCGTGGTATGTGGGCACCCTATAATGGTATGTGAAAGGATCACAGAATTTAATACAAAATAACCTTTAAAATATACATTCTGCACATTAAAATAAAGCTTGTTGCAGTATTTTTTTTTTTACTGTAAGCACAGTACATTTATTAAGTACAGTTCAGTTGTATTTAACTTATGAGTATAATACAATGCATTTGTATTTTGGATTGTTTTTGTATTTTTGAACTTCTTTTAAACATAGGTACAATTGTCATTTGATTGTGTGTAATACATTTTAACTGCAACCCTTGAACTCAAAAAGTGTGATTGAAGTCTCATCAAAGCTCATAATTATTATATATATATAGTTATTAAAACTATCAAAAATATTTCACCATAATGCTCCATGTGGCAGTTTTCCAGTGACATTTCTCACCTTGGCTGCTCGTCTCTCAGCCGGCACCCTTTTCATGACGGGTGCGCCTTTCACGGATGTCCTGCCGTGCGTGTAGAGTGTGTACAGCGAGCCCACATTTGTAAAGACCATCAGAATAATAGGAAGGGTCTCGTGGATCACCATTGAGGTGGTGGCGTATGACAAGCCGCTGAAGGAATAGGGGAAGTTCCACACGCATCCCAGCAAAGGACGTGTTGTGCTGCTCACAAGCATCAGTGTCTGGTGAAGAGGCAAAGAAGTCTTTTTGTACAGTGAATATAAAAAGTCTACACACCCCTGTTCAAATGCCATATGTCATTTTTCCCATGAGTTTGGGATATTTTGTTGTGGTCTGATGAGACCAAGGTTAAACTTTTTGGCCATTGTAAGTGAAGGTCCACCAGGTGTTCATGATATGCTTTGCCCAAAATGTTCCTCCGGTCACCAAGACCACATATTTTGCTATTTTCGGGTGCAGTATATTACCTGCCTGTAGTTAATTCATAAATATTCATGGGAACTTGACCGATGTGCATTTTTTACAGCATAATTTTCAATAATTTAATGGTCAATTTTGAGGAAACCATCTTTTGTACCACTCGAGGCAAGGCGAGGCACAAGCCAAGGCAGTTTGATTTCTACACCACATCATACACAAGGCAACTAAAGGCTCCTGGTACTTTGTAGTTTAACATTCGATTCAACTATACAGTATTGGGTAAGAATATGAATAATTTTCTACATGTTACACTTTTTCAACAACAACAAAAAAAATGTATTAGGCAAATACCATACATGGTTAATGTCTCTTAGTTTGTTTCCACTTTCTGGTGATGTAACACTTTACTCAAAATTTGTCAAGCGAATGAATTATTGTGTCATTGGCGTTAGCTTAAGGACATGGAATGATTGATAATGGTCAATTTTGAGGGAACCATCTTTTGTACCACTCGAGGCAAGGCGAGACACAAGTCAAGGCAGTTTGATTTCTACACCACATGTCATACACAAGACAACTTAAGGCTCTTGGTAATTTGTAGTTTAAGATTCGATTCAACTATACAGTATTGGGTAAAAATATGAATAGTTTTCTACATGTTGCACTTTTTCAAAAAAAAGAAATGTATAAGACAAATACCATACATGGTTAATGTCTCTTTGTTTGTTTCCACTTTCTGGTGATGTAACACTTTACTCAAAATTTGTCAAGCGAATGAATTATTGTGTCATTGGCGTTAGCTTAAGGACATGGAATGATTGTATGTCATGTTGAAATGAATACCCAGAAACTTGCAGTTTCTCAAATCACAGCATCCTGGTTTACAATGTAGGGAAAAACAAGAAAACAAATTTACGAGGGAATGCCGACAGTGATTGCAGTCTTTTAAAACAAAACAAACACAGATCAGGCGCTCACCTCTGTGGTATTCACGTTTCCATTCGTGGAGAAGATATATGCAGGAATGGAATATAAAAAGTTGAGAAACCAGATGAAGGCCAGATTGAGTAGAAGGGTATTAGGAAGCCCTCGGGGTGTACGAAGGGTGCCAATATTGGGAGCCACTCGTCTTAAAGTCTGAAGGTGGAAGGCACTGAGGAAGAGTGTTGACCACACGTTGACCGAGCGCAGCCACACCCACACACCCATGAGAAACTGACACCACTCCTTTGAGGAATACAGCTGTGGGAAATGTGCGCAATGAAGATATAAAACAAAGTTTCAGACTTTTAAGTCGATAGACATCCACCTACCTCCAGTCCAATGTCTGAGATGACGAGCAGTGTGTTCCTCATGACCGACACTAACAAATTGGACAAGGCCATGTTGATGATGATGATGTCCGAGTTCTGTCCCCGGCCGCGTTCCACGAACACGCTTCTACCAATCACCCCGATCACGGTGGTATTACCCAGGATGCCCAACAGCACTAGTATGATGTACATGGCTATTTGGAGAGGGGACACTGAGACGCGAAGTCCCATTCCTACCAGCTCCCCATCCTCCTCCATGGCGACGTCCACTGGAGTTATTTTCTCCTCAACTGTAAAAATCCACTAAAAGATGGTCTCACGTACCAAAGGGTGCTGCAGCTTCATTCCTGCTGCTTATCATGCGAATGTGAATCAGCTGGTTGTCATCCAAACTGACTTGGGGATCTTTTGCAAGATGTTCCCGGTCACGGTCAGCCAAGGAAGATGAGGCAGTTTGTGTAATTCCTCCTTAGGCTCTCAGGTGAGAGGAAGTTGCTCTCTGGGGGAGCTCAAGGTACATGC